CTATGGTCTTTTGGCTCATCATAGGTACTGAACAAGAATGGAAGCTTGCTCAAAGCAACATGGAAGTTGCTTCCAATGGCTTATATTCTGCAACAAATGAACTATGCATTGCCTCTCTTAAAGCAAAATCTGCCTCAGGTCACATCTCCTTTCTTCATCAACTTATACATCTTATCATCTTTATGCATTTGCATGTGTGAAACTCAAAGATAAGCATGCCTATCTATTTGCTTCTTCATATGCATTTATGGTCTCTCCTGAAACATTCATCTTTTGCAGGTGATTTACAAAGCACTGTTCTTGCAATGAGAGATTGTGCATATGAAGCCAGCGTTGCTTTATCTGCATTTGCTCGTGTATCTAGGGGCCATACTGCTTTAACTTCTGAGTCTGGTTCAATGCTGGAAGAGGTATTATTCAAATTTTTTTTAAGGCTATAACAATCAAAAGATGCTCCCTAGGTGGGTCATAAAGCTTCATTAGTTCGTACCAATGGCTTTTGTTTAAAACCTTTCTTTATCCTAATGAATGAAAAATACCAACATTTGATTCTGTTGTTCATTTATTTAGTTTTCTATCTTTGCTTTTAAGGTGTTTTTGTAGTTTCATTGTGGTTCATATTACGTGTCTCTGTATTCCTGAACTTTTGTTTTTGAAAGAAGAATTTTATTAAAATGTAATTCAATTACAAAATTCCATCAAGAAGGAAGAGCCCATAGAAGCATGGTGGAGAACAATTTGAGACCCACACCCCCATGTTCCATACCAATGCCCCAACATTAACTCCCTGACATTAAAACAAACAGTAAGCATCCACACCTTAACACAGCAATGTTATCCAGGAGGCATTTTGACAAATATGTCTTGTGCACAAAGTCCTTTTACATAAGACAAAACCAAAGAATTGTCCAATTCCATCCCAAGACTGTAAGAACATTCCCAACAAATACATCAAGGTAAAAAAATCTCAAAGCTAAAGCAGCAACAGTTTTCATTGTTGCTGTCAGGTTTGCCTACAAAATTGTAGTGAGTATCATGGCTTTGATTCAGGCATGGTAGGCAAAGAAGTAGAAATATATTTCAAGATTATTTATGTAACCAACTGGTTTCTGTTTGTAACTTGAGAAAAATTCTGCACTGACCCTGGTGTTTCAAGAAATCAAATCATAAAAGACAAAATAATAGACTTGCTATCTGCTGCGAGAACTTTGGTTATTTTTGGTATTGCTTTAAAGTTAAGTGTGTCTTTTGGGTTATTAGCTAGTGCCATCACTAATAAGTACTCTTTGTAGAGCCCTTTCATCATTTTTTTTTTCTTCTTTTGTCTGTTTTGCAACTTATGCTGTTATATTCTCTTCTGAAATCTAACTGAAGAAATTCTTTTTATGTTCTCTTTGATTCTGCCCTCTGGCTGATGTTATTAAGCTTCTCTTTAGGTTTTGGCAATAACTGAAGATCTGCATGACGTTCACAATCTAGGAAAGGAGGCTGCAGCTGTACACCATTCCCTTATGGAAGATCTTTTAAAGGTTCTCATCTTTTGACTCATTCTCTGTAGTATGCTTGACTGCGTACTTTCCTTGTAATAATAGATGTTTGTGTGTAGCTGCCTTGATTCAGTTTGACTCTTTCATGAAATTACATAACTTTGACAAAGTTCTGGTGATCTAGATTCTGTGTGGCTTGACAACTATATTACTCTTTGTGTTGATGTTGTAGCAGGCAAATGCAGTCCTTCTTCCACTAGAATCTGTTTTATCCAAGGATGTGTCAGCTATGACTGAATCTATGGCTAGGGAGAGAGAGACTAAGTTGGAAGTATCTCCAATACATGGACAAGCCATATATCAGTCTTACGGCTTAAGAGTTAGGGAGACGTGCCAGACCTTCAAGCCTTTGGTGCCATCACTTGCCTTTTCTGTGAAGGAACTACATTCTTTGCTGACTAGACTTGCACGAACTGCCAGTCTCCATGCTGGCAACCTGCATAAAGTAAAATCCATTTTCGATGTTAATAATAATTTAGATAATATGAACTATGGCATGATATATTGATGATACCAAAACTAATAATAATGCTTGCTCTCTTTCTCTCTAGGCTCTTGAAGGTCTAGGTGAAAGCCAGGAAGTAAAATCACAGGATATTAGTTTGTCAAGGCCAGATCTTGCTGGTGATGCCACTGAATCTGATGAAAGAGGGAGAGAGAGCATCTCAACATCAGGCAGTGGGAGTCCCAAAGATTTTATTGGTCCAACTGGGCTTTCTTTGCAAGATAAAGAGTGGATATCACCACCAGATACCGTTGGCAATAGCAGTTTGGAATCTAGCGTTACCTCAAATGGTAGTAGTCTTTCAGATGGCATCAAGGACACAACAGAGATGATGGAAAAGATTTGGCTTGATTCTAATCAGAAAAAGGCTAATGATGGTCAAAATTTTGTTCCATCTTCTCAAAGCAATTATAATGAGCCCAATGAATATCTGAAATCTGTGGCCTCAGTGAATAATGAAGCTGTAAGTGCTGCTCTTGAATCTTCACAATCTTCAAACAAGGAGAATGTGGATGTGAAATTTCGGGGTAAGGATGAAGCATCCACATCAAGCAAAGTTGAGGTTGGTGATGAGAGTCATGAAGTTCCTGTTCCTAATACACACTCTGCCAGTCGTATAGCAAGGTGTAAGTGTAAAGTCTAACTTATTGAACCATCTATTAGTATGTTTTTATTTATTTATTTTCTTTTATTGTCACTTTCTATAAAATTTGACTACTCTAGAAACAGAGGTTGGTATAGTTTGGGAAACAATGTTAGGAACTGTCCTCTTATTAGTTATGTTGATTATTTTGAGGTGAACATGCTGGTGTACCAAATGTAACTCTGGGCTTTTCATCCATTCTATGAGCTGCAAAAGGACATAGAACCTTAATCACTACATCGATCACCAAGCTTCACCTGCAAACTTAAAGAACCTCCTGATTGCCTCAGTATGCGAGTTGCACTTGGGACCATATTTTACCCTTGTCCACATTTACTGTCCCTTTTCATTGCTTTCATCCAACTTGAGATTTCAATATGAAATGTTTGTTTTAATTGAAGAGTAGAATACGAATTAATTAGGGGGAGCAATGTGAAAATATAAGTTACATGATATGAAATCAATGATATGGGGCTTTTCTGTGATTTTTCCACCCTTTTAATATTACAAGATACTACTTCTTTGCCTTAGATTTTGTTAAATCAATCTAGGTGCCTTTCTGCTAGCTTTGGTTTTTTAGGTTTTTATTAAAATACTAACTATCAATCTTCCACTAACTAGAGAAAAATTCTTAATTTTTTATGGCCTTCTTCTTTCCTCCTGTCCACCCCTCCCTCTCTCTCTCTCTCTCTCTCTCCCTCTCCCTCCCTCCCTCTAGGATACAATGTGAGCATTTAGGTTAAGAAATTTATTAAAGGAATTAGAGTTCTTTGTATTTACTTCCATTGTTGTAACCTATTTCTGCCTGCAGGTAAAAATGCTTATGCAATGTTGGTCCTAAGACGTGTCGAAATGAAGTTAGCTGGACAAGACATTACGGAGAGAAGGTATCTACTTCCTTTTGAGACTTGAAATAGGTATCAAGTGAATTATGTATTAACAGCCAGTCCTTTCATACTTCCTTCAGGGAAATTAGCATTGCAGAGCAAGTGGATTATCTACTTAAGCAAGCTACTAGTATTGATAATCTTTGCAGCATGTATGAAGGTTGGACGCCATGGATTTGAACTCATGAAGTCTTTGTATTGTAGCATCAATAGCAAATGATCTTTGCAAGATGGTGTCAATTATTGGAGCTATCTCAATTACTTGTCATGTTGGTTGAATAGGCTTCAATCTTGAGCACTTTTTTTCCTTTAATGGAAGGGCGCCATCATAACTATTTACTTGGCTACGATGCATTTTTAGCTTAAAAGAAAAAGCCTGGTCTCACCTTGCAGAATGAGCCCATTGCCACTTCTTGAGATGAAGGGCATGCTCCGACCCTGTTTCGGAATATGTATCTCAACAGCAGGTGCTATTGGATCAAATATGAATAGCTGTGTTGAGGTTTTGAGCTGGAGTTTATTTTGGCTACCTCTGCTTCAGTTCCTGATGAAGTTGGGGCAATGTTGTACTCCATTTAGATGGGACAACCTGTTATGTGGAGCTGGAGGATAGAAGCCATACAGTGAGGTCTCAAGAGTGTCCCTCATGACATGGAGGATTAGCTTCATGATTTCTCAAGACAGGCAGAACCCAAACCTAGAAGCCAAAATTTCGTGGACATTCCCATCTTTACTTTTTAGTTCAGAAGAGTATGTCTCATTCCCTTTATCATATTGGCAGTGAATAAAAAGAAAAAAAAAATGAAAATCAGAATCATTATTACTGTATACACCACCACCTCGATAGATTGATCTTTACATATAAACATTACAATTACTGATAAATATTTGTAGCACTTATTTTCTTTATATTAAACAAATGTACACAAGTAATGAAACAATCTACTTCCAGCGGGTTTAAAATATCTTTGTCAACTCCAAAAATGGCGACTTTAACCGACCCAAAGGTCTCTTTGTCTGTATCTCAAAGCGCACAGATATAAACAATTCCTTATATAAACCCAAGCCACTTAACATCCCAAAATATCAACTCCACAAAATCTTGAAATATCTCAAAAACCATTCCAAATATCATTCATTGCTTTACCCTTTTGTTGTCTGCTTTTGTCACGGAAGATTTTTTTAACACGGGCTAATAAGCTTGCCAAGCTGCGAGAAAAGGGTTCAAGCCCTATGGTTACCGAGTCCTGCCAGGTGGTCCGATCACAAGAAAAGAGCTTGACTAAGGTCGCACGAGCTTTTGTTAGCATAGTCATGCCAGGGTTCTGTTTCCATGCTTGTTCAATGCTTTAGACATTGAAGAAAAACAAATTGGATTTTTTGTTCTTTATATCCGCTTTCCATTTACTGATGTTTATGGAGTTCAAATATCCTACAGCTACAAGATTCTACGGTTTTAATTGAAACAAATGACTTGAAAATGACAGAAACAATGTTAATATCTTTGCTGATATGTTCTGATCGAAGTGCTATTGTCTTCTCACAAACTCTGAAACTGGCCCAACATAATTAACACTGGCAAAGCCACAACTAAAAAAGCTAGAAAACCAAAGCAAAGCTATGTCCGTCGAGGAATTGGCTGTTTGATCCTGCTTTATGGGTGAAAAAATCTACTCGAAACATACCTTGGCATTACTATATTATGAAAATTTGTCTTTTCACTGGACTTTCTGATATTTCTTCTCTTATATGTACAAATATAAGCTTGGTAAAGATTTGAATTTTGAACCAATTTAGTCAGCCATTTTTAATCTACAATTTGTTCTTTTTTCTCCCCTTTTTCGTGAGTTTTGAAATGATCCGCTTGTTGAAAAGTTAGCCGACATACCGTTTTAATTGTTCTGAATGTGGTCTAATAATCTACTACAAATTAGACTGCTTTAATCATGGCATTGAAATCTATTGATTCCTTCATCTTTGAATATCATGGAGAAGATCCGAATATAATCATAACATGACTTTGAAGTGGTCAAGTTTGAGATTTAACTAGATTTTATTCTATCCCATATACAACTCAGAAGAAAGGAGAAAAATAATGTCGAATGGTAGAAGACGAGTACAAAGTAGGCTGAAGGGTTGGACGATTTTCCCTATTTCATTGTCACTTTGACAGTTCATAGGACTGCAAATTTCCTCAACGTGCTTCTTCCCCTGGCTTAAAGCTGACGACCGAAGTGGGAAGGTAACATTTTAAGCTAATGTAAAGCCTCCACAGACCAGTGGAAAACTAGAATCTGCAGCATATGATAGTACAGTAGAGCACGTCCACTTCAAATCAGGGCCACATGCTCATTATTGTTCTGTGGCCCTGGCCTGGTGTTCTATTGAACTTTCCAACCTTGACAACTATTTTGTTGCTTCGCTCCCAGGCCGCGTGAAACAACTGAGTGAAGACGGTCTTTTTGAACTTTTCTGGACCAAAAAAAAAAAATCTACAGTGGGTTCCCATAACAAACAAAAGAAACCATACCAGCAGCCTGCGCCTTTATATGAGAATTTCTTGCGTCTACTTTGCTTGTACTCAATCATATTCTTGATCAAAAGATAGCAAAGTATGATATCAAAATCAAGCTGTAGATTAAAGATATTACATGTCTGACAGAAGGGCAGAAAGTATTTTGGGTCCATTTTTTACACCAAGAAACAAAAATGTAGAAGCCAATGACAGTGTTTTTGTATTCTTAGAATTAAAGACGGTAAGAGTAAATACATGCCAGAACTTTCCTACAGGAGATATTCATAGCCGGGATTGGGGAATATCCCTAACAATATCCTTTTCTTCCAATCTAACCGTATCTGCGGGCCAACCAGTAACCACACGATGATTTTTTGTTTCCAACGAGTCAAAATTCGCAGCCTTGACACCACTAATAAAACACTTCAGCAACTCTTCTGATTTCTTCTATATAAACCCTTTTAGGTCTCCTCACTTTTCCTTGAACAGGGAAAGAGAAAAGCAAAAGCATTAACACATTCCAAAGAGAAAAAAGAAGTTTCTCCTTCAAGCTTTGGTGAGAAAAATGTCTGAAATAGTAGGGGGATGGATGGGTGAGCTAGCAAAGCTCAAAGAGAAAGTCGAAGCAAGAAGGCCGTTCTTATCAAGGGCTAAAAAGGATCTGCGGTTTGCCAAGAAAGGACATGCTGAAGAGAAGGAAGCTGCTAAAGATGCTGCAGATGAAACTACAATGTCAGAAAATACTGTCTGTTTGCTTATTGACAGGTTTGTACCTTGGTGATTGAAGAGAAAAATGTAACCTTGTTCGAGCTTAAGTGTAAATCCAAGGTTCCTTCTAGTCATGCTTGTGTAATTGGACTTGTTTTATAGTGGATGTGGTTCATTATAAAGTTTATGGCAGCTTTGCTTTAAATGTTCATTTCTTTTGTGCCTCAGCTCTTTATATGATTAGCTGTTCTTTCAAAATCTCCAGCAATGTTTTTTATTTGATTTTCAAGTTGTACGGATCTTTCTGGTTAAATATGGATGAAACAAAAAGTACTTGAGGATACTTCATTCTCAAAAACAAAATATACACTGCTCCACAATTAAGTTCTATGACTAAGAACTATAAAAATTAATAATAATAATAAAGGAATCTGCAGTGGGAGAAAAAACCTGGTTTCAGCACTAAGAATCTGATTTTCCAACTTATATTTTCAATCTAAAGAAAAAAAGGGTTATGAGGTTGAGCTTGCCTCAATATCCGTAGAGGACAATTCGTTGTTAAAGAAGCTATTTTCGGTGTCGTCCCACTTAAGAATGTCCCTGGTGTATCTTAGAGCTTCATCAACAGAACCAGGCTCCAAGCCGGTAACCATTGAAACATACAACTTACGATCAGTAAGAGAATCGAATAATCTCTTGAACTTCACAGCAATATAGTGGAAGGCACTCTGTGCTAGTGACCTGTGATTATTTCTATTATTGCTGATAACCGGATTGAAGTCATGAAACCAATCACATTGAGTCAGAGGAACCTGCAAAATCTTTTCTTTGAGCAGATCAACTTTGTTGAGTATTAGAAGGAAGTCCTTTTGCTCAAAGTTTGGATGGGTGACTATACTTTCGAAGAGTTGCTTGCTTGCCAACATTTTGTTTGCGAGAACTCCATTACTGTCTGATACAAACTCATCATAGTCGGTCAAGGAGACACAAAAGAGGACAATGTCGATGTCTTCAAACATTTCCACCCACTTGCAATTCTCCCCAAGGCTACTGGGATGCAGTCTAATAAGTTGGTACCTGCAGATTCAAAGCAAGAAATGGTAAGCAAGATATATATATATATATATATATATGTAATTAAATTTCAAAGTGATACTAATACATGGTCAAATCTATTTATTTTGTTTTCATTTGGCCTTTGAGGCTTGAAGCATAAAAAAGAAACCTCTCTTTTTCCTTCCATTACCATGAAGATGAAGATAAAGAGCATTCTTTTGTTTTCCTTTTTTGTTTCTATATAAAAGAAAAGCCCCTAATCCCAATGAAAGATTCCTATTTTTGCCTGTGAAAGATAATTTATGGATTATTTGACACAATGGACTGCTTAAATTCATTGAAGAAGAATATCTAATCAGCCAATGATGCAGCCTTCAGCCCCTAGGAATTTTATGAACCATACAAGTACAGAAACAAAATTTCTTTCCTGTTTTTGACAAGCGTAAGGCTCGAATTGTTTCACCAAAATTCAAAAACACAAACTTGGAGGATGCATTAGTCAGCTGTAATTTGGTTGAAAGTGAGTTGAATTGCTCGAGATTGCTTCTTATCAGTCATCAATATCACCTAGAACTCAATCTTTCTATTCCAGATGAGATTTACTCAGAGACCAAAGTGATCAGAAGGCATCTCAACAAGTGTTTAAGGCATTTGTAGCAAATAAAAGTAAACAATTTACGTATAGACTAGAAAATAACTAACCTCGCCAATGGATCATGCTGATAACCATCAATAGAGCTTTCTCCTTCTATTGTGGGAAAAGAGAATTCCATGCAAGAAATTCCATTGGATGATGTAATTCCCTCAGCATACACGATATCTACGTCAGACGGCTCATAATCTGTCCTCGAGATCTCAACAGCCTGAGAAGAAGATAACTTTAAACTATTAGAGTTGCTAGGAAACCAGAGCACTAGACAGTGAAGAGATATTAGTCATAGAAGAGGAAATGCCGCCAGATCCTGCACTTTTCTTCTTCAAGCTTGAATGAATTAACTAAGAAACTAGCAATTGAAGTTGTCCACTCTTAGTTTTATCAAAAAGTTTTAGTTGGCAGGAAAACGCTTAGTGGCAGCGGCAGCAAACTTGAAGTAAACCATGCATGTTATAAAATTTATACACAATATATGGAATAGCTAAGCAGGAATACACAATAAATGAACAAAAACAACAAGAAAAAGTAAAAAGCTGAAAGGAGAGTGGAGTTTGGAAGTTTGAAGAACCCTACAATTCACATCAAGGACATCTATTGGTATCAAACTTAAACCCCATAGAGCGGACTTACCCAACAACAATAACAAACTAAGCCTTATATCTCATAACTCTAGGATCAGTTGTAAGAAGGCCAAAAAGAGGAATCATGTTAGGTCATAGTTTTGAATCTCCTTAGGCCACTCATTTCTATAAAAAAAAACCTTTTCATTTTACTTCCTTAACCCTCATATCATTACTTATTACTTGCATGCACGTCTTTCGTGGTCTACTTCTAGAAGTGGACTTACCCGTTCTAGGAAATATGTAGCAACTCTCGGCAGTATTTCTAGCTCATGCCTCCGGTTATATGTGGCCTGAAAGGCTGCATCATTCCACAGCTCCTGAATAAATGGTGCATATTCACAAGTAGCAGCTGGGAAGATGCCTTCCAAATTACCAGATACCATCACTTGGACAAGCCAATCCGAGAATGATTTCAGTCTTGCGGAAATGGAATATTTCGTTTTACCATCAATCTGGCTTGCACTGCCTGTTGTCAACAATCAAGTTCACAATCTATTCCATACTAAAGTCCACTATTCCATGCCAAATGAAAGTTTCTTCTAGCCAAATATATTACAGGATATCTAAACACAATTCATCGAAGACATAACCGTATCAGAATGGGAAACTCAATCAGTTAATGACCTGAAAAAGTGTGAGAATATATATCTAAAGTGCAAGAACACAGCTACTACTATACTTTTAAAAAGGAAAAAAGAAAAACTAGTAACAGTGATAAAGTTAAGGCCATTTAGACCCGACAGATTGCAGTGAAAAACTTCCCTTTCAGTGGTAAATTTTTGTGCTTTTATATATAGTAACAAACAGTAGGAAAAGCTAAGGGTAAATGCTTAAAGCCTGTCAGCCAAGGCTTTTACAGATGATCTTGCTACCTTTGAGGTCTATCACAACCGATTGATGTATTATAGGGGAGAAAATATAAAAGGCTTACTTGAAAATAAATCTATAACGAATAAACTGTATGTCAAAAAGGTTAACATTATAATTTTAATCAGTAAGAAAATTCTCAGAGAATAAAGAAAAAATCACTTGGTGAAAATGCATACTGAATAAATGACTATTATTGTACCTGAAGAGCCAGATGCATCAGCAATCTGTCCTTTTCTAATCTCTAGTAAGCTTTCTTCTTCAAACCATTCTCGACCCTCAAGCAACATAGCAATATAGCCATACAAATTGCTTTGGATCATCGATTTGATATTTTGGCGCTCATTTTCGGAGAAAGGAATATTATACAGAATCTTGGCCTGAAATAAGCAACTAACATATTTAATTTTTATTTTTGGGTAATTAAAAGCAAGTATCATATTTAATGTTTCATTTAGTGTCTTAGACAGCTTATTTTGCATTTCCAGTGGCAAAAAACCAAAGTTTAGCAGTCATAAATATCAAGCAAATTTTAAATCGAAAATGAAGGTCATAGTGAGCCTCAAAGCATTAATGAGGATTTATTTACAATCTTGATCACCAATTACATATTAAATGCATTTGTAATGGCTTAACAAAGAGAAATAATTCAAATGGTTATTGTAATAATTCAATCACACTTGTTCAAGCTTCTTAATCCTTTAAAAATACGTAATTGCATTCAAAGGCCTTTTCATGGCTGAACTGATGAGACCTAGAAATTTTGTTGGACAAAGTTGAATGGTAAGTCAACTCTAGATCCAATATTCCATCCAAGCTGTTGGAGGATAAAGTGAAGGCATACGTGAAAAACATAAGTAACATAGAGTCTATTGGCAGATGAAAAAAGGGGAAAGGTGAATTGAAATGCGTTGCCTCCATTCATATATTACCTGCTTATATATCGTACTTGTGCCAGACTTTTGATAGCCAACTAGAAGAAGTTTATGAAGTGCTCGCTGCTCTAGGGTTCTCTGGCTGACATCTTCTCCAGAAGGATTCACAAAATCGGGAGGAACCGGAATAGACAAGAGAGCACAAATAAGCTTAATCCCCCTCTGAAAATAAAGTACATCCATGTTATTACTAGTACATAATCTAAGCGAAAATAATTATGCCTATGCAGTATGCATATCCCTATGCAAATATACCTTGTCCCATATAGGCCCTTTTACATTTTTCTGTCCCTCTTCCTGGTAGGATCCATCTGCACTTAGCCAAAAGCTAGGTTTTCCTTCACAATGAACTCCTGCCAACTGCAAATATTTAACAGAATGGCATTGAACTTGCATGTCTAAAAAATCATAATTTAAAAGAACTCAATCATGTACAGCACAACAACCTGCAGCATCCACAGCTCTTTTTTAGTAATCTCTCGATTATTTATGAGTACTTTTGTGTTTCCATTGCTAGCATCAGCCTTGATGAGACCTCCAACATTTAGCTGGGCAGTAATAATCTGGCAAGGCCCATGTCCTTCCTGATGGTTTAACAGAACAGTAGTTCAATTTTAATGGAACAAAATGGAAGTTAGATTGCTTTAAAAAAAAAAAAAAGAAGAAGAAAAAGGAAAGAAAGGGAAGGACAAGAGCAAAGTTTGGTTATTACCCTTCCCCAAAATCCAGATAATTTATCATACCAATAGAATCCAGGTTTTAGCTTATTTGGTGGGTTTTGGCAGGTTTGCAAAACATGCCACTCATCTTGACTCAATGGCTCTCCATTCACAACGAGCTCAAGGGGTAGCTGGTTTGCCTCGCTTGTCCTCTCAGAATTCATTGCCTGTTGAACTTCCAACTCATTGAGCAGCCGCTTGAGGAGCCGAGAACATTTTCCAAGACTTCCTCGCCTGGACTCATTTATCTTCTTACCTATGCAAGTAACACATTTTCTCCCCTCTGGCATCGACCCCATTGCTCTCAGTACACACTTACAACAATACTTAGCATTACAAACAATACAAATCTCTTTTTCTGTAAACCGGTTTCCCTTTAAGCACCTATAACATGACCCCTTTTTCCCGTTCCTTGCAATAGGTTGTGCAGCATGGATGCTTTCTGTCTCAGAATAGCCTGACTCTCCTTGAACCATGTCACATGATTCAGGATCACGGAAAGTTACAACAGATGGTCTTTTGACATGGCAAGGAGTCTCATTGTTAACCTCCTCCCCTTTTTGAGAAAAGACCTCGGATGATGAAAGTGCAGGTGAGCTTAAAACTGACTCTGTTGAATCTGAATCAGGAAGATCCATATACTTCTGCAACCCTAAACCTTCCTCCTGATCATCAATTGGCTCTAACTCTGCTAACCCTCCTGATGATTCACCTAAACTATCATGAACATCAGAAATTTCCAGAATGCCAGAACTTCCTATTCCATCACATAATTTTGTCCTGCATCCATCATCAATTCTCTGGCCTAATGAATCCAAGCTGTCAACTTGAGTTGATGATTCATTGGACACACCAGGACGATCATTGAATTTTCGAGCTGAGCCACGTTCAGAACCAAATTTTTTATCTTTGGACAGTTTTTGGTTCACTGAAGTAGTCTTTACAATTGGTTGGATAATTGGCAACGAAATATCCTTCAAAACAAATGAAGAGGAAACTGTGGCAGCAGTTGGGAGTTGGTCAACGTCCACCGGAACTGCTTTGGGGATGTCAAAAGTGACCGGAGGACCATGGTACTCAATAGCAATTGAGTATTCAATGTTATTATCATAATCACCATCATCACTTTTAGGAGATGATTTCCCAACAGACAGAATTTTTCTTAGAATGCCATCCATCGCTTTCAAGTCTCAATTCCAAAAAATTAAGCCACCAATTCCAATCCCATAAACCAAAGAAACATAACCGATTATCTCAACAACCCATGAAGCAAACCAAAAATACTTAAAATCCCATGAATCAAAACAGCCATCATAAAAAGTCCATGAAGCATCACCACCAACAACCAAAAGAATCAAACTTTGAAGACCAGAAGCCACCAGAACAACAATTTGCTAATATCCCATTCAAACAATCAAGTAAAACCAATTCTTTCCCTTCATCACTTAAACCATGCTACAAAAGACCCTCTTTTCTTTCTTTGAAAGCGAAAGAATGCCAAAAAGAAAGATGGGAAATCTACAAGGATTGACACAGAGCAGTAAAGCTGGGAAATTTCCAAGAAACTGAGAATGGAAATGGTTGCAAAGAATAAACAAGAATGAAAATGTGGAGTCTTCCCGTACCAGTAAATGATGGAGATTTGAGAGATGACTGAGTACACAGATTTATCTTAAATTTATTCATCGTTTTCCCACGTCAACACGCTGGCGAAGAAACTGCTGGGAAACACGGGGGCACAGGGAAAGATGAAAATTGACAGGCTCGTTCTTACTTGAAATGTGTCGATTGTCAAAGGTGAATTAAAAGCATGCCCTGTATCAATCACTTCATTGCACGTTTCGGTCAACAAAATGAGTGCTAAGCGGAATTACGCTACTTACCGTTATGTTTGGAATGCGAGTAATCGAGGAAAGATGAGGAACTCTGAAAGATTTTCTAAGAACAATGGATGGCTGCAGATCTTAAAGATGATCCCGCTAAAAAATTATTAATTAAATTCGAATTCAAAACTTTTACATCTTTAGCAATTGAATCAACCTTTTGTTGGTCACTATTGCAACTTGAAAGCTTGCATGACTCCAAATGAGAACTTTTTAATTCTTGAATTTGTTTTTTATGGTAATAGCTTGAAATACTTGTGAGAAATTCCCACCTAGAAGTTTCATGGATAAGTTTTACTTTAATAGTTTTAGTTCGCGAAATCTTAAATTTTAAAATATATATATATATAATTTTTTGAAAAATGTGATGCATGATATGTTTTTTTATTTTTAAAATATTTTATGTTCAAATTCACTTATTTAAGTTAGAGAAATTCATATAAATTAAATTTTAAATAATTATTATAGTTTTATATATATATATAATGGTTGTTAATTTATAAAAAATATAAATAGATCTTTTAAGATATTTTTATTTAAAAATATCTTAAATAATTTTTAATTTTTTTTAAAAGGGATTATTTAAAGTATTTTTTTTAACACCTTAAATAATCCCTTTTAAAATATATCAATAATTTTTTTAAGGCATTTTTTATCACTACCTTTCAATTTTTTTATTTGGCTTATTTAAGGCTTTTTTTTTTTTTTTACAAAAACACCTTAAATAAATTTTTTAAAAATGTATAGTGGATTTTTTTAAATAATATCCTTCAAAAAATTAAAGAAGATTATTTGAGGTATTTTTAGTTATTTAAGTTGTTTTTAGTCCAAAAACGTTTTAAATAATGCCTTTCAATTTTAAATGGACTTATTTAATTACTTATAAGATTTAAGAGATAAAATATTAAAAAATTGAAGTATCTAAATCGGTTAGAGTATATAGTTATAACCATAAGTTTGTAAGTTTGATTCATTTTTTCTAACCTTTTAAGGGTTTTCTAATGGATTATTTAAAATGTTTTTGATTTAATTTTGAAGGCTATTATTTTTAATGGATTATTTAAAGTGTTTTTTTTTGTCTATTTTAAAGAGTTTTAGACTAAAAACGACTTAAATAAACCCTTTTAAAATTAAAAAATATTATTTAAGGTATTTTTAAACTAAAAATGCTTTAAAAAATACGTTGATACATTTTAAAGGTAATTATTTAAGATATTTTTATTCAAAAAATACCTTAAATAATTCCTTTTAAAAAATCGAAATAATAACAACTATTTCATAATTTTTTATTCAGGTCAAATTTATAAATAATATTACTTCCCCCTCATTAAACTTGTAATACTATAGGAAAAAATAAGTTTTTGATTTTGAAACTTTTGGTATTATTGAAAATCTATCAGTTTTTTTCGAAATTTGATTTTCCTAAACTAAACGTTAGAATCAAATTATCTAACAGTAAAATTTTAAGAAAAAAAATGTGTAAGTTCCTTGAACCAAACGCCTTCTCAATATCAAAATATATTTGCAAGTTTAATTTTTTTTTAATATTTGCTACATAATTATACAAAATTTTTTCCAATTTTTCATATTATCATATATATACATATTTAAAATAAAGAATTCAAATTTAACTCTTTAATTATAAAAAAACTTAGAATTAGATAAATATCACTTAAATATCGCTTAAATATAAACTATATTTGTTTACAAAATGTGAGAGTGCATATGATAAAACAAACATCAAATTTGATTTTATACCAAATCTCATTTTAAGGTTCGGTGAAGGAGAAAATTATGAGTGTTGTTAAATGTACCGTAGCCTTTTTTTTTTCGCACCATTTTTTTTTAAATTTTAAAGTAAAATTATTTTTTTTCACATAAATTTTTCAAAAATAAATTTTTGCAAATTCATAAATCTTTTGGAAAATAAATTTTTGAAAAATTATATAACATTTTTAAAATAAAATTTTTGAAGATTATAAATTTTTAAAAAGTTAAATTTTTGAAAAGATTTATAACTTTTTGAAAAATTATATGATTTTTTAAAAATTTATTTTCGAAAAATCATAAAACTCTAAAAAATTATAAAAAGGATAATTGAGTAATTTTATTTATAAAAATTTTTTTTAAAAAAAATTAAGATATGAAAAGAAAAAATAATGGTGCATTTAACGGCACTAAAAAATTATTCTATTATTATACATAAAGTAAACAATTATTTTCATCCTGTTAGAACAGAAGAAAATGATTAAAGATCTAATCATAAAATATATATATTTTTTATGTAATGAGTTTTAAAATATAAAGTTGTTTCTTTTTTTTTTTTTTCACACGTAATTTAAGTCTTTGTCCGATTGGGTAGAATCATTAAAGATATGTTTTAAGTAGGTTTCAAGAGATTAATGATTGATTGAGAGGTTGAAAAGTTCTTTGTATTGACTTGGTAAATGCTGATATCATGTTTTTCCTTCCTTCCCTTGCAAAACTCCACGTATCATGTGACTGGGACATCTGATTAGCCCATTTGATTTTCCTTTTCATTTTCCATCAATGGCAGTTCTAATAATAATAAAAAATTATTAAAGTTGGATTTGCAGGAAAAAATTAATATTATAATTCAAATTACATGTAAAAAGCATTTATTAAATAGTTGAAAAATAACATTCTTTTATTAAAAATTTGTAAAAAAAAGTAATTTTTTATAAATTAGTAAATAAAATTATTTGAATCTATTCGAAAAAAACCTAAAAATTTCTTATTCTTAAAAAAACCTAAAGTGAACCATTTATTGATTATTAGGGTTTGACCAATTTGTAAACAAAAGAAAAAAATTATAGGACTTTTTTTTTCTTGGTTTGGATCCACATATTTGTGGCTCGGTGGCCGGCCTTCAACAACTTGTAGAAGCTGTTCCTCAACCCATTATTTTATGGGTCAGCCTAAGCCCATGGTTTTGTACTTCCATAGCCCAATGAAACCCAATCCATCTAATTTTTCATTTAATCCAACCACATAGAAAGCAAACGCAAAAAATAACCCAATTTTTAGTTAACAAACAATTATTATGTTGAAAATTGAAACTCTCCAAATGGATGAACCGATCGAGGCCATTAAAATTCGTACAAAATTTGTTTTTTCTTGCTATATGCTTCCGCAAGACAAGCTACATGTCTCATAATAAAGCGAGTTAGTGATATCTTTTCCCCCCAACGACTCCACCCATGCAAATAATGGGATTAGAAAGTGTGACCCAAATAAATATTAATAATAAATTTGATAATTCGTATATTTATATTGTATAAAATATTAAAATTTATATATTCATATCATATTTTATACGAAAATTATATATGATAATTCATCTCAATATGAAAATATGTAATATATATTTTTAATTTTATTTAAATTAATATATAATAATTATTAAAATTTTAAAATATGTCATATTCATATTTATTTTTTGTATTATATTTATATTATGTTTTAAATTATCAACTCTAATTGATTGTTTCATAACTTGTCGGTCAATCCATGGTTTTAATGTGGATTAAAAGCTCGAAAAATCATGTGTTTTTAACTCAAAATTATAAAAGTATACGGTATTTAGTCATTAAAATGACACATATGCATGAATGTTAAGTTATTAAGCTTCTCTAATTTATTATCTAAAAAGGTAAAATAAAGTCAACTATTAAATAAATTTAGCTAATTATAAGGATAGACTTTCGAAGTTACATAAATTGTTTTGATCAAACTTGTTTGTTCCGCATATATATCCCAACTTATAACCCAAAATATACATATCACAATTAAATTGTATAGTAAAAACCAACATTTCGAAATTCATAACTAACAAACAAGGAATCATTCGATCAATAATTTTGGCCTCGAGATTACATGCGTACATTACACTCCCAATGCAATTACAACTCGACAAGAATGTGTTCAACTTAGTATTTACAAACTTAGAACCAGTAAAAGCTTAAATTCAAAATATACACAAATGGGACAGTAAATTCGGTCACACCTGAAGTGAAAAAAAAAAAAATCGAAAACCAATTTTAAATGGTGGCATTCGCTTCAATTCAAATCAATTTTTTTTATTCGATTCAAATTATGATCAAATATTAAATATATATATTAAATTCAAAAAAAATTTTAAATCAAAATATAAAAAATTAAAAAAAATTAAATTGAATCGAACTATATATTTATTATTTATTATATATATTATAAATTTTTATAAAATAAAAATAATTATTTTATATAAATCTTATTTTAAAATATTTAAAATATTATTAAAATAATATATAAAAATTAAAATTAATAAATTAATAAATCAAACCAAACTAATAAAATTCAATTTAAATTAAACCAATTTCAAAAAAAAATTTAAATTCAAATCAAAATTTAAAAATTTAAAATATTATATATTATAAAAAAATCAAATCAAATTCAAATTGTTATTATCTAGTTACATTCATGCAACATCCCTATCCAAGCCAAGTGGTGGCCGGCCACATTAAAATTTGGAAAAAAAAAAAGAAAAAGCAAAAAGTCATTTACCAAATCAAACAAATTTGTCGACCTTGTGCCATAAATATAACATACCGAAACTGTACTTTTCAACAGGAGGCGCCTCCCAACCCTCTTAAAAGACGTTTCTTGGAGGCTAAATATGTGCTTTTCATACATTACATTAAATATATAAAAGACAACAAACGAATTAAAGCTATTAATTATGTATTCTTTATGAAATACCCTTTTTACTTTTCTCTGAGGTGGCATTCTAGCATTGGCTGCAATCATTCAATTTATACACGTGGCGCCGTCACACCCCCTAAAAAGTGCCTTCAAGGGTAAGGGTCGATCGGATCAGGGTGGTCCATGAACCTATCAGAAATGGGTCGGACCACTGAACAACAAATCCCCGCGGCCAGCGCCATGCAACTTTCCAATATGCCGTGACTACGCGTGCTATGTTCCTAACTTCGACAGCTCTTAAGGTAATCCCTGCTTAATCTCCTTCAAGTGTGGCACGTGCTCAGACACGCGCCACACCTTGACGGACTTGTCCAGGCTACCACTATAAACAATCCATTTCCGATCAGCATTGGTTGATGTATGATGATCTTCTTCGACAGTTAGGCATTTTACGGGGCCGGTGTGACCTGTTAAGACAGAAAGGCAGGTGTGAATTCCACCTTCTTGTCGTCTCCACAGGCATATGCTCTTATCAGCCGACCCGCTAAACACCAAATTCCCTGCTGTGGTCAAGCAGAGCACAGCCATTTTATGGCCCCTTAGGACTCCTCCATGTGAAAGGTGCTTTTCACGTTCCCAGAAGTTGACAAGCCCATCAGACGAGCCACAGTACAGCACAGCTGATTCATGGTTCACAGCCAAAGATGTCACGGCAGTTTCTTGCTTCAACAACAATTGAACCAGGAAATGTTTTGTTCCTTTCCCCTGCAACTCCCTCTTCCAAACCTTGACTGTCCCATCTGCCGAACCCGTAAACACCAAGCTATCAAATCCAGCCACGACAGAGTTTATTGCGTCATCATGAGCATCAATGGATTCCAAGCACTTCGAGTTCGCTAGTCGCCAAACTTTCATGGTTCTATCCCAAGACCCTGAATATAACAACCCAACTTCTTCATTCAAGCTCAGGCACGAAACCGCGTCAAAGTGCTTGATTCGAAGAACGTTATGGTTTCTCCGAACTTCAACGTAGTTCTTAGGTTTAACAGAGCGTTTAATTAAATCCCTGAGAGATGGCAAACTACCGAATCTTTTGTGAACTTTAGGGTTTGTTGATGAAACCTTCCAGACACGGATTTTACCGTCTTGGTGACCAGTAAATATCATATCGCCCAATATAATAATGGCTTTGACCAAGCCACTTTTAGCTTTAAAACCTGAAAACTCCTTCAAGTTCTTCCAAACCCGGATGTTCTTGCTATCAGAACCCGTATATAACAAATCTCCAGAAGCAGCTAACGAATAAATATTACCTTCTTCTCGTACAATGGACCAAATAAGCCCGTTTTGGCCAAAATCAGTTTCGAGTGGAGATGGCGTAATCCATGGAGATTTGTTGAAAGGAGAAGCCTGGTTCCATGGTGACATGATGTAAGGAGAACCCTCACTGCTTGCTGTCGTGCTGCTGGAATACCTCGGGCTTCCCAAAGAGGAACTGCTTTTACGATTAGGGAACTCATCTTCGACACCCTCGTCGACGTTGTTGCTTATAGAAGACAAAGAAGGTTCAGATTGTTTGAAGAGAGTGCGCAGCTTTGGTTGGTTTTGGAGGTTGGTTTGCTCCATAACCATCGTTCCACCCTTACCGTTTCTCATTTACACTAATTTCTGGTAAATTAACAACGAAATTGAACTGAATTTTGGATAAGAAGATTGGAATTTGTTGTACCAAACCTGAAGAAAAAATTGCAGAAATATTTTGACGGGAAAAATGAAGAGCTAAAGATAGAATTATTGATTGTTGCCTTTGATTTTTGTTTTTAGGAAAGACCAAAGGAACGGTCGAGCAAAAGGAGTATATATATAGATGGGATTGAATAGTGGTAGGTAACGTGACGTTATGCGTTTTTGACACGTGGTGGGATGACACTGAATTATTGCCAACCAGTAAACCGGGTACGCCGGCGTTTAATCTTCGCACGCTAGATTAGATTGGACAATAAATGAAAAGGGCAATTGTATAGGATTTCCTGAAAAAGATGAAGATTTATTGTATGTGAAAGAGTTGGGAAATTAGACGTTTGACCATAAGTTTCCACTGTTGGAAAAATATTGGCCATTGAACTTGAAATTGTCAATTGCATGCAAGAACATATGATGTTAGAGTCGCAAGACCTCAATCAACAAAGGAAACAAAGTTTTAATACCTAGCCCCAATTAATATTGTGTTGAATGTTTCTTTTTTATGCATGATAGTTAAAATTTTGCTAAATTTAATTAGTTTTTCGAGAATAATTGTAAAGAAAACATGGGAAAGTTAGTAGTAATTAAGATCAACATTTAACATTATTCTCCATCTTGACGTTATAAGAGAATATAGATTTATCGACAGAATATTTTCGTTATCGTTGTAATGTGAAAGCTAAAAAAATTAAGGAATCCTTATGTTCGATATAAAATAAATAAATGATGTTAGGCAAAGCTTTGTTATCTTTTTAATTTCTCCTTTTAATTTTGGTTATGCTTGTGTCTCTTTCTAAGCCTTTATTTACATCCATTCATAATATGATAACTTTATTCTTGAGCAATCTTTAATGCTATTAAGGTCTTGTTTTCAAGTTTAAGCATCAGAGGTTGGAGACCTTTACTCTTAAAAAAAATGAATGGGAGATAGGTTTAATAATGCTTTCATTTGTTCTTAAGCTTCGTTTGGAAGCACAATGGGAAGGGTTGGGGCACATTATGATTTTGAACCCAATGACCTCTAATTACTCTCTTATTCTTTAATCCACATCAATAAGCCACAATTCATATAAAATCAATCATTTACTTGAGGGAATTTTAAAAGAATTTATACATGACGAAATGAAAATTTATGTGATCGGATGGTATTTATGGATTAGTTTAAAGTTGTCGAGATTAAAGTAAACCTTTAATTAATTAAGCATGTTTTATTATCAAAATAATGATGTTTATTAGATTGAGCACTCGTTCGTATCCCAATCCAATTTACCACTTGTCCTTACTAAGGTGATTAAGAGGTAATTAATTTTCACTATTATTAGCTCGCTGACTGAAACATCAAGGCAATTATGTTTCGTATCAGTAGTGAACCTTTTACAATAGTGGCAAACAAGAAATCAACTGAAAACAACACCTACGGTGATCAACCTCATTACATGCCATTGCACCATAACTCCATAAGTTTAGTAATTTATACTTTTCTTCTCATTGGTTTTTAAAAATATGTCTGAAGGTAATGATCATTTTGGTCGAGGTTTCAATAGGATGGAGAAATTTGAATCAAGTTTTTTGAGTAAATTGCAAGCTTTCTAAATTATAATAATATGAATATTGTATGGTAAATTGCTATACATAGTAGTAGTATTAATAAACACTACAACTATGGTGAAGAACATCAATTTCAAATTTTCACATAAGAACAATAATAAATTAAATCTTATATTTGATAATTTTGGGGTCAACTTCATTAAAAGGTCAAAAAAAAAATTATATTAGGTTTTAGTTTTGAATTTTTTTTACCACACTAAATTTTATAAAAAAAATAATTTTTTTATTTACTTTTTTAATTTTCATATCATTTTTTTATTATCTATATTCACAATTTTCATGATTTATTTTTAAAAATTTTAATTTTTTTAAAATCTAAAAACCCATTCCTTTTAATTAATGTACAAATAAATTTTTATTTCACATATTTAAACTATTTCAATTGATTTTTTTTTTTTAATTTTCACATAACCAAAAAAGAAAACTACTTTTTGCTTACAAGTTTGGTGAACCGCAAGCTTTTGGTTGTCTTGTCCATGTAGAAAATAAAGACCAGTCTTAAGAATCGTGGCGCCCCAAAACCAGTTGTCAACGTATCCTGAATTGCTGCCACATGCAATTCCTGACTGGTAGAGAAAATGAACTTCATCCCACAAACTCCAACCGCCACGAAACTGATTCATATCTAAATTTATATCTTTCCCAAATTTATTCTTGCCGCATAACCCATGCTGGAGCCCTTTGCCAATTGCATGTCGACACGTTAGAATGGTGCAGTTGCTGTCAATGGAAGTTAGGGGGCGTTTACTAAGGAAAATTTATGCAATTTTTTTTAAAATTTTACTGTTAAATATTTGATTTTACGTTTGATTTAAAATAATATGATTTCGAGAAAAAATAATAAATTTTTAACAATACTTAAAGTTTTAGAATAAAAAATTTATCTCTTTTCGTGATATTTTAAAAATTCAAAAAAAAATTACATTATTTTTAAATTAAACTTGAAAAAAAAATATGAAATAATCGTTATTATTTTAAAAAATATGTTTGGAAGTAACTATAAATTAGTTGAAGATTTTTGCTACTAAAAAAATATTTTTTTATATTATAATTAATATCATTTGGTATGAAAAAAACTTTAAATAATCATGTTTAATTTTCTAAAAATTATTTAAGATGTTTTCTTACTAAAAACACCTTAAATAATTTTATTTAATTTTTTTAGATTATTTAAAGTATTTTTAGCTAAAAAAATACCTTAAATAATAAGCTACTAAAATTTGAAAGGGATTATTTTATTATTTAAGATTTTTTTTTGGCAAAAAATATCTTAAATAATCTTCAAAAAAATTGATTAGCATTATTTAATGTATTTTCTGACTAAAAATGCCTTAGATAATCCAAAAATAAATCTCCAAAAATAAATATTAAAGGGAAATGTCGAAAATACAACTTTATGGTTAATAATTATATGCTATAACTTACTATGCTACTTTAATTTTTTTATGTTTTATTTCTTAAATCTTATAAGTAATGAAAGGTGCAAAAAACGCCTTAAATAATATGGTGCAAAAAAGTTAAGAGCATTATTTAATGTCTTTTTTTTTTTTTACCAAAAATGCTTTAAATAATCTCTTTTAAAAAATATTAGAGATTATTTAAGGTTTTTTGATCAAAAACGCTTTAAATAATCCTCTTTAAAAAATATTAAAGATTATTTAAGGCTTTTTTGATCAAAAACGTTTTAAATAATCTACTTTAAAAAAATATTAGAGACTATTTAAAGTGTTTTTAGATAAAAAAAATACATTAAATAATCTCTTCATATTTTTTAAATGGTATTTGTTTAAGGTACTTTTGGATAAAAAATGCTTTAAATAATCTTTTAAAAAAAAATAAAAGAAATCATTTAAGGTGTTTTCCAACCAGAAATGCCTTAAATAATCTTCAATATTTTATAAATAAAAATAATAATCAAATAAAATATTTGTCTTCTTTTACTATTAAAAGTATCATTTGTCATTTAGATATTTATTTTTTACAAAAATTAATTAAAAGTTATCATTATATATTTAAGAATATTATGATAATTATTCAAAAATTAATATATATATAGATTCTTTCAAATCAAACGAGTGAATCTAAATATAAAATATTTTTAAAATAAAAAAAATTCGAATATTATACTTTTTAGAGAATTATATATATATTTTAAATTTAAGATATAACGAACCAAATATCCTTTAGGGTAAAGTATATATCAGGTTCTTAATCAAATGGGAACAAAGGTACTTGTCTGAGGCAACCAAACTGTAAAGCTCTAGGGTCAAGGATTTTTACTTCATCAATTATTGGACCAACATTTTCCCATAGATTGGAAATCAATATTAAGGTGTGAACTTGCTTCAAAAAAAAAAAAGAAAAAGAAAGAAATATTAAGGTGTGAATTCAGCAGGAAATTATGCAAGCGAAGCGTACTAAAAGCGTCACCAATATTTGGTATATGCTCACTCTTTCACCAATATTTTTCCGGTGACTGTGGAACATTAATTTCATTATTAAAGCTTTTCTTGAAATTTTGGGTCACATTTTCGAAGAAAAAAAAGTTGTTGAAAGCAACAAACACCTTCTAATAATATTAAAATTAACCAAAAGCAATTAAGTTTGGAGAATAAAATAGCAAACAGGACCAAAGCAAGTGTTGATAATTTCCTAAAAAAAATAATTAGCCAAAAATGAAGATGGCCATTTTTTTTATTGCAAAGTATGTACTTTAGTGTACCAAATTATTTAAATCTGTTTGTTAATCATCAAACTTTGTAACAGGATAAGTTTCCTCCCCATAGTTTATTGGTCATAAGATCTTTTACATTAAGTAGTAATTAAAAAGATTACATAAGCATGGAGAATTAGTCAAAAAAAGCGGCATTTACCAACTAAGGAAAATGTAAATCTTGCTTACTTAAGTTTTTACATGATAATTTTATGGAAATGGTTAAGCCACGTGTTTGTGTAGTGGAAAACGACGAGCAGCTCTTTAATTAAGAAAAATGTCAATCCTGGCATGTGGCAGTCACCACCTAATATTTTCAATTTAAATATAGCTATATAGATTCTATATGCTGTACAATGAAGATCACTTTGGATTCTAAGATTACATAAACAAGAAGACTCGGTAAGAAGTTAAGAACACATTAGAATTGGATGGCTTTTTTTTTTATTGAATTTGTCATTTCTATAACTTTTCAGGAGGTGACTGAACATGTTCCCATACAATGAACAAAATTTATAGCTGTGCAGGATTCGACTGCATAAGCAAGATATGAAAATTGTGGAGCAGTGTGAGGCAAAGTGTCCAAATATGCTCTTTAATGAAATTAAGAAAATGGTGGCATGTGAAACTTGTCATTACTTGGGGATTTGTCTAGCTAATTATGCAAAATTATCAAACATGTTTCACTGCTGCTGAAATTTGGGTGCCAAAGATTCAAAAATTGGTATATATAGTGATCCTGTCGCCATGTAAACGTTTCAGTGTTTTATAGTCAGCCGCGGCTGCTGATCTCAACCTGCCAATAGCCAATCTGTTGTCACCAAACTAAATTAGCAGAGTGGCATCCAATCCGGTAATGGATTACTGTGACAGTGGCTGCAGTTTGGATATATATTATATCAGAAAACTAACTGCTGATCCAATTCAATAATAATGTTTGTTCATGACTGTACCAAATATCCTGAAATTCTAGAGCGTATCCTGAGAACACATTAATGAGAATAGTGACATGGGATGGAATTAAGGGCAAAGAAAAAAACTCTTTTTTTGATGATTTTAGAGGGTGATTTTGTTCTTGTCCTTGAAAAAGTGATCATCCCTAATAATTAAGGAGGAAATGTGCTTGGTTGAAATCTTTTTCAATCCTTAAAAGAGATCCATAATGGTTTATGGTTGATCCATAGCCACAGGTTGGCAATCATGCTCTTTTTAGAGTGATGGCTTCAAATCAGGGAAGAACTGTACTTCAATTATTAACATATGATACTTTAAAGGCTCCCACTGGATCCATGGCATTAGCCAGAACGCCACATATCTTCAATTTCTGCCAGATCAGTCAGTCTTTTCCCATTTTCTGAACCATGAAAATGCAAATTCTTTTGGAGGTCAGCCCATCACAATTATTCGCTTTTGAAGCTGGACAAATCCCTTTTTATTCATGTCTCATTTCTTTTTCTTTTTTTTTTATTTCTATATATATTATATAGGACAATATGTATGCTGCACAGATATTTAAAATAGAAAGTATTGCAACTAGTTTGCTCATGTTTCAGAAATTGCTTATCCTTGTTCTAGAAGTGGACAGTGATGCTGTAATGCATGTTCTAATAGTGGTCACGTGAAAGAGACAAATTGACATTAAACAACACAAAGCTAGCCCTACAATTCTTCCACTCATCAGTAGTTAACTAACTGAGGTCCCATCCCTAAAAATGTCAAAAGTGCTGATGCTGCATTGCTTCAAATATTTTGTCTCCATACTCCAAACCCATTTCTACAGCTCTTTGATTTTCTTAAGCAAAAGAAAACAGTGGCCCAACAGGCGTCACTCATCAGGCATTTTTCTATTATTGATCCCTAGAAGTGAGAGAACCCAGAAGAAAGAAAAAAAAATCGGAGATTCATGAGATCAGCTCTAGAATTTCTAGAACATATAGCAAAAATGAAAGTCCATTTTTAGTGCTGTACACTTCGCTTGCTTCTGCAGCTAATTGGACCATATTCTTGATTTCTGGAGTCTGGAGCGACCAAAGAGTATGGCAGCAGGGACAAAAAAATCAAGAACTTCCAACCACAGTGCTGTACACAAGGCTTATTTTCTCTGCATTGTATCAGAATCCAGAAGCAAAAAAAGATTTGAAAAAAGGATGGACTGATGAACAGATGCCATCAGACGGACAAGTTTTCCTAGCTAACACTATCAAGTCAAACATCTCTTAAACTCATGCATTAGGGAAAAATATCAAGTGCAACAAGATGAAAAAAGAAAGCTAATTGGGTTGATTAATGTTGGGTTTCTGTCTTTTTTCATGCATTATCTGGTCTCTTCGGATAATGATAAACAATTCTCGAGAGTTTTTTCTTGTATGGCAAGTTATAATGGATTTGACTTTAATTCAGACATTATGCAGTGTATCTATTTACGTGTCAGCTATCTGTTAACACCCATAGGATTAAGGAGGTTCCAATGAGGGCAGTTGTTGAACAAAACCAACTTTGTGACCAGACTCAAAGGGCAAGGAGATTCCAGAACCATTAGCACCTTCAGTTGAAGAGCATGGCCCAGGACAAACGTAGCAGTCTAGCAGATATAGTCACCTTAAAGGGTTTAAGTGGAAATTTACCAAATCAGAAATGCTATCAGTATTGTGATTAGGTAATCTAATTTTTAGAACTTGGCCTCAATGATTAAGAGGTATGTAGTTCATGATGATTATTCATGTGTGTGCCCATGACCCCACGACTATTGTCTAAAGAGATCCAAAGATTGGGCTTGGGCGTAGCTGTCGACAGATGATAGTTGGACTCTTTAATCCCCAATTTAAGCCCAACTTTGAACCATGGCTTGGCCTTCTAAATCCGAAACTTGGCAGTGGATTTATTAGTATCATCGATGGCAAGCATGCCGAGTCTGTCGAGTTCACTAAATTCCTTGATATGACGATGGAATTGTAATGCTTATGGAGATTGCACAGCAGACTTAACTTAAAGAAGAACCTTTTATTTATGTACCAACACTAAAGGAGATCAATTTTCTTTCATTAAGATTTTGAAACAAACAGAAACAAGTTTCAGCAACTACTGGTAAATGGCACAAGCTGAATACGAGGTTCTTGCTCTCAGAACTGCTCTTACACCTTTGGCCTCTTTGCTTCACTGTACAGTTGATCAATTTGATCCTGCAGATGATGTTGGCATACCATCAAGCCCATGGGAATAATATAATTTTCACATTTTACCATTAACTGTATTCTGTTCTTTTATGAGGTCCCAACAATTATTTGTGCTTTGCAGGATTATAGAAAAAGGGATAGAAAAGCATACCTTGTAGTATTTGAGCAGTTGTGGCCTCTTTAGTTTAAATGTTGGGGTTACCAAGTCCCTTTCCATGTCAAAGGGATTTGGTTCCAAGTGCACTGCTTTTAACAACTCAAAGCCTCTAAGCTGTGGAAATATATGGATTTTGCGTCAGTTGAGAAAATTTAAAATGCAGAGCTAGCATGAAGAAAATGTCTGACATTTGTCTACATACTTGATGCTTCTGACCAGTGCTGTTTAGCTCGTCTAAAATGTACTTCCTTGCCTTGGGGTTTTCACACAATGATTTGAAATCAATAGCTTCATTGTGTTGTATTGCCCAATCCTCTAGTGCCTTTCTTTCAGGGACTACCACGGCCACAAGAAATGACTCAAAACTGTTCCCATAAACCCAGATCTGACCATCGGAAAGTTCAAGAAACTCATGTTTAGGGCAATATTCGAATAGAGGTAAATCCTATTAATGGGAACTCATATATTGAAAGACATATATAGAAATGAGATGCTCTAGTCTGCAGCAAATCCACTTGTGCAATATACAGAAACATACCGATGCTACAAGAGGGCAACGGGAGTATGTGTTCTCAACATTCTCCACAGCAACGTATTCACCTTGAGAAAGCTTGAATATATTCTTTTTCCTGTCAATGATTTTCATTGATCCATCCGATTGTAATTCGCCAATGTCACCTATAACAATCTCAACATGTCTAATCAGTAAGACTTACAAGGAATTTTACAGTTTTTCTCCCATTCATCTGATGATTCTTAAACAAGTTAGAAAGAGGAGGTAAATACAGGTAGATATTCAGGAAAATTTGTCTCTACATATTGTAACTTTGATGCAAATTGGAATGTTTGTATTTGTACCTGTATGAAACCACCCATCAACAATAACTTCATCAGTTAGATCTTGTCTCTTGTAGTAACCTGAGAACAAGGTGTTTCCCCTCAGGCATATTTCTCCACGTGGCACACTGGAAAGTGCATCATATCCCATCTCTGGCACTGACTCAAGCCTTGCTTCAATGGTTGTCATGGGAACTCCAACAGTTCCAATCATAGACATTACGTTGGCAAGGGAAGTAAAACACCCACCACAGCTCTCAGTCAAACCTATAATGTTAAAAACTCGCAAGAAATTAGCACAGAGAAGAATACTTGGTAATTGTTATTTGAAAAATGAAACATAATAGTATGAGTTATTGGAAGTACAAGAAAAATAAAAGAGAAGAACACTTATTACCATATCCTTGTGACAAATTAGAGCAGCAAGAGACCCGCAAAAATTCTTCTACGTGCCTAGGCAACGGTGCTGCACCAGAAAACATCATACGAACTTTGCCTCCCAATGCTTGTCTTACCTACAAGAATTAACCTTTTTTTAGCAAGTAAAGCAGGAATCTTAATCAGAATGGAGAAGAGGTGTGGATGAAAACCTTGTCAAAGACCAATTTGTCCAAGAGAGGGGCTGCTTTGTCTTGTGGGAATCCAATCTCCATATTTCCTAATTTGCTGTTCATAGCTTTTCCATTAGTTGGACAGTAGACTAACACTCGAGTTAATCCAACAAAAGGGTTTACCATATAACTTACTAGTTATAGCCATACTGGAACAATTTCTTCCGAAGTAGACCACCAGACGAAATTTTGTTAACAATACCTTCAAGAACAAGTTTCAAGGATATTGCTTAGAACAACTGATATCAACAATATCAAGTTACATATTGTTATAGATAATTGTCTATATGTACCAGTGTATATGCGGTCATAAACTCTTGGAACCGCACAAAATGCAGTTGGCTTTAGTTCCTGAACATCTTCCATTAAAAACCGGACATCCTGCAAGTAAAGTAGGAGATCTGGATTAGATGCCTTTATACTTAAGAAAGAAAAAGACAATGGAAAATTGTACAGATTAAGATGATGTCAATCTTACCCCTCGCCAAAATCCTATTGAGGAACCTTTTTTGATGAAATAGGTCTCCATCATCTGATCATATACATGAGCCAGAGGAAGGAAGGAGAAATATGTATCTTCTTCCGAACACTGATAATGCAAAATTATGTAACCAAAATGGAAATTATTTTCAGGCTCAATGAGGAAAAAAAAAAGAAGAAAGAAAGAATATCAGAAAGCCATTGACAACATTTTATGGCCTAAAGTCTATATAAATTGAACAATATGACCAAGATTAGCTGACAGACTTGGATCCTAGAAAGATGGATGGTTCTGCCAAGCATAATTATCCTTTCTATTCTTGGAAGAATTGAGCCATTTCATTCAATTTTACTTTCTATGTCATGCACAAATTTTGTTTGTTTTACTTTTATGCATTAACTTTTCTTTTTTACCATGCATGTTTGTCCCTAACAAGATTTATTTATGTTTGCTTTCTCACCGCTCTGTCTGTAATGTCTATTAATTGATCTATGGACAACACTTCTGTCATGATTGCCCTGTTTGTAAGAACGACTCCTTTTGGTTCTCCTGTTGTTCCACTAGTATACATTATTGTGCAGATATCAGTCTTCTGTTTTGGAGGAAGTTCACATTCCAAAGAACCCTGTGGAACATCAGAGAGCAGGCGAAATTTTTGTAAAATCGGTCCAATTCACCAGTAAAACATCGTTTTGATCCTGATAATATCAACATCTTACCAGCTCAGAGAACTCTTTCCAAGAAAAGAGAGATACCCCAAGTCGTTCAGCTTCCTTCTTCTGTGTGCTAGAAACATTTGCAAGGCTGACAATAGCTGAGGAAAGAAGATAAATTCTTTAATTTTTAAGCAAGTACTGTAGAAAATAAATGATCTTAATTTCAAAACACCTAATGGAATTTCCACTCACTTTTTAAGTAAGCAGAACATGCTGGAAGGCATGATACAATCTGCACATGATCACAAATATATTGTGAATAAAGCTATCATTAAATGCTGCTAAAAGACCTATTTCCTGCAATTGGAGTGCACAAATTTGATAGAACATTAACTAAGAACGTACAGCAGGGAGCTTGTTCTCTTGAACAAAGGCTATTGAAACTTCAGCATGGTTAATGATGAACTCCACTGCATTAGCACCTGTCACAAATTAAAACCAGATGAATTTATCACTTCTAATGAAATGAAGACTGGACATGTAACTGTAATGCTCCCAGTTTATTACTAATCATCACACCTCAAAATGCGGTGCAAAAAGAGAAGATGTCTTACCAAGAGTATCGTACAGTGGTACATATGTTATAGCTTGACTGTTACAAGCCTGTAAAAGAGGGAACACAAACAAATTACATAATATAAGTTTGTAAAATTGTGATAGTGGCTGTACAATTAGAAGAAGTAGAGCAATTCAACAAGTGGTTATTACATGGAACATAAGTCATTTAACTGGAAAAGAATAGATACAAGACATACCTCCATAGCAATAATCCATTCTGGACAATTGGACCCATATATACCACATCGGTTTCCCTAAAAACATGACCGCAAATGTTTGGTTAATCTTCAGATTATTGTATGTAGTTATATAGGAATGACTGTTTGTGTTTTAACTAATTAACTGCAGGCTTACAGGATTGACACCGCGGCTCCTCATGGCAGAACCAATTCTAAGAGAGGTATCATAAGCCTCCTGGTATGTGATCCATACATAAGGACCAGCTTGCTGCAAAACCAAATGAAATCATGCATTTTAATATATCTTACAAGGAAACTGACCCATGTTATCAAATAACTTTAAGCCGATAAGGAAACCTCAATTTCCCTGTTAACATGTCCTTATCCGTAACATGGAATGCTTGATTAGGGGTACATATAATTTGGTTTTAACAGAATTAACTAAACAAACCTATTTAATTTGGTTATCAATCGGTCACCGAATTAATTTCAATCAGTTAACAAAAATAATTTAAAAAAAAATCAATTTTCAGTTAATTCGATTTTCAAATTGAATTAACTAAAAATTTAGTTGAAATATAATATGACATAAATATAAAATAAAATATATATAAGATGGATAACTTAATTTCATAATTTGTTAGAGTTTTTAAGATAATACTTTACCATTTAAATATTTTATTGAATAATTTTATTTAATTTGTTTAAAATATGAAAAATTAAAAATTAAAAATTTAATTTAATTTAAATACATTTATTATTCGATAAATAAAAAAAATTAACTGAATTGATCGAATTAAATTTAATCAATTAATTTTTAAAATTCATAAATAAGATTTGATTAATAAAAATAAAATAAAATAATTTAGTTAATTTAATTTTAGATAATTTAATTTAAAATTAATCTAATGGACCGTGTGATAAGTTTCATTAGCTGACAAATGGAACTCTGATTAATCCTGAAACTAACCAGGGCACCAAAACAAAGTAATACTTGCAATTATGAGTATTAAGTGTCAATTTGAATTTCATTATATTATAAGTGTGGTGTAATTAAATTTAAATATTAATTTTATTAAAATTTATTTAATCATAATTATAATAATAATTATTATTATTTTTAATTTTATTGTAATTAACCTCACCGTCTATTCAAATTCAAATGAAACCTAAGTTATTTCGTAAGCACGTTGCATGTTTCATTTCTTTCATCCTGCGCCAATAAATCTTTTATAGGAGATGGACTGAATGCGGCGTACCTTGGAATCTGTGGTTTCTCGACGACCCAGCATTCGGTTATTTGCGTTCCTTTTAACCGAATCCCTGAAAAAACAATAGTACTTCGGAATTAAAATTTTGTATTTAAATTTTAGAATAAAAAATATCTGGCCTATTAGCTCAGTTGGTTAGAGCGTCGTGCTAATAACGCGAAGGTCGCAGGTTCGAAACCTGCATGGGCCAATTAAAATAATTATTTTTTCACAAACAAATCAATGTTTTCTCTAATAACCGGCATTGTGCAAGCAATATAATAGTAATACTATGATGTTTTTCATTTTGGGCTGTTGGGCACCAAATCCCAACTATAAAAGTATAATTATCCAACAAACATGCCAGGCAAAGAAGAATGAAAGTGATACATGTCCAACTAGACGATTATTAGAATTAAAGGCAAAGAAAGGAGAAAAAAAAAAGAAACAAAATAAATCACAAAAGAAAATGATACGAACAATCGATCTTTTTAGCTCACCTAAAGAACTCCCACGGAGAATGCATTCCATCAGGCAAATCCAAGAGACCATCTTTAGCATAAATGCACCTATAAACAGGCCCAGCAGACGGCTTTTTCTCAGTTGCAGGCCTTGATTCTTCAACCTTCACAGTATATGTGTCCAACATTATGATCACTGATCACCTTAATGCAAACAATATTGACAGAATTTCTATGTGTTTTACAAATAAGCTAAGTTTTGCAAAAGTGTTAGCACCAAGAACTGAATTTATGTTGAATCCTGTGAGATGTGATAAGCTTTGGCAGACAGAGAGAGAGAGAGGTAGTAGGAGAGTTAGTTGAGCTGCTGCAATAAATTCAACGTGAGCCTGGGAGAGACATCTGAAGACATGATGCCCCAGGCAATGGGTTGGAGTTGGACTTATTTATGATGGTGGATGACAGGTTGGTGTGAAACTGTGAATTACTAATGTTAGTCTTCTCTCTGTTTTCTTTTGTCAGTTACTTACAGGAGAAAACAAACCCGCAAAACCTATAATTCTAATTGTTTTCTCCTCTCAATTAGTTTCCAAAATTGATGTGTTGTGAAGTAAATTAGTTCAAGATCGATGAACCTACCAAGACTTTTTTGCATGTTCATGGCTGGTTAATCAAAAGATATAAGTATTATTTTGGTGTTTAATTTAGATTATTATAGTAAGTATGTAACATGACAGGAACTGAAACCTTTTAACTATTGGGCCAACCATAGGCAAAAGGTGCTGTCATTGGGATTGAATGTCTGATAGATGAGGAAAATAAATGCTGCTCACCAAATAAGGAGGCAGTTGATGCTTTGGAGTTGTCACTTTAATATTTAAGCTTTTTTTTATAAGAATATCACATTTAAGATAAAAAAAATTAAGTTTCAAATTTGAATTTTAAATTTAATATTAAAATTTAACAAAATTATATGAATTAATTGAATTAAAATTTGAATTCATAATATTACTATATTTTGTAAATAATGTTATTAAAATTTTTATTTTGTGAAATTATCAAATATATTAATAAAAAAAACTTTTAACTTCATAAACGAGATTAATATGATAATATATATTCTTTATATATTTAAAAAAATTAATTTAAAAAAATGTTACGTGTTATCATCTTAATCTCATTTATAAAATTAAAAATTTTACCATCAATATATCAAATAATTTTTTTTATTTTTTTATAGGCAACTAATTCACTGGTCTTGAATCATTAATGATTAAACTACTTTAGTGACATTAAATTTTCTGAATTGATGCTGTGTTCTTGCAAGAAACAAGACCAATCCACAAAATAATAATAATAATAATAATACAGTATTGCCGGTGGACTCCACAGACCATGGGACTGGACCAAGCCTACACTTTATCTCCGGACCGCCCAGCCCAAGTCTTTTATCTCGACCGGATTCCAAGCCTTTTTGTTTTGTTTTCAGCCAATAATCCAAGCCCGTTTGTTGAAGTGATCATCCTACTTTCAAATCCTTGTTAAAAAGATAATATTTATTTAGATCTTTTTTTTTTCATTTGATGAAATGAGAAAAAAATCTCATTGAAATTCACTCAGATTTTTCACTATACCAAAGAATATTAAGATAATCAAATTACCAAATACCATTAACATACTCTTAAGAATCTGTGTTGCTTTTGGGTTCATGATTTTTATTATGTTTTTAAAGTCAAAAACTTTAGTTTGACCATGACTTTCAACAATATTTAAACCCAAGAAATCAAATGCGTACGTCATTGGAAACATTAGGAAAATCGCAATAACTTACAAAGTTTTGAAACTTTAAATAAGTTTAAAATAAGATTTATAGGTGTCTATAAACATTAATTAAAATTAATTAAAATGTTGTTTTTAGAAAGGTTTCTTACATTTTTTTTTTTGACCAAGGAAAAATTTGTACATTTAATGAATGGCACTGATTAATATTTAAAAAAAAAATTAATGCGGTTTAAACTTTATTTTAAAAAATAATTATTTAGTTATTAAATAAATACATAATAATTATGTACATTCACTTACAAAATTAAAAAAATTTAATGGTTAAAAATAAAATAATTTTTTTTACTTGCCTTGGAAAAACCTTGTAAATAATTGCAATGAAATCATTTTCCACAATAATTGTGTGATTAATCAATTTATTAATCATAGTCGCCAGAGAAAGCAAAGTTAAAATATATTAAAATTACCACCATAAGTTATTTTTCAAAGGGATAGACATCAGATAGCATTTAGGTATGATAATTTAGAAAGTAATACAATAATATAATATTAAAATGATAAAAATATATAATAATAATAATAATAATAATATAATTTAAAATTTTAATGATAATTATATATAAATTTAATAAAATTAAAAATATATTTTATATTTTATATCAATATAAATTTATAAAATTTTAATATTTTATACGATAAAATAACACCCATAATTAAATCCAACAGGGACGGTCCACTCTCAACTTTCTATGTCTTACTAAAATTGCCGGCCGCTAAGTTTGTATGAAAGGGTACTCATGTGTTAATCTGTCTTCCATTTCTTGGAAGATCCTCACCAGGTGGGTCACCACATCGAATCTTCTTCCTATCATTTTTTCTGATTTATGGAGTAAATTCCTTACGGTACAAAACAGTCTCTTAATCTCAAATCCCCCAATGATCACAAGCCACGTAACGTTAAGACAATTTAACTTAATCACGCGCGGAACCACGTCGAAAGAGTTCCTTACGTTTCAAGAAGAGAAAACAGGGAAATCCGATTGCAAGATGTGCTCACCCGCGGAGAACAAAACCTCCTGACGGCCTAAAATTCACCAATGTCGACGTGTCGTCTACGCGCCATCCCCCCATCGACAAGTCGTTGGGTCAGACCAGACAAAACAGTCAACCCTCCAACATTAAATCTCCCTAAGAACTTGACTCCATTTCTAAAAACATCACCTTAGCACCACTCTGCGACTCAACTCCATCGGCAGATCATGGGGTTCACCACCCGGGCCCCATCTCCATCCCCGACACCCTCCCCATCTCCCTCGTCATCACTGCCACCGTCTTCATCGTCATCGTCATCTACATCAACATCATCATCCTCATCACCTCCTCCTTCAAAGCTTCCAGTTGATTTCAGCCCAACGTTGATCGCCATGGTTGTGGTAGTTGGTGCAGCATTTTTAATCGTTACATATTCACGTCTCATCTCCAAGAGGCTGGTCCCTCCAATTCTCCGTCTACTCCACTTCTTCCGCTTTCGTAGCCGCCGCCGTCGTTACCTCCCATCTACCACCACCGACCTCGACTCTCTTCCACCCTCTAATCCCTTCGAACTTCCTCTTTCCCCTTATGGCCTCGATGAGTCTGCCATCAAATCCCTGCCTCTTTCCCTCTACACTTCAAAAACAAAACCCAACAACAGCCCCAAAGACTGTGCCGTTTGTTTGTTAGAGTTCGAAGACAATGAATACGTCCGAACACTCCCCGTTTGTTCCCATGCCTTTCACGTGGATTGCATCGACGTTTGGTTGAAATCACACGCTAATTGCCCTCTTTGTAGAGCTGGAGTTTTCGCTACAGACTCTCCTTTTACTCCGTTAATGGCAGCCAGAATCCGTCCTAGCCTTGATGACAATCTTATGTTCAACAGCACTATGGATTCCCTAAGGGAAACTCCTCTGCAGTCTCTTCCAAATAACACCATAACGGAAATAACCGAAGAGCCATCACCGAGAAGAGCGAATGGGAATGATAATTGTGAGGAAAGGTTTAATTTTGTGTTGAAAAGGTCGTATTCGTTTGGTTTCGAGAGGAGTTTAGCGGCGGAGAGGATGGTAACGGAGCCCAACACGGCGTCGCCTTGGAGGTATAGGAGAGGAGGGAATGGGTTTTGGAGCAAAAGGGCGTCACCGTTTGGATCGTTAATGATGAAACCGAGGGTTTTCTCTTTTAGGAATTACAGAGGGATGAAAGGTTCACCGTTTTTTCGACGAAGAGGGTTTTTCCCACTGTCGGAATCAAGTGTTCGATTTTCCGGAAATAGCGGAGGCGGCTCGTCGAGGAGGAGTAAGTCAATGGCAAGTCCCATGTTTTTAAGATCAGCGGCTTCGGGCGTGGCGGCTTTCTCTTCAAGCCGCCTCAGGTGCGGGGATCCCGAGGCACTGCTGTCACCGGAGAGGTTTAATAGAAGATAAAAGGGGAAAAAAAAGAAAGAGAAATCATTGCTGGAAAAACAGTGGTACACGTGTAAGATTGGATAGAGAGATCAACGGGGAAGTGACGGTAGTAGATTTAGGTCCGGTGAAATTAATGGGAAACATACAAAAGAGAGTTAATGTCCGAAAGAGAGAGAGAAGGAGAGAGAGAGAGAGAGAGAGGGGAGAGGTTTCGGCAATGGTAGAGAAGGCTCATAAATGCCGAGACGTTGGACTTCTTGGACGAAGGGTTCTTTATATCGTACGGCTCCATTGTAACAATGTCGAATTAACCGATGTTGGTTTGGCTATGGTGCGGCTTTGGGGTTGAGTTGACTTGGGTTAGGTTTGGTGTTTTCTCTTTGTTCCACCGACGAGGTCCATGTTGGAATGCTGCGACCATGCATTTGATACAAAGCCGATCTCAATTCTCATGTGCTTGCCATGTGGGGATGACAAGCACCGCATCTGGTTTTTTTATGGATAAGATAGAAAGAGAGGGAGAACAAATGGCAGCGGGTAGAGAGTAATGAGTCATTTGTTTTGTTATGCTCATTTATGTACTCTGATGAAGCATGAATGCTTGATTTTGTCTATTCAATTTGGTTGTCACTCTTCTACTTCTATGAATTCAATGGGGATTATACTTGGAATTGAAGACATTAATTTCGGCTTTCAAATCCCCTGCTCTAATGCATTTCCTACTGATTCTTTCATTGTTCTATTATTCATTCCTAAATATTAAGAGGGATTTAAGACATTGTTTGTACCTTCTTTCTACCTTTTTTTCATGTAACCAATGGTAATAGATTGAGATAAGCACAAAATATAGGATAACATTCAAAGTTCAACTAACACCAAATATAATAGGCTAATGCCTTAATGGTAATTACATCAATCTTTGAAAAGTTTTGTTTATTTTATATTTATTTTTTGAATTGTAAAAATAAATTAAATTCAACTTCTTGAATGCAACAAGAAAATGTTCCAAAAGTGGAGAAGATGTTTTGATAAGTTATCCGAACAAAAAGATGAAACTTGCAGTTTATTGGTTTTAATTAAGTTGGTTTATGTATTTAGATGTGACATTTAACAGGTCTAAAGTTCAAATACATGAGCAAGGCATACGGTTTGTGAAACATTAAATTAAATAATAAAATGAAAAAAAATCCATGTGGGGTGCTTTTTGCTTGTCCGAAGCACCTTGTTTCCATCCTTCTCCTGTCTTCCCCGGGCACCAAGAGACATGCAACCACTTGACAGAAACATGTCAGGAGGTTTTGAGCATCATCGGAAATATACTTGGAAACAGAGCCTATGGAATGCCAAGAAAAGACACCATTTTTCTTATCAAGTGACATTTCGTTAGGTTTAAATTAAAGATCTCAAACAGATTTCTTTCTGTTGAATAGAAGTAGAGATTTTCCTGATTTGATGAAATAAAACTACAGTGGATAAATCTAAACACATGAAGGGGGAAAAACCTTGAGTAGTGCAGTATTTATTTTGATAGATAAACGGTGCAAGCAATTATGCAGGAGAAACATGATGAATGTAATAGAGCTATAAAAACACAGAAGATCTATTTGTACATAAATAAATTTCAAAGATAATGGTAATCAAAGGAAAAAGAGAGATGAAACTAGCACCAATAAATGAATAATTTGATTCCCTGGAGCTCCATCGCTCTAGGACTGTGCCACCTTCCAACTTGAGCTCTTTCTTTTGCACTTTCATTCGCGATTGTCACAAATTAATCTGATAAAATTTTAGAATCAAAACGAGAGCTTAGATTTCTATATTTCTAGCTATAATGAGCAAAGCTCAGCATCAATGATAAAGTCATAAAACTACTAGAAATTCAAACTCAAGCGTCACGACCTCACTCTCACAACCATGAATTTATATGTAGACAGCACACTTAAATTGTCAGTTTTATTACTTAAATGCAGTTTGTAAGTTTTAATAGCAGCTCAGATCTGTCTCCATATTATCGATCACATTGCTAAGAATTTAACAAACAACTTGTATCAAATTGTATTGTTTTATTACCAACAGAGGGCCATCATCAAAGTTGACTATACCTTTTTGCAAAAAGAAGATATCAGCCTTTACATGGGATCGAAATTTCTAATGCATCCACCGCAAAAATTGACCTGCATTATCCAAAATGAAACTCAATACAGCTTAGACAATCACTATCATGCTCCAAAAAGCACAAATAAGATGTTAATCTCAAGAACAACTTACCATCAGCATTCAAGCTAGTGATGGCAATTACCACTAGTAAACAGGTCTCATCCACTTGTAAAACAATAGACATCTAATTGTCCTCCTGCCTTTTTTGAGTTTCTAAAACCTCCTTTCTCAACATTGTTACCATTTCCTCATTTCGTAGACTCAAATAACCTTCAATAAAAGCATCATATATCTCCAGATTCGGCTTAAACCTTTCCCCACCATGTCAGCTTGAAGCTTTAATGCTTCTTCCATCTTTCCCTCCATGCACAAACCTTTTATTAAAAGCTCATAACTCTTCCCCATCGGACAAACACCAAGTTTCCTCACTGCCTTCATTATCTCCGAAGCTTCAAGTACCATACCTTTATCACAAAGTCCTCTAATCAACACTTCAACAATTAAAACCTGCTCCCTACACATATCTGTATATATCAACATTGCCGAATCAATATCCGCAACTTTACAATATCCATTAATAAGATTCTCATAAGTAACACAAGTAGCCTCTATTCCATTCAATCCCATTTCTCTAAACAACTGCTCAGCTCTTACAATATCTCCACTTTTACACAATCCATCAATCATAGTATTATAAGCCACAATATCAGGCTCCAATCCCTTAACTCTCATTTCCTCCCATAACTCTTCTGCTTCTCCAACCTTCCCCTCCTCACAGAAAGCTGCCATCAAAACACTATAACTATAACCATTCGGAAAACACCCCAAGCTCTCCATTTCACTCCAAACCTCTTCCACTTTCTCCAACAAGCCTTCACGATAAAAACACAGCATCAAAGCATCAAAAGTATGCAAATTTTGCCGTACTTTTAAAACCCTTTTCACATTACTTTCTCCCTCACCATTCCCTACTCCAAAAACCTCTTTATAAACCTCATATCCCTTAGTTGCTCCTCGGCATTTCGAAACCTCCCAAATCAAAGCAGTACACGTACTAACCTGAGGGCTAATCCCTCTAGACATCAACATTCTAACAATCTCAATAGACCCCTCAAGTTTTTTCATTTGCATACAAGATTTCACTAACAAATCAATAACAAAAGGGGCAGAACCACACTCATTATAAGTTTTGACTAACAATTCAAACAGTTTCAAATGGGTGGGCTCGTTTTCAATACCTGGGGTCCGAATTGCGACGGTTTTGAGGCGGCCACGAGAGAGGATGTGAATTATGGTCGAATAGCAGGAGAGATTGTGGTTGCAGAGGGATTTTTGTTCGGTGAAGAGGAAGAATCGGAGGGCAAAGTGGGGATTGTCTTTGAGTTGGAGGGCAATTTGGGAAAATTGGAAGGGGGTGAAACCGGAGGGGAAAAGAGCGAGGAAGGTGGACCAGCGGGATTTGGAGCGGTGGTAGGTGAGGATGGAAGTGACGGTGGAGATTGAATCGGGTCGATCGGACTGAGGAGAAGAGGTGGTGGAGAAGGAATATACGGAAAGTAGTGGTTTTGGGGTTTTGGGAGGGACATGGGGTTTAAGGATTTGGTTTGCCATTAAAAACAGAGGAAAACGGAGAAACGTTAATTTTTTATTGTATTTAATAAACCACTATTTCAAAATAATAATAATAACAAAAAAGAGCAATACTGTGACGTTTTAATCACATTCAAAAGCTTTCAAACTACCAAATACTAATTGGCAAAAAAAAAAAACAAAAAACTAGAAATATATTAGTAGTAAGTGTTGCCAGATAGGAGGTTCATCGTGTCTATTAACTTTATGTATTCGAATCTTGAAATTTAAAATGTTCAACTTAAATGTAACGAGTATATGATAAATATAGTAGTGAAACATCTAAGTAGACGATGTGTTAAGTCAACTTGAAGTGTAAGTTTAAGGGAGCACTGAAATAACCTAGATGGTAAGGTTGAGTGCTGTGGCTTAGCCTAAAAAGCGCACTAAAAATGTGAGGTTGCCTGGCTTAAAGGAGATATTTATAGGACTTACTCGCATGAAATAGACGATGTGAGACTTAATCAGAATTCATAAGTGAAGGGGAAAGATTATCAGGATATGATTCACATGTGAGTAAAAAATCTCATATTATTAGAAAATTTGAATGAGATATCTTATATATGTATGAAAGGCCCATAAACCTAATAGCTTAAACTTTTTGGGCTCAAGTGATATTCAATATGTATATATGAGCTTTTTGGTGTGCTTTTATGTTGTGATTTATCTCTCTAACAAGTGATATTAAAGCCAATATTACGGATTTGAGTTTTAGTAGTGTTGCTGAGTGAAATACTGTTGGAATATCGGAGGTTGACCATGTCCATCAACTATATGTGTTCGAACTTCGGTATTTAAAAAGTTTGACGTGGGGGGAGATACACTACTGGGGTATTTAAAAAGTTTGACTTAAGAGGAGATACACTAATTGGAGAGAGATTGTTGACAGATCAGAGGTTAGTCGCATCCATCAACTCCATGTGTTCAAACGTCGGTATTTAAAAGGTTTGACTTGAAAAGAGATTATTGACAGATCAGAGGTTGGTCACGTTAATCAACTTCATGTACTCGAATGTCGATATTTAAAATGTTTGACTTGGATATAGCAAGCATATGATAATATGCAGAAGTGAAACACTTAAGTGGATGATATATTGAGTCAACCTGAAGTGTTAGCTAGAGGGAGTACTGGAACAACCTAGGTGTCAAGGTTGAGTGCTTTGGCCTAGCCTCAAAAGTGCACTAGAGATGTGAGATTATCTGACCCAAAGGAGGTGTTAATAAGACTTACTTGCACAGGGATTATTCGCATGAAGGAGCCAAGGTAAGACTTGATCAAAACTCACAAGTGAACGTAGAAGATTGTTGAGATGCGAACGGGGGAGATTGTTGGGAAGCCCAAAAAACTGCACTAGAGATGTGAGGTTGCTTGGCCTAAAGAAGGTGTTAATAGGACTTGTTCGTATAGGGGAGCCGATGTGAGACTTGATTAAAACTCACAAATGAACGGGAAAGATTGTTGGGATATGGTTCACATGTGAGTAAAGAATCACACATCATCTTACATTATAAGGAAATCTGAATGAAATGTCTTATATATGCATAAAGAACCCAATAACCTAATAGCTTAAGCTTTTGGACTCAAGTGATTTCTAACATGTATGTATGAGCTTTGAATAAGATGTTTTATATATACATAAAAGATCCAAGAACCTAATAGTTTAAACTTTTGGACTCAAGTAATATCTAACATATATGTATTGACTCTCGGTGTGTTCCCATAAGCTCCAAATGTGATTTATCTCTCAATAGTAAATGATAATATGATGAATTATGCTTTAAAAAACAGAAGAAAAAAGGGTATGAAAAAGTAAGAATGTAAATGATATATTAATATTTATAAGTTATTCGAGTATGATTTAAATGAAATTTAAATTTGATTTAATTATTGTCGAGTTAAACTTAAATTTGAATAGTTCAATTTATTAATAAATCCAATACAGATGTTTTAATGTTCAGTTCAAATAATTTATGAATCTAATCAAATTTTAAAATTTTGATATATTTTTATTATTTCAATTAAAAAATTATTATTTTATATATATATATATATATCAATTCGAACTCAAATTCGAATATATAACCAAAATTTGAATATAAAAATTAAAGTCATTTTTATTAATGAATTTAATTAAACGAATTTAAATAACTTAATTTTTGTTTCAAATCGAATTTAAATTTAAAAAATTAAAATTTGATCAATCAAATTTTAAATAATAAATTTTAAATCGAGTTTAAATTTAAATTTTTAATTATATCAATTCATTTCGATACGATTACATCAAGGAAAATTCTGCACCCATGACCCAGTTCCAGCAAGAAAAAAAAGGGAAGGATCTGTTTGAGAAAGCCTGTGGATAGGGATGTAAATGATACATTAGTATTCGCAAGCTACTTGGGTTCGATTCGATTATTATCGAGTCGAGCTCGAGTAGCTCGACTTATCGATCGAGTCGAATTCGAGTATTCTTATATCTGACTTGAGTAGCTCGCGAGCCTAATCGAATTTTTATATTTAAATATATTTTTATTATTTTAATTAATAAAATATTTCGAATCCGAGTCCGAGTTCGAGCATGAATAATCAAACTCTTATCGAGTATACGAATCGAGCTTATTTTTACATATTAATCGAGTTTAATCGAGCGAGCTCGAGTAGCTTGAATTCGATCACGAATCGAAGTCGAGCTTAAAAAATAAAACTCGATCGAACTCGAGCCTAATATCGAGCTCCGAATTATGAGTCGAACTCAAACTTCTCACTATTCGACTCGACTCGGCTCGATTACATCTACCTGTGGATAAAGCAAAAGAAAGCATCGAATTCATGGTCCCCTTTCTCCATTGTAGCAAGTACAGTACTGCAGTAGCTGAATGTGGACTATTATTTCACTAACCCTAGCAGTTGTTCGAATATTCCAGATGTTTTTCATTTTTTTTTCAAAAGAAACCAAATCAATAGAGAGAAAGAAGAAACTACCATGACATTATTATCTGATAATCTTTTTCTTCTATACTCAGCGCCATTGATCGTTGACCAGGATGGCCTAGAATCTTCATCACCCAATTCCACATTCTAACGGTAAATATGAACTTTCAAACACAATGAATTGCTCTAAAAGATTTAACTCAAAGGCCTTTGAATTCCAATTGGTGACTCAAGCCGTCTGTAACCTTCATATGTCTCTGTCTCTCTGACTATGACCTAAGGTGATCGAGCAGGACTATGACCAGGACATAGCTGGTGCAGCCAAGTGCTGCAAGTGGCAGAGCGATAGTCCTATTGCCATTTCCAGATGAACTGATAGCATTTTAATTAGTTATCAATAAATTGCTGTGTCGTCCAAGAGTTGGGTTTTTTTTGGCAATAGCCTAAGCGCCTAACAGCAGTAAAGAATAAAGTTTCTGAGAACTTAATACTCCCATAGCAGAAAAGATAGTGAAAGCAATTAAGAATTGTAGTTAATTCTCAACTTAATATCATTATCTTAACCAAGCTGCTTTTTTCTTATCTCTTGAATTGCCTTTTAAGCAATAATAGTACTTTGATTTATTAATTAAACCAAGAATAAATTCCATTTAATCACATGCCACATCAGTATGGAGACAGATGCCAATCATAGAACTTATGGCACTCAGGTTGAAGATGCAATCATATAAATTGATATATAAATCCTTTTATTATAAGCTAAGGAGTAAAATATCATATCATCTGAAAGAATTTTGGAGATTATGATAAGGAAAAACAACCTATGGACTGGGATTTGTTCTCATATGTCATCCTTACTAGTAAGATAAAAATGGAATGGAGAAGGAAGATTATTCTCTAAATCATCTTCCACATCTTGAGTTCAAACAGAATTGAATACCAAGAGTTATGATTCTATTTCTATTCTAGCATTAGATTTTATGACCAATCGATGGTATCCTATTCGATCTGTATCCTTAAAAATGAAAAAAAAAAACCAATAACTGCTTTACTTGTATTAATAGTAGTTTACAACTTGGGAGGGAAACATTCCCAGGTTTCTTTCACGCAATGCTGTTGGATGCTATACCCATGTCTGAGAAAGAGATTAAAATACCACAATACTGCCTTGATAATGTTGCTTATATCTTAAAATCATCTTTTTAAGATGCTAAAATTCTTATTCCCTCATTAGATTTTCACCAAGTATTTGATCCCTCTAGATAGATCTTCCCCTTAATCCCTTCAATAGTTGTTTACCTAATATACTCCTATTAATTGCATCTTCAGGTTAAGCTAAAAACCTTTAGACTTAAAGGAAAAAAAAAAAAGAAGAAAGTTCCAATGAAGAGAGAGTACAGCTAGCCAGGTTTCCATTCAGCTGAAGAATTGGCTTGTTTCAAAGATGATAAATTAATAGTAGTTGTGATCTTGATCTTTGACACATGAATGATTTTTGTAACCATTTCAGTTCACTTTATTTAAGTGGATCACATAAAGTGAAAATTCGTATTCTTCTGTGGGACATTTCTAAAAATGCCTTATGTCTGCTCTTTCCCTTCTTGATATCAGGATCCCTATGTACAATCACTTACCACCATCACCACCATCACCACCATCTTCAAGCATAATTCCCTACTTTGCTTCAGTTTCAAGCCAAAACTACATGACTCTAATCTGAAAGCTAACCATAGTTTCCAGAATCTCAACTTTGCTTCAGTTTCAAGCCAAAACTACATGACTCTAATCTGAAAGCTAACCATAGTTTCCAGAATCTCAATAGCTTTTTTTATCTCTTTTTATCAGAACACAAAGGTCGCCCTTTAACCATTATAAATCACCATTTGGGTTGTTTCTTTAGAGGCCACAAAAGAAAAAAAACCATGAAATACAATGAGATTTCCCATTTCAGCCACCCCCAACACATACTCAAACTTGAGTACACTGAAGTTCCGTTCAAGTGTGATGGCTGCAAAGAAGTTGGAATAGGCTCACGTTATCGATGCTCCTTCTGCGATTTTGATCTCCACATGCACTGTGCGATGCCATCTCTTTCAATCTCTCACCCCTTCTACACAAAATGTTCCTTTCAGTTCCTCTCAAGGCCACCCGGTGTCTCCCCTCGTTACTGCAACGCTTGCGAAAAGGATGTAACCGGCTTCGTTTATCATTGCAAATCATGTGGATTTGACCTTCATCCATGTTGTGCAAAGCTACCAATGGTTTTAGATGATGGTGAAGTGAAACTCTATCTGCATAGGAAGGTAAGTGCACCATGTCATAGATGTGGGCGTAAAGGGAGGAGTTGGAGTTACCGGTCTGCTTGCAAAAACTATAATTTACATGTTGCCTGTGTTAGGGAAATGTTAATGGAGAATTGGCATGAACTATACTTTAAAAGTGGTAAGGGCACTAGGAAATTGGACACTGGAATTCCAAGCTTGAAAAATACACTTCAAACCCCTCATAAAAGGAGTAAAGGCAAGGTGAAGAAATGTTGTGAGATGGCTGCTTTGGCTCTGCAATTTGTCATATCAGCTATGCTTGGGGATCCCACCACTCTTATTGCTGGGGTTATTGGAGCTTTGATGTCCAGAGGTTGAGTTCAATTTCTAGGTCTTCAGATGTTGTCTGATTGATGCAATTTAATCACGCAGCTGTCTGTAATAAGGAAAACCCAAAAAAAAAAAAAACATCCAGGATGTTTAGCTTTTGGGTACCGAATGCAACATCTATTGTGAATAAATTTTATATATGGTTAAGCCATTGTCATGAAACTGTCTTATTTTAGATTTCATCAAAGCCACTCCGAACAAATTTTGATAGTGGACTCGTTTGAGTTCAGAGACCCAAAAGGAAGAAAAGCCCATATTACAAAAGCCATGCCTTCATGGATATAATTATGAATCTTGGGTCTTAGCCCATTTATTTTTAGACCAATATTTTTCAGTTAGTTCAATTAGTAATATCCATTTATCAATGGGGCTGGAATTGGATCATAGTATGACAAATTGAATTAAGTTCAGCTTGAGCTTTGTAGTAATAATTTTTTTTTAAAACAAAGAGCTTCTACTAATTGTCCTGCTCGATTGGGCTCCATCCTGCCTATAGAAACGTCCAATCTGTTTTTATATGTTTTTTTTTTTAATTATTTATCATTTGATTCATCAATTGTATAAATTGTATTTAGTAATTATCTTTTATATCTTTGATCATGTTTGATACATAAGATAATAAATATGATAGGATAATAATTATTTTATATTATGTTTAATTTGTATCTAAAAAAAGAGATAGGATTGTAAGGAAGATTACTTATCCTTTTAGTATATGATGATTCAATTCTCTCAAAGTGGAGAGAATTATTTTTAATTCATGAGATTAAATTTACATGTTATATTATATCCTTAAAAATTACATCGATAATATAAATTATATAAACTTTGAGAAATGATAATTTTAACCAATAAATAAATTATTTTATCTTAATTCTTGCATACATCAAATAAAAGATAATATGACATTATTTAATTTAATACTAATTATAATATCATTTTATCATATCTGTCGGGGGCAGTTAATAGTCTAAAGGATATTATTAGCTTTTCTCTTTATTAAAGATTGCCAATAGATAATCAATTCAATCATATGATTTTTGCCTCCCACGAGTTCCTTGCCTCTTGCCTATCGATATGGATATCGAGTTATTATCATTCCATTTGACTTGCACATAGAAATACAAATACAAATAACACTTTTTGCCTTTACTTTTAACCGTTTTATTTTTTTTTTTATCTTTTTAAGAATACCCTTAGGTCAAAGCTTATAGCAAAAACTATCATATCATAATTTTATATATTAAACACACAATTTATTTATTATAGCCTCTAATTTCATATTCAAGAATAAGGTTTTCACCACCAATTTATTTTGTAAAATGCTTTTTATTATATCATTATCAAGCATAAAAAGGTTACCTTGGATAATTTGAAGATGTTAAGTTCAAAAAATGACAAGGAATCCCATCTAGTCAACAAAGAAAAAGGATCAGAAAAAAATATATATATATATATATGTGTGGATGAATTGATTAATTACCTTTTTAATTAAAATAAACTTTATATTTAACAAATTAATGTCTTTTGTTTGATTAACCTTGTAAACCAAGACATGTCTTCTCTATAAAATCATTAATTCCAATCTCCATAGATGAAACAGCTTGTTAAAAAATGGGCATCTGCAACTCATGCGAGTCAACTTCAGTTGTTACAGCAAAGCTAATCCTCCAAGACGGCAGTCTCCAAGAATTCACGAACCCCGTTAAGGTTTCACATATACTAGAGAGAAACCCTAACTGTTTCATCTGTAGTTCAGATGATATGGACTTTGATAGCACCCTTTGCGCCGTTGATGAAGAGGATCAGCTTCAACTAGGTGAGCTTTACTTTGCTTTGCCTTTGAGTAGGTTAAATAACCCTCTCAGCACCGAGGAGATAGGTGCCTTGGCTATCAAGGCAAGTCAAGCTCTTAATCTGGGTGGGACTGGAAAGAAGAAGTTTTGTGGGTGTGGGTTTAATGAAAAGGTTGATCCTCTCTTGCTTCCTAGCAAGAGGGTTGCAAAGTCTAGTTTCATGGCGACTAATGGTGGCAGCAACGGAGGTGTAGCTGTTGGCGGTGGTGGAGGTTTTGGAGTGAGGAGAAAAACAATAGGCGCCGAAAGGAGATCGGGAAGCAGTTTTGCGGCAAAGTTGACTGTCATTTTGGAAGATCAAGTAAATTGATCAGCTGATTTAAATTGTGCCAATGTTGGTTGATTTATAAGTACTCCAAATCATGAAGTTTTTAACATGTTCTAATTTTTTTTTTCTCCTCAATTGGTGTAGAAAACTACCTGATTGTTTAAAGCCAAGAATATTGAGAAAAGTAAATTATATTTTAAAAACTTTTGTTACTTATATTATCTTGAATTCTTTTTATTGCATGTCCTTATCAATTAGGACCATTGTTATCAACATTAAAACAAGACTGCATTAGGGTGAAAAAAATATTCAGGGGGGACAGCTCCAAGGGGTTTCTTCTTCGTTGATCAAACCCAACAAATTTATAAGGAAGAATATTTTGAAAGAAAGAATATTAATAGAGAGTTTTTAATAGACTTATTCAAGAATCGAGTTATTTATTCATATTTGAAAGTTTATCTAAATTTTGAAAAGATTTGATTGAAAAATGGAAGTTCATTAAATAAATTTGAACATAATTTTTAGATTTGTTTAAATTTCAAACTAGACCTTGAATAAAAGAATTAAAATCTAAGTCCAATCTGAATAAAATATATATAATTAAAATATTATAATTATATAAGTTTATATATGTAAATTTTTATTTTTATATTTTATTTTATTAAAAAAAATTTTAAAATTTTTTATTTATATAAATTATGTTTAATGGATGTGTTTAAATTTATTTTTTTAATTTAGATCAAATTTTAAAATTTTTTTTAAATTTAAAATATCAAATCAACTTAAATCTAAATAAACATATAAATTATTAATATAAAAAAATAAACCCAATCCGGATTCGACCCGATCAAGCCATGAACCCCTTTGGTTTTCAGCGAGTAGAGTAGATAATTAGATAATTTTGATGCAAGAAGGGAAAAGCACACACCCAAAAGAAGTCGTAGGGTCAAAGAAAGGCATATAGTGGATTTCTTTTTCACAGAAAAAAAAAAAAAAAAGTTAAACTTCACTGTCATAGAAAACGTAATTACAACAATTATTTAACATCATTTTTACCACATGGTTGATGCCTTTTTGACTTTGTAAAATCGTTTCCACGGCTTCTATGTTTGGCAACAAGAAAAAGTGAGGCTGTAGGTACACTTTCACAAGCGTTTTGAATAAAGAAACAAGGCATGCAGCACACTAAAGAAGCAAATCCCCACAAGATTTGTGGGTTATTATGCCACACGCCATATGTTTTGATATGGGAAATTACTTGTGAATTTCCCTGATTAGACCTAACCAAAGAAGACTATAATGAACATTTAACATTTCCCATTGTCTTTTGCTAATACAATTGTCAGTTTTTCAACCAAATTAAAACAGTGGCCGGCTTGAATTCTCCCTCACCGCTTGTTGATTAATTAGGACCTTGTTCATATTCTAATGTGGGTGAATGTAAAAAGATGAAGATCCCATTTCCATGGTGTCATGCCATGTTTCTGTTACAACTTGATTTTTGAAATTGGGATTAAAATCGATTTTAGATTTTAATTTTTGGATTATATTTAAAACTATAGCTCGAAACTTTTAATTTTGGAGTTGATTCCAATGTTATTGAACTAATAACTTATTGGTCTTGAAATTGTGAGTTAAATTAATTATTGATTGAACAATTCATCGATTGATCCATGAATCAATTTCATATTTGGTCGAAATCTGTATTAAGAAATGTAATTAATGATGTTCCTTCCTGTTTCTAAGTGCTTGCAACCAATGACCAAACATGTGCCAGACAAACAGAGAAACCACCTAAAACTCCAAGATTTGGGAATTTTAAAGTTAAATTGACCTTTAAGTTTTTCCTTTTAACTCTCTTTAACTTTTTTGGTTGTTGATTCAGACAAAAAAAAATGGTGCCTTGGTTTCCATTGCGAAGCAAACAAACTAGAACATGCCATGAAAAAGGTATAGCAAAGAGAGGATAGGAAATTGGTTTAAATGGCCCATCACTTTAATTATGTTAAAGAACAGAAGATGACAAAGAGAAAAAAGAGTGCAATAATTGAGACAGATTTACCAATATGAGGTCCCCAGAGAAAAAGAAGTTTGAAAGATGAAACCTAGTCCAAAGCACTAACCTCGATACTTCCAAGTGGGAAACCATCTGAGCCGTCGTCACATGGCAAAGGACTCAGCAACTTGTTCCGAGACCATTCCATGAAATTCTATTGAATTTTCCTCCCATTACTTTCTGCTTTCTTCCAATGATTCTTTCCAATTTCCCAATCTAACAAAGTATGCAATGAGTCAATGGAATTGGATGCTTGGAAAACGTTACCCTAAGCCGCATTCTCTCTTCCATAAGATCGTGTACTCATTGGACTCAAAAAGGAATATTATATGTTAAGAAAAATCAAAGCATTTGGAGCCAGCAATTCATACAGTTGAGTTCTTTCCGGTTGATCCCGTAGGCAAACATGCAAGACAGGCAGATTGCAGAGTTGAGTTCAGTTCCCCACTGATGCAACCCAAACCATACTTGTAAACTTGTAGGCACCAACTGTTTAATAAGCTAATCATTACAGGATTTCCACACAAGAAAGAATTTAAGAATCTTTGCTCTTTAGTGACTCTATGATTGACCATATCTATATCCTTACTTTGTTTAGCAGCCACAAATCTCATAATCATTTGCCGGTTTAGAAGTTTATGTTGAAAACAAATTCACCGTTTATTATACAAGAAAAAAAAGTCAACATACTGTTGGCTAGTCAATCTTGGTCTTGCAGCATCATTTGCCTTTGCTTTTCTCTGTCTATATAAAGCTCAATGCCCCATAATCCTTTCCTCAACCCAGCCTAGTTCAACTCTCTTTTCCTCTCTCTATCTTCCAGGCTCTCTGGATTAGAATATGGGTATTTGTGCATCTTCTCAATACACGACAAAGGGTGGCAACCTGAGCTGGCCGATACCCACAACCAAAATAATATACCCTGATGGAAGGCTTCAGGAATTCAGGCAACGCATCAAAGCCAGCCTTGTTCTCTCCCAGAGTCCAGACTGTTTCCTTTGCAACTCTGAGTTGATGTATGTAAACTCATGCCTGCTTCACGTACCTGAAGATGAAGAACTTCAACTGGATCAAATTTATTTTCTCATGCCACGGTCTAAATCTCAAGCACCACTTTCTCTTCAAGAGTTATGTTCACTTGCCATTAAGGCTAGTACAGCATTATCACATTTAGACAAGGTTTACTGTTCACAAAAATTTTGCAGATGTCGGATCAAAATGGTGCAGGATTCAATATTGCTGAACTCCAGGATGTTGTAAAGTTCCCATTGGATTCAACATTATCAGAATCAATTTCCCTGGGAGATCAGGCAACCCAAAAATTGTCTTCTAAAGCCTGGAATTTTTCTCACAAAGTCATCTTAGTCTGCAACAGAACATCTTGGCGCTTAGTAGGAATCGTTTCATGCTTGCTAGAGTCCAAATTTAGAAAATTATTGTATTGATGCTTGGAACAGTTGCCATGTTGGTGGCAACACTTGAAAGGGTTGTTAAAGCTTTGGAATTGGAAGTGACAATTATATAAAAATATATATTTAGTACAGCAGCCTCATCTTGCACATGCAAATGTGCTCTATATCCTCTGTATGTTCTGGTATTTTATTTTCTAATCATTCTATATTATTCAATGCATGTGATTTAATCGCTGGCAAATTACACCAATAATTTTTATTCAATTGTTATTACAAAATCACCAGTTCTATAATATAAGCTTGTTTCTTTTTCAATTGATAGTTGCTTATCATGAACACCACTTTACATGAATATTATATGCAGCAAAACATCTGATACAATCTTTCTTTAGATTCAGAAACACAGCTGCATATATATAATATTTGGACTCAGCTTAATTCCAATATGTTAGATGTGACATTTTAGGTCATATGGATATACCAATTCAAGAAAGAATGATTCCAAATGGATAAGATGACTACATGGGAATCAACTGGGAAAGCCTTCCTAATAATGGAAAAGTCGATTATACTGCAGAAGAAGCCAGGAGAGTAAGAAAATGAAGTGGAAGAACCACCCAGGACTTTAGTAGGCTGATTTTTGGTCTATTTTCTTACAACAATCATTGAATTTGGTTTGATTTGTCATTTAATAGAGGGCTTTGTTTGAAGTTTGAACCAGTTTGGTTATTCCAACACCTGCAACATTTTTTTTTTTCAAGTTGTGGCTTCTTTATAAAAAAATTAAAAAAAAAAAAAAGAAAAAGAACAAAGACAGGTATATCAAAACCAAAATCAATTAAAGTTGTAGCATTTATTTATGAAAACACATAGCTATGGTATGTTATTTTAAGTTATTGATGCTTCAGTCTTTTTGAATCCATAGTAGGAATTTCTAAATCAAGAAGCTTGAGAGCAGGCCTTCATTTCTGTCTTAATGGCAGCAACCAAACAGTCATAAGCTTCACCCCATGCATTTTTCATCTCTGCTGACCACATTTCTGGAACTGCTTCCTTTATGGTCTCCAAAAGAGCAAATCTTGTGACCTGAAAGACATTTCCCAAAAGATGTCAAAAAGAAAATAATTCAAATATATAGTCTTGATGACTTTGATTTTGATCTGATGACATTAAAAACATACCTCAAAATGTTCATCAACTACGCCATATCTGAAGTGGACAGCCCCTAATTTCTTCAAACTTGACTCTCTCACAGTAATTTTGCCAGCTTTACGGAGTTGAACAGCAGATTCACATGTCTGCAAGTCCAAGATATATGTTAAGAACCCATAAGAGCTAGAGGATTTAGATTCTAGTTATGTTAAGACTTTAGACAAGAGGCAACAGTGTCGTTTCTTAGTTTCAAATGGGTTACCATAACAAAGACAGACATGGCATGGGGCTTGAGTTTTGGGTTTTGCTCCAGGGGAACATCTGAGTTTCTTAAGAATGAGAACAGCTTCTGTGCTGATGGTGCAATCTCAAAGATCCTGCTCATTCAATGCAAAATCAATTTTACTTAAAAATGAAATTACAAAAATAAAAAATAAAAACACAAACAAAAAACAGCAAAGCTTACTTCAAAAAGAATTTAAGACCCAATTCTGCTGCATTCTTCTTCATTGCATTCCATGACTTGACTACCAGAGCTTCTTGCTCTTCACTGAAAACTTTACCTTCATATGTAGTCATTGCTCTTCAATTCTGGGATTTAATCAGAATAGATATTGATTTGTTAGAGTTATACTATGGTGCTATTGCTAACCTTGCATAATGTTTATATACCAAATGCTGTGCAGATAAGCTTGACCCTTCAAGGCATTGGTGAGCCATTTTTGCTGGTCACCATAAGATATCACCTGCTACGACATGTCTCAAAACCAGGGGCTTGACGTGGCTTGGAGAACATTGTTTCGGTTATTTGAATTTCGGGTATGATGAATTGACCATTAGATAAGTGTCATAAAATTGAATCTTTCTTCTTTACAAATAAATAAAAATTTTGAACAGTGTATAGTCTTGTAGGGGTTGATTGACTCTCTTACAGAAAAGATTTGGTTTTCAATCTTCATACTTAAGTTTCAAAAGGATCATTATTTATAGTTGTTATACTGAAAATTATTCAAAATTTGCTTGACCAAACATAAGAATCCCATGAGGCCAAGACCTTATATTTTATTAGTGGTGTGAATCAAATTCTATTTTGACTGGCAAATGTCAAATAATTGTGTAGGCGGCTTGAGAATTGCAAATTTGTTACTGCCTATGCAAAGTTTGTTTCCTAATGCAACAACATATGTAGGGATGTAAAGGAAATCATGTTTGGTTTTTATGTTTATATTTGTTTATTATGTTTAATAAACAATTTTGAATAATATTTTTATATTATTTATCATACGAATCGAATACGAACAAAAAATTATTTAATTAATTTATATTTACGAACGAATTCGTTTAATAATTGTTTAAAACTTGTTTTTTTATAAATCATTTATATTTGTTTATTGTTCAATAATAATAGTAACAATATTACATGTTTATCCTTCAGATTAACTTTATCAAATGTTTGGTTATAGTTTGTTTATTGATTATAAACATATTCATTTAATATTTCTGAAAGAATTCGTTTAAACAAACCGATCCCAAATAATCCTAAAATTAAACGAACAAATCATGAACATATGTTCGTTAGATCATGTTCGATTTGTTTACACCCCCTAAATATAGGTCATCTTGCAGCAGAGAAATAAGGACAGTGCGCGAACTACTGGATGAGAGCAGAGGTTTTTGGAAATTGTTCTGTTTGAGTGTTCTAGAGACCAACAGATTTGATGAACTCCCATAATCTGGTTTGGTAGATCAGTCATTGGAACAGAATGCAGCCGCTTTGTTTGAGATACAAAGAACATCAAGTACCAAAGGACTTATGACTTTCAGAGAACAGAATGCAGCCGCTTTGTTAATGTCTCTGAACAATTTGCCTTAAGAATTTCAGAGAGTAGCAAACCACAAACCAAGTCATAAAAAGCTACAGGAAATTGATTTCAAAGAGACAGCCAGGTAGTAAAAGTAATCTATTTGGAGAAAAGATGCATAGAACTAGAACAATATCATACAAAATTTTATTTGAATTCAAGAACAAGAGTACAAGACATTTTCAAAAAAAAATATCTCTCAAAGTGTCTCTCCTATAGGAGGAACTTAAGGAGGATTCATTTCGCTTTTAATAGCAGCAGCCAGCTGATCATAGGCTTCTCCCCAAGCATTCTTCACTTCTGGAGACCACATTTCTGGTACTGCTTCCTTTATTGTCTCCAACAATGCAAATTTTGTGACCTACATAGAAAATTTATTGTCAATGCTAAATAGAATTCACTTGTAAAACTTTGGCCTTATATGGTGGGCAGGATCATTAATCCATATGCAGCCTAAAGTCTTCACTTGCAATGACTCCAACTGCACTAATCTTACCTCAAAATGTTCATCAACAACACCATACTTGAAATGGGTGGCACCTAAATCTTTCAGACTTGATTCTCTCACTATAACTTTTCCTGTCTTTCGAAGTTGGATGGCTGATTCACAGGTCTACAAAGTAGTTCAAATAAATCCTCAAGTGGATACTAGATAAATGAGAAAAAGGAGATTAAAAAAAAAATCAACTCACCATAACAAAGACAGTCATGGCATGGGGTTTCAGTTTTGGGTTTTGCTCTAGAGGGATATCTGAATCCCTCAAAAATGTGAACAGCTTCTTAGCAGAAGGGGCAATCTCAAAAATCCTGAAAATTTTTAATTCAATAACCACTTAGTGTTCTAATGAAATAAGGATTCTTGATAATACAAGTGGGTGGATATATGTATACAGAAAGGTAGAAAACATGGATAACTTACCTCAAGAAGAATTTAAGACCAAGTTCACCAGCATTTTTCTTCATTGAATTCCATGATTTGACAACCAAAGCTTCTTGTTCTTCAGTAAATGCCCTCACTTTGAATTCCCCATCTCTCTTCACGCCTTGTTGTATACAAAGATATCAAAAATATGAATAAATCATTGTGAAAAACAGATATTCTTTGCCAAATAAGTTGAATAAAAAAAATAGAAGAGAGAAAATTACTTCTGATTGATTTTGGAGTTTTCCAAACAAGATCCATCCATGATCCATTCCTCTTGAGCCATGACAACTCCAGGGATTGATGATGCATGAGTTTGGACCCATAGTTTTGATTCAAACAAATTTTGGAGACAAAGTTTCCATCAAGCATGTTGATGCCAGCTGCAGAGTACAAACTGATAATTAAGGTCAACAAACTGAATGTAATGAACAATAGAAGAGGAAAGACACTAACCATTAGAGAAAAGCATGGTAGTAGCTCTTGAAGCTGAGTTGGTGATTGTCGTGGGATTCATATCTAAGAATTGAATGAGTTTGGACACTATTAAGCAGGAAGGGTTAGTCAATTCAATTTGGAAGCAGGTTTGAAGTTATTAAATATAGGCATGAATGTATCTATTATCTGGTGGTTTCTTTTCCTTGGTGCAAGAGGAAAATATGAACTTGGCTTACAACAGGACAAAAAGACTAACCTTTCGATGACTGAGAAGCCAACGTTGTTTAAGTTTTCTTTTAGTAGTATTTTATTCCGGTGCATGTCCTAAAACAATGAACTTTTCACCTTTTGTGGAGTGGTTAAGTCAAACCAATGGCAAATTGATAATCTATCTCATCACTACAAATTGCCATCTGCTTTATGCTTTATCTTAGCTAATGTCCATACCGTAATTTTCCAGATCGTTTGCCATGCAATTATGCAAATTTTTAGCCTACGTTGGGCCTTGATCATAAAAGCAGAAACACAATGTAATTTTCAATTGAAGATTTCTCTCATTTTCATATCGCATTGTTATGCACAAAAGCATATACCAACCTCATTTTAGAACTGTGAAAAACCACAAACCAGAAGCCTCTGAAGTAAAGCTTCATTACGCCTCATGAGCAGTAAAAGTAGCGTAATATCAAATTAACCGTAGCCATAATTTACAACGATTCAATGAACATATATGCTTTGATCCCTCCAACTTGCTGTTTTAATGGTATTGTCCGAAAGAAACCTTGAATAAAAATCCAATCAAACTCCATAGTCACTAAAAACATACCTTTCCAAAGCTAAGCAGTTAAATATGTTAAAAGGACGAACTTTTTGCACCACTCGAGTCTTAGGACGAGAAATTACATATATTCAAGAGCCCAGCATGAGGCTTATGTACACTATATGGATTTTCAATTCATGGAGCCTTGAAAAATAAAAAAGAACCATGGAATTCCAGAACTCCTCTTCCAGGATATCTCTAAAATAGAAGGGAAGCACAAAATGGGGGAACAAAAAAAGATCGGGAAATTAAAGCATTTGAGTGGTGGTCAATCCATAAACGATCAAATCCAAATAGACAAATCAGGGTCCCCAGTTAGAACTGTACATCGGTACTACTATAGAAAAAAGCCTATTAGAGATTAGTTCCTGTCAAGAACTTCTGCTGGCAAGTTCAGATCAAAAAATCTACCTCCAAAACTCTCCTGTTTAGGTCGCTTCTGGGGTGATGGGCAACCACTGTCATCTGAACTCCCAAAGCTGAAAGGTCGATCACGTTTACCTAAACTACAATGTGTCAGCAAATTCTTTACGACATATATAAGCTTTAATCAACTTCAAATTACATGTGTTTGTGTGTGTGTGTAAGTGTACGAGTGGTGATCCTCAAAAAGTAAGTCCACATACCACTAGTGCCACAATCAAAGAGAAGACATTTATCAGTAGTTGTACTGGATTTACTGTTCCAACAGACAGCAAGCTCTGATGCCTTCTCAATGCCCTTAGATTTGTACGGGGCTATATTATGGGTATTACGTTGGAGAGAACCCAATAAATCATTCTCAATGCATTCATACCTGGAAGCCATAGTTTCATATGAATTTAAAAACAATCATAAGCATCAATTACTACTTTATATATAATAGCTATGCTTACATTTTATTGCAAAGGTTATCGGTGATCACAGAAAGATTGATTACTTGCATTCGTATCTCCATAACTTTATCATCAGGATATTGATCAAACGGCTCTTCCAAAAACTTAGAGAGTTTCTCAACATTTGCCTCAAGTTGCTGTTGCTGATCCTCAAATAGATGCTGTTTCATCTCCCTTTCCTCATTTGTCATCTCATCCTTGAACAATTCTTCTCCAAACATATAAAATGCAAATGGGTATGAATATGAAAGAACCCGCCTTGATCTGAAAAGTCTACAGAGTCCATTAGTTACCCAGCTGAAATCTCTAAGCCTTGATTCCCTCTCTTCTGAAATCGATACCTTCTCTAGTACAGTCTCCTTGAGTTTACTCTCAAGCTTAAAGGAATCTGTATGAGCTTTATAACGGTTGTGATAGTGCATGTATCGATAGAGATCTCGCTTTGCTCGTTCAGTCTTTTTCTCTCGGTCTTCTTTGTAGCGACCACAGCTGTGACCAGCAATTCTTGACCAAGTATGGTCCCGGCCAGTAGCACCACCACACAGCCAACTGCATCATTTGGAAAACAGAGAAAACGTGACATCAACCACCGTCAACAATTGATATTGATAACAATTTAGGCCAGTTGAGACTGAAAAAAGAAAAGCCTTAAAAAATAGAATCTCTAGTAACTCGGACTCAGCAGTGTGTAAATAATCTAGAACAAGCCAAAAAATGCCAGTACTTAGTCCAAAAAATGTTAAAAATAAATTAATTAACAAAGGAAAGAGGGAAAAAAATCACTTGCGCTCTTGTTGATACAGCAGCATGTGCAAGTTCACAAGCTTTTATCTTAAATAAACATTTTATACCAGAACCAGACAATTGATACCTTAGAAGTAATAGACACAACAATGAGATTAAGACAGCTTTAAAAAATTTGCAAACTGCACTTAAAATAAAAGAAAATCCTCACCAAAATGCTTGTCCACAGATACAGCTCACAAGATTACATCCACCATTCTTCTCCACAGGCTTGTGACACTTTGGACAAGGCTTTGTATGAACAGTGATCCAATTGACTGTTTCTGATTCATCTCGACACTTCTTGGTCCAAAGTTCCCACATCATACATGAACATGGCGAGTGTGCTTTTGATAAGCAACTGAAACAAAACTGTAGACCGCAAGAACACTCTACCTCACAAAATTCATCATCTTCGATGCGTATTGCATTTCCACAATGAGGAATACTAGGGCACCACTTAACCATCCTATTATCTTCAATGTATGATTCAAGAAGAAAACGATCAAATTTCTCTGCTAGATCAGGATGCCTTTTACCGACTAGATTTCTAACAACAGCTTCATCACAAATAGCATTGCATTTGTGTGCCATGCACCTAATTCGCCTACTTTGACCCTCATTTATTTTCACGACAAAATGTTCTGTCCAACCTGGAAAAATAAGAGGGAAAAGTTAACTCAAAAGACAGTGTGCAAGCTGATATAACTTCAATAACTCCGTGCACACAACATCAAAATTGATATGCATCTCTGAGTTGATTGTTAAGAGTCAATTTTAAGAGTTCTCAGCCTTGTTGACATGCTGATGCCATGGGTTGATATTACATATACATGCTTAAATAAGAAAATGCAGATTAAGGACGGTGCTTACAGTCATTGCAAAAGGCATGGCCACAGTCCATTTTAGTCATCTTATCACCAGGTAACTCCTCTATGCATATGTCACACACTGATGTGGATGAAGAAGACACCGAGGTTCCTGTATCCTCACTCTCAACAACAGAAACACCTGCTGAGGCAAACAAGTCTGCTTTTCCCTTCTCCACAAAGATGGCAAGTAACCTCTCGGCATCCCATCGATAATGGATTAGTAAAGTCCGTGCATGGTGCTCCCTTAGAGATAGCATGTCCATTACTCTCCGTAAATCCTCCCTCTACCCCAAGAACCAAAAAAAATAAATTCATTCGTATTAAAATAAAACAAACATGCATATGAAACCCAAAAAAAGGAAAGGAAACAAACTTTTACCTGAGCAGCTAAAAGTGATTCTCTTGTAATAACCTGTGTAATGCCAAAAAGGGTCACAACAAAGTATGCCATTCTTCAAATTAAGTATAAATAGAGGCCAAAAAGAAGAGAAAGATAACAATCATAGAAATTACATATCCTGTTCTTCTTTAAAGGGTTTTCCCATTAAGATTAAAAATTAAAATTTTTCCTTTTTTTAAGGAGGAAAGTTTCAATGCACACAACGCCATTTAGTATAACAAAAGTACAAAACACAAGTGGAAAATTTTCATCAAAATGGATGACCAGCAGCTCCACTGCATGTGACATGAACAGGCAAAAACCACACCCCCCCCCCCCAATAGAACCTCCAAGCGGCGTCAAATTACTCTATCCTCTCAAAATCCTTAAACCTAGAAAAGAAAGAATAAAAACCTTTATTTCTCAATCAGTTAAACTAATTCAAGCGAAAACCCTCTTTTGAAAAAGGAAAATACAAGAAAAAACGCAGCTTTACACTGAAAAACAAACCAAAAACCAAGAATCAGAAAATCAATGGCAATTAAAGCAAAATTTTAAATTCCGAAGAAGCCAAAGAGAGAGAGAGAGAAAGAATTTGACCTTGGCAGTGGAACCCTTGGAAGTAGCCACCTGCAAATCGGAGTCCTCATTTTCAAGACCGTCGAGGGAGTCTCGATCGGACGGAGAGTAATAATCCTCATCGCTGCTCGCGCAATCGTCCATCGACCGATCGATCAATCAAAACAATTCCAATTGATTTATTATTGAAATTTCTCTAATAATATCTCCAACCCCGAAAAGAAGAGTACTTCTAAAGCAAATTCACGTAACGATCATAAACAATTGTCTACAAGGATGAGTTTGTTAAAATTTTTCATCGATCGGTGAAAAAAAACAGAGACGATTTAATTCCGGCTAAAATTTTATTTTATTTTTTCGCCGGCGATGTGAAAAAGAGGCTTTTTATTGGAAAACGATGCTTGCAAGAGACAATCAATAAAGTTATTATTATTATTATTATTTTGTATTTGAAAATTTGAGAGAGAGCAAAAAGAAAGAGAGGTGAAGGATGAAGCTGTTTGCTAGTGCAGCAATAAATATTCGCTTAAGCACGACAAAACGCTGTCGTTGCATTTTTTTGTTTCCTTATAAAGTAAAATTTTGATTTTTTTTTAACAAATTTCACCATTGTTTAAGGAAAATTGAAAAGCAGAATTTGATGGGATCAAATCGAATTCCAGTCTTACTAAAATTTACCTTTTAAGATGATAGGGTGAATTAGGTTTTTAAATAATATATTGATATTTATAAATTATTTTGATTTAATTCAAGTTATGTTTAAATTCAAATAGTTTGATTTATGAAGTGAAATAAATTTTAATATTTTAATATTTTATTTGAATAACTTTTAAGTCTAATTAAATTTTAAAATTTTAATATATTTTATTATTTTAATTAAAAAATTATTATTTTATCTTTAAATATATCAATTTGAGTTTAAATTTAAATTTAAATACGTAATCGAGCTTGAAATCGATATAAAAATTGAATTCATTTTTATTAAACGAATTTAATTAAACGAGTTTGAATTATTTAATTTTTATTTTTAAATTAAATTTAAACTTAAAATTTAAAATTTAATTGAATTTAAGTTAAATTTTAAATAATAAATTTTAAATCAAATTCAAACTTAAAATTTTTATTATATTAATTCAATTCAACTCAATTAAATGGTGAACCATTTAATTATATCTCAAATCTAATATAATCAATTTTATTCACAAACTTTTAAGAATGGTTAACTATTAGAAATAGTACAACTTTTCATTATTATAATAATTATTATTATTATTTTAGGTTTACTACATATTAGAAATTTGTTTCTAATGATACTTTCCCAACTATATGTATTTTGGTTAAGCGTACCCATAATAATACCTAATTGTATATCCTTTTAACAATATGAGTTATGGTTAAGAACCTTTATGTTACTCATATGCCCTATTAATTACATGACAAACATGAGTTATAGTAAAGAAAAAATTGTATATTATTATGTGTTACTTGTATGTTTAAAAATATTGTTATTGAATTAATTACATGCACATCACCTATGATTGGCAAGTGATGACATGAGTTTATATGTTACCTATTGATTGGTGACATGGTTATGTATAAAATGCTTCTAATATACTTATTTATCATATTAGAAAATAAGATTTTATTTTTAAACTCATTTAATTATCATATATTTAAGAAATTAAGGTATTGTTTATAATAATAAAAAAGTGAGTTGTTCATAATATAAGAGAAATAATCAAATTTATCTTTAAATTTATCGAGATATAGATGGAGTGGAACAGATCTAAATTTATTATTACATTCATATAAATATTATCTAATTTATAATATGAGATAAACTAGAATTTTATTTTTAATAGAAATCCAAATACGTGTTATTAGAGATTTATTCCTAATAAAATTGAAATAGGTGGTATATAAAAATAATCATTTATATTTCTAGAAATTAATAAGAAATGTTAATAATAAAGGTTCTATTTTTTAAACTTTTTTATTTAATCTTTGATTATTTGCCAAGAGTTTTTCGACTTGTAGTGTGGAAATTTGTGAATAAATTTTTGCAAGAGAAAAATTAAGAAGTTATTCAAAGAGTAAATAAAAAAATAATTTTGAAGGTTGATGAATTAAGCATTAATAAATCGATTTTGTAAATTCATATTGGTGTTAAAATAAGTGATTCTAAACCTATTAATTTTCTTATAAGAAAATAAAAGAAAAGGAAAGAAAATAATTTTAATATTAAATATTTTTTAAAAATTATGTTAAAAAAAAGAAGTTTTCTAATGTAAGATGTAAGTAAGATTAATAAATTGTTAGCCCACATTTTTTTACCAAAAAATTTAGCCTACATTAATAAATAGTAGAAATTATCTTTTCTTTTTTTTTTTTCACTATAAAATTTTAAATTATTTCAAAATTGGAAAATAAAGAGAATATTCACATTTTTTTTATTATTTTCTTATAAACTTATAAAAAAACGAAAAAGAAAATTGGAGATTTAGTACAGATATAACGGCACGGAAAGCAATCTTACGCAATCATGCAATAAACGAATCTAAACTAACCGACCAAGATGCCACGTGCGTCGCACGTGATCACCCAATCCTTGAAACCCTCTGTTTTGTCTCTCTGTTCCTAAAAATCGCCGAACCGTTCCCTCAAAAACCTCGAAAAAATGTCTCTGCTTCTCAAATCCTTTCTTTTCCTTTCCCTTAGAGCCAGGCCTCTCGCTGTTTTCCCTTCTATTTTGCTTCAAAAATCACTTCCCAGGAACCGTCGAACCCTTTCCTCTGTTTCCTCTTCCACTTTTCAATCTACTTCTTCTTCTTCTGAAACTGCCAACCCCATTACCCCATTAGCCCCTCTCAGGGACTCTCTCCAGTGGGTCTCTCGCACCGCCTTCTGTGGTGATTTGTCAGCTGACGATGTGGGTTCCCGGGTCCGGCTTTGCGGGTGGGTCGCTCTCCACCGGGTCCATGGTGGCCTCACTTTTCTTAATCTCAGAGACCACACTGGCATCATCCAGGTATTCACTTAAACTTGCAAGTTTTTGTAATTGTGAAGTGGGTTTTCTAGAATAATGCTTTTGGTGTTTTTGAATTATAGATTACATCGCTTCCAGGTGAGTTTCCTGATGCCCATGCAGCTATTAAGGATTTGAGGCTTGAGTATGTGATTGCTGTTGATGGTGTTGTCCGGTATCGGCCCGATGAGTCTGTTAATAAGAAAATGAAAACAGGTTCAATAGAGGTATATTACTGTATTTAAGTTTGTGCTTTTAATCTTGATTTTACTAGTGTTTAATTTGATGCCAATTATGTTTGCCAGGTCGCTGCAGAGCATGTTCAGATATTAAATGCTGTTAGATCAAAGCTACCAATCTTGATTACTAGCGCTGATGATGCAAATGATTTTGTCAAGGAGGAAATCCGTTTAAGGTAGCCAGCTTGGAATTTACTTGTCTGCAATTTGTGCAAAAAGGCTATGCACTTGAGTAGCTGATAAAACTGGTGTTGTCTTTATCATATGAAGGGAGAGATAAATGAGCTACATTGTTTCGGATGACTTGTGTAGATTAGTTTTACAGTGTGTTTTTGGAGTATTGCTTTTAATTTTTGAATTATCACAAGCCATTCCAGTTTTGTCCCAGATGTTTTCCTTATGCTATATTTGGGACTTTGAATTGATATTTATTGTTGGGATACCTGTCCATAGATATCGATACCTTGATTTACGCCGGCAACAAATGCAATTCAACATCAGGCTGCGTCATAGAGTGGTGAAACTCATTCGACGATATCTAGAGGATGTACATAATTTTGTGGAGGTATACCCTATGAAGTTTTTTCTCCTATATTAATTGGTTATTATCATCATCATTATTATTATTGCTTTAGTTATTTTCTAGTGATTCATGTTCAGTATTTGTTTTGGTTCTGACCTTTTCATGGTTATAAGGTAGATTGAAACTCCAGTCCTCTCTAGATCTACTCCAGAAGGTGCTCGGGATTATTTGGTACCCTCAAGAATCCAGGTATTAATGATTCGGTAGCTATTGAATGCCCTTAAGACAGCATGAAACAACTTTTATGATGTCACAGAGTTTCACATCCTTGTAGTTCTGGTTCATCAATGTCTTTTTCAAGTGTTCATTAGTTATCTATATTATTGGGACAATGGAACAGGTCTGATTCACCCTAATGTATATTTTGAAGCCAGGAACATTCTATGCTTTGCCTCAAAGTCCGCAGCTTTTCAAGCAAATGTTAATGGTTTCTGGTTTTGATAAATATTATCAAGTAGCAAGGTAAGTGTTTTAGTTGTTGCCAGGGCATTTTATAATGTTGCAATGATTGTCTCCTATCTCGATTCACTTTCTGGACGAGAGTCCTGATGAGCCTGGGCTGTTCATGGACTCAGTCTATTAATATTGCTTGTGTCAGCTAAGAAAATATAAAAAACATAGAGGCTAGAGGCATTAACAATGTCCTGTTTCTACTAGGAATTTGGGGTAATCCAGACACCAATTACTGTGAGAATCTACTGGGCTATAACCTTGATATAAATTCTTTTTTTTTTTTTTTCCAGATGTTTTAGAGATGAAGATCTGAGAGCAGATAGACAGCCTGAGTTCACACAGCTTGATATGGAAATGGCTTTCACTCCATTGGAGGACATGCTGAGTCTTAATGAAGATTTAATTAGAAAGGTAACTTGGGGGCCAATATGCTCAGACAATTTGAGTCCTAGCTCCAAAATATCTTTCAAGAGGAATTATTCATAAATATTTGCTTTGGATGGTTCAAATACTTAGTTACAGTTTTCTCTTTACTCTTTACGTAAAATTGGGGAGGGGGGGTACAAATAAAATATTCAAGCTCAACTAAGTACTAGCTTGCTCATCTTCAGCTCAGGCTTGAGATAAGCTTCCTGGGGGCTCAGCTTGTGGGCCTTATAAATGGTTTGGCTTCATTCTACTCTGGCCCAATGGCCCATTAGTCAAGATAAGGTTGTTACTTGATGGCCTCGGTAGACACTCAAGGCATTCATCAGAAGGCCTTTTGGCACTCTGCATTTTTGTATTGAATGTTGGTGAAGGTGGTTGCCCTCACCATCTGAGACATGTGAAGTAGTGTCATGCATTTTACACAGGAAGTTCAGATCTTTTTAATATCTGCACATTATAGGAATGTTAAGAAAGCTTATTTACTGCAGGTTTTTCTGGAGATTAAAGGCATCCAGCTACCTAACCCTTTCCCAAGACTTACATATGCTGAGGCAATGGATCGATACGGTTCAGATCGTCCGGACGTCAGATTTGATCTTGAGTTGAAAAATGTAATTGTCATTATCCACTTATTTACTTAGGACATATTGTCTAATGTTTGCTGATTTACTTAGTGTTCATTGTTAATATTTGCTGATCTTTTGCCTCCAATTGGAGCTGCAGGTATCTGATGTCTTCTTGGATTCTCCCTTCAGGCTCTTTGCAGATACATTAAAAAATGGGGGAATTATCAAAACATTATGTGTGCCTTCAGGTGCTAAAAGATTTTCAAACACAGCTCTTAAGAAAGGTGATGTTTATAATGAAGCAGTCCAGTCTGGAGCAAAGGGTTTACCCTTCGTAAAGGTCTTGGATAATGGTAAATAGTGTTATTCTTTTTCTAGTTCCCATTTTCCTTTTTCGCCCCCTGAAAATGTTTATTTGCTAATTTTAAAGCTTTTCTTGATGGTTTTTGTTATTCTTTAAGGGGAGATTGAGGGAATTCCTGCATTAGTATCTAGTTTGGGTCCAACAAACAGAGAACAATTCTTGAGAAAATGCTCTGCTGGGCCAGGTGCTCTGATCTTGTTTGCAGTGGGCCATCATACATCAGTTAATAGAACCTTAGATCGCCTTAGGGTATTCATAGCCCATGAACTAGGTTTGGTTGACCATGTAAGTTCCTATCAGTCTTCTATCTTGGAATATGTAGTTGTTGCTGTCTTATTATTTTCTTTAACTTAATCTTTTTCTTCAATTCTGAAATGCAGTCCAGGCATTCAATTTTATGGGTGACTGATTTCCCAATGTTTGAATGGAATGATTCAGAGCAGAGACTTGAGGTCTGTCTCATGTTTTTGTTATGTCTTCGGTGATTCTAGTGAAATAATAGTTCTATACTTAAGAAAATAGCATTGTAGGCTTATAAAGGTCCCTATGATATTTTGCTATTAGCATCAGTGTGCGATCCTTTCTGTTGTTCTTAAGGAATTAACAGAGTAGCTTCTGTTCAAGATTTATGTTTTCTTAGTATTATAAATTCTTGCTTTTATATCAAAATACAAGGCATACTTCAAAATGTATGTATTTTATTTTGCTCTTCTTCCTTTTTGCTTTCATAGACGTGCTTGCACAACACACCATTGGTGGAAGCTTTAGCTTGTTAAATTAATGTATATGGAAGTTTTAGTTTGTTAAACTAATATATGTTGAAGTTTTAGTTTGTTAAATTCTACATTGCTTCTGGCACCTGCCTGTGGTTGAAAATTTACTTATCTTGTAGGCCTTGCATCATCCATTTACTGCACCAAACCCTGAAGACATGGGAGATCTTTCTTCTGCACGTGCCCTCGCATATGATATGGTTTACAATGGAGTTGAGGTATCTATATTTATTAGCTTTCTAGAGGCACTAAAGGATAAAGATTTGGTCAACCACCTCTTATGGATGGTAACTGAATGTATTATTACCACTTGCATTGTCAGATTGGTGGAGGAAGTCTAAGAATTTATAAACGTGAGGTCCAACAGAAAGTATTGGAAATTATTGGCATCTCTCTTGAGCAGGTGAGAAGCAAATTAAGCTATTCTAAGATTATACTAATGGTTATAGTTTGTGCTGCGTAACTGGGGAAGTCTTGTGTCTGTTACACATCTTCCTAATAGGTTGTTCTTGCCAACTGCCAAGAAAACCAGGGTAACGGTTAATTCTGTTATCTAGCTAGTGTCAATTTGACAGTCTGATCCTTCTCAAAACCGGCTTAAAGAAACATAAAGCTCTCAAAGTAACATAATAAACCAAAATACTTATAAATCTTAGAAAAGCTGAGATTAATTTGTTTGAGTTCTCAATTCTTTTACTTTCCAAATAATGTGGTTTGATGTTGCCTATTTACAGGCTGAAGAAAAGTTTGGCTATCTTCTGGAAGCTTTAGACATGGGTGCTCCGCCACATGGTATAACATGCCTAGGCCAAAAAACTAGTATGACTTTTCTATTTAGAATAATAAATTAAAAAAATTCATATTTTATCTATTTTCCTATTGCAGGGGGAATTGCCTATGGCTTGGATAGATTGTTAATGTTGTTAGCAGATGCAAATTCTATCAGAGATGTCATTGCTTTCCCAAAGACAAGTACTGCTCAGTGTGCCCTCACTAGAGCACCATCAGCTGTGGATATCAAACAGTTGAAAGATCTCTCACTGCAGACCCCATAGTTTCTTCTTCATTTGCCTGTCAAAAGCCAACCAGTTTGCCTGTTAGCCATTCTATTAATCACCATTGTTTCATCATAAAGCTTTTGTTTCTCCTGTTCTGTTTTTTTTTCTTAAATTAAAAAAAATATATTTATCTTTTCGTATGTATTAATTCATGTCAAAATTGAATTGCAATCAAATTTTGTTAATTAAAAAATGAAATTAATGTCAAAGACATGATAATAAAAGTGATCATTATTTTATATCTTTTACATTAGTGTGAGTATTTTTGTATGTGTATATATTAAAATCCATGCATGTATATTTTCCCTCAAATTCTTGAAATTTTTAACATGCATAATAAAATTTTGATTACAAACACAAGATAGTGGAAAGTTACTTTTCTTTGTGTATTCAAACTTATATAAATGCAAAAATAATGGATTAATAATAAAAGTACAAAATCATTAACTTTTTTTAATTATAAAGTCATTTAAATTATGTTAACTAAAATCCACCTTTAAACAAATTCTTGGTTTATTTTGTTAATAACATTTTGATTTACTACCGTTAATTATTTTCTAGTATTTTTAGATACATTCATCAGCGATATTCACAGTGTATAAATCCACTCATGAATTGCGAAAATCATACTGATAAATGATAATTAAAGTTATATTGAAAAGTAATACAGGATCCCAATTTTATGTGATATATTGGACTGATTTGTATGGATCTGATCCAACTATTTTGACCACATAATTGTTAAAACGCTTCTTTCAAAAATGGAATTTTCTTAAGCGGTTCATGTTTCCTGGATGCTCCACATCCCCTGCTTGGGAAACAAATCTACAAGTTCATTTTACCATGCCTGATCATGGGAAAAGATTCAGAAACAAATCCAACTATTGAAATTAATATGAAATCCATAATGCAGAGAATCAACTTTTAAATTTCATCATTAATTAATGATTAATCACATATTTTTGTACATTATTTTACAAACTCCCTATAGCATAAAAAATCTTGTGTCAATCGCATATTTCAAACTTGTGCAGTTCACATAAAATTTTCAGTCGTCAGTCACTTTTTTAGCAAACTTAAACCAAAGTCCTGAGGATTCCACCTAACAGAAATTAATTGTAAATTGGCTTCTTTCTTGATTACCAACTCAACACTGCCTTCTCATACTGTAACGTGACATTATAATAACATACCCTTCTTCACAAGAAATTATGGCCAAGAAATTTTCCCAGATATTTCCAAGTTGTATATTTCCTGGTGGTGAAATGGAAAAGGAAGTAACGCACCGGTGAAGAGTAGCATTATAATTTTATTATTTGAGATGTTAATTCCATATATATAAAAACAGAAAAGAGATTCCATATATATAAAGCAAAGCAACGTACTGATTGTACCTAATTCATAGTAATTTGGACAGCTCGAAATGTTAAATATCTAATCCTTGATGCGCATATAAATACTTAACTATTTTTTCCTATCAATTGCCATTCCTACTCCAAAAGCCCCACTGTTTGTTTGCTAATTTTCGAGATGGAGAAGAAAAGTTTAGGTCGCCAAAAGGTTGAGATGGTGAAAATGAAGAATAGTAGCAATCTCCAAGTAACCTTCTCAAAACGTCGGTCTGGTCTGTTCAAAAAGGCTAGTGAACTTTGCACTCTTTGTGGTGCTGAAATTGGCATCATAGTCTTCTCACCAGGCAAGAAGGTGTTCTCTTTTGGCCACCCTGAAATTGGAAATATTATTGATCGATACCTCAATCACAGCACTCCGGAGACTTCGGGAACGTCGCAGTTCATTGAAGCTCATCGTAATGCTAATGTTCGTGAGCTCAACATGCATCTTACTGAGGTTTGATTACAATTTGAGACTTTTTTTTTTTTGTTTTAAGTTATTGAGTAGGATTGAATTCTAGTTTTCTAATGCAATATAATCAAGTCTTTTTGTATTAGATGGTGAGGCAATTAGAGGTTGAGAAAAGGCGTGGAGAAGAGCTTGACCAAATGAGGAGAACAAGCCAAAGCCAACACTGGTGGGAGGCCCCAATTGAGGAACTTAGCCTGCCACATCTCCAGCAACTGAAATCTGCCATGGAGGAGTTGAAAAAGAACATGGCAAAGCAAGCAGAGAAGCATCTTATTCAGAGTACAAATTCCCAGCAGTTTTTCATGGGGAGTTCCAGCGCCGGGGTGTTCCCTAATTATGAGACAAAGAACATTTCATTCGATGTAAACATGATGCCTCAGGGATACAATGCCCCGAATATGATACCTCCTGGATTCAACTTCAATCCTGAAGGATACAATCCGAACCCTCAAGGGTACAATCCTGAATTCGGACGTGGATTTTTCTAATCAATTTTAGTTGCTTTGGGTTGAATAAACAAAGAATTAATGTAGCCACATTTTAAGTTTTCTGTATGTTGTTGTTGTTGTTGTTGGCCTCTGATCATTGGTTCAAGGCTGTAATCTCTGTTAGACTGAGACGATTATGAATATATGATGATGATAATAATAAGAGGCTGTTAAATTTTTATGTATAAATTTGAAACTACATACATTTTCCTATTAGTTTTCTTGGATTACAATTATGGAATGCAAAGTTTATTGTACTTTCTTATGTACGAATTACAAACAAAATACTTCTTGAAAGGTATTAATTTCCCATTTTAAATTGCAGGTATATTGTTCTTGCTTGGTCTTGAAATTATGAGATTCACTTTAACCTCATGATTATAATAAGGTTATTCCATGTTTGGCAGCTTTGAATAGGTAGGTAAAAAGATCAGGATTGATACTATTTTTAAATAGCTCCTGTAAAGGTCAAAAGAAAAACATTTTAAATATCCATATATGGCTTTTTTCAGTATCAATATTTCTTAGTTGTCATGGGAGAATTTATTTTAATTCTACCACCAATTTAATCCAGCAATGGTATGAAATGATAATGCAAGAAAGTGAATCTTGGGTGCCTGAGATCATTTGAGACCATATTAAAGTCTAAACTGTCTGCATCTTGTGCATGTCCATAATTATAAACTTTCCTTAATGCTACTTGTAATCTAAAAATCACGTAATTCATTGATAAAAATTTGAATTTGAATTTCAATGGTCAATGATAAAATCGTGACAACTTCAAATAAATAAAAAAGTTCATTTTCAAAGGTATGATTTTATAATGCCAACCAAAAAATAATTAATTTCTTGCAACAATCACGAATTAAGATATGTACATAATAAGATTTTGCAACGTTTCTAATCTTGGGATAAATTAATCATGTAAAGCAATGTAACGAATGATAGAATCATAAATCTATGAATTATCAGTTCCTCAGAATTACATAACAAGTAGCTAGTTGTTAGGCTGCCATGCTCTAAAATAATTTGATGCAAATCAATGTAAAATGTAAATGCAATCAATAAGTTCATTGGCGTCTTTTGAAGGAATAAATAGTTAATTGTGGCCAAATAAAATTGAAACTGAAAAATGGAACTAAAAGCTCATGAATGTGGTTCCAAGATCAAACGCATATATATTTCATAATGCCAACCAAACACATGCAATTAGTTTCATAGTAATGATCTACATAAAGACTAAAGATTTTGATAATTACCTCCAAAATCAGGGATTAATCATACAAAGTAATTTAGTACTAAAGATAGCTTAGGACAATAATTAACTTTGATTAGTAATTGTACAAGGGAAACAACCCTATAAATACCCTCCATGTTTCTCCATTTCTACATCCAATAATAAAGAGTATTTGGTACTTCTTTTGTTTACTGTCACCATGACCAAGAATTCTTCCCACATGGATAGCCAAAGTATCACAATGGTGAAAATAGCAAAGAACATCATCTTTCTTTTTAATGATATGTTATTTATTTGAAAGGAAAATGAAAGAGATTTATATTTAATCTGCAAGGTATTATTTATTTTGATTAAAAATTTTATAGTTTTATTTTATAAAAAATATATCATAAATTTAGATTTGAGTCGTAACTTATATATTATAATAAAATTTTAAAATATATTAATATGAGATTGAAATGTCATAGAACAATAATAAAGATGACCATATATATATATATATGTATAATGAAAATATTGGAGAATCATTAATATAGTAATCTTAGAGATACTATTCAAAGTGAAGTTGAAAATATATTTCCGACTTACCGAATATAAAAACATTTTAATCCGAAATTTTTTATCAATTTTATAAATTCATTCTCAAAAATCACAAGTTAACAATAATAAAATACTCGTAAATAATCAATATTTAATACTGAAAAGGGAAAAAAAAACTAATTTTTGGTTAATAAATGTAACGAAGGAAGGAAACCTATGTCTTGGAACCCAAAGAAAAAGCTTCCGAATTCTCTGAACTCTTTATTATAATGGCTACTCTAAAGCAAAGCAACAACAAAGAAAACAGCAACACCACCAAGGTTATGAGAGGCCGCCAGAAGATTCAGATAAAGAAACTTGAAGACGAAAGCAGCCGCCAAGTCACTTTCTCCAAGCGCCGCAATGGTTTGTTCAAGAAAGCCAGTGAGTTTTGCGTTTTATGTCGTGCAAACATAGGCATCATCGCCTTCTCTCCCAAAGGAAAACCTTTTTGCTTTGGCCATCCTAACGTCGACATTATGTTGGATCGTTGTCTTAGAGGAAACCCTACTTTGCATGTTCAGGATGGCGGCGATTCAGCCGCAAGTGGCATCACCCTATGTTTCGTAGAGTTCAATGAGGAGTTCCAGGAGGCATGGGAGAAGCTACAGGAAGAGAAGAATCGAATTAAAGAGATTGAACAAGAGAAGGAAGAGAGGAAAAACGAGGGAGAGTTTTGGTGGGATGAGCCTATCGATAATATGGGGGTACAGGAACTTGAGGAGTACGTTAAAGCCATGGAAGAGTCGAGGAATAATGAATTGACGGGGGATGGCTTTGAAGCGGCTACCGTGGCTAATGCTGGTGGTTTGGGGAACGGTTTCACTAATCAAAATGGTGGGTTTGGCTCCGCAGGAGGCTCTGGTTCTGCTTACGGTTATTTTGGTCTAGATTTTGGAGGTAGTGGACGGATTTGAAAATGGTGGCCATGGTTTTTTTTTTTTTTCTTTTTTCATTCGGACATTAATTTTTCTTTTAATTATTGAAGGTAAGATTAGGACTATATATGATCATATATAATAAAATGAAGACCATGCTTTTAGCTTTTTCATGTTTATCTTACCATCGCACTGCCAGTACTATATAGTTCAATTTCATTTTTTAAATGTTATCTATTTACCTTTCGGCACTCAAACCGAAAGGAAGTAAAGAAGATTAGGGAGTCTCAATCAAAAATATATTATTTAAAAGTGATTAGTGGGCGATTGGAGATGAGTTAGACTTTAATCGAGGGGAGTGGAATTAAAATGAGAAATTAGAATTTGAGTTTGATTTATTTGTATTTGATGAATTTTAATTTTTAAATTTAAATTTAATTTGAGATAAAATTTTAATTAGTTAAATTTATTTGATTAAATTTATTTAATAAAAATAAATTTAATTTCAAATTTGATTATATATTTAAATTTGAATTTAAATTAAAAAATATATAAAAATAAAATAATAACTATTTAATTAATATAATAAAAAAATATTAAATTTAAAAATAAAATTCTCACGAGTTACTCAAATTAAACATATTAATATATTTAAACTCAATTTAATTTAATAATAACTCGAATTTAAATTTTATTTAAATTAAATTTAAATAATTTAAGCTGGCTCGGATTGTGTTAGATTGACGAGTGATGACCCACTTGTCCAACCAATGTTCTCAGTGGTCACAGCTGTGAACCAAGTTGAGATGGGACCGCCGACAGCCCACGCGCATATCCGCACTGTAAAATTTTATATTTTTATAACCGTACGTGGGAGGAGAACTGAAAAGGGGAAGAGACGAAGGGGTTTTAAAAACGACAAAACTAGAAAAGTAAAAACGACAAAGGGATTTGCCTAGTTTTTGAACAATGATGCTCCTTTCTGACTGGCTGGCTGGCTGGCACCTTGTAGTTGTACGTTCGCATTGTGTGCCAGCTCATACTTGTTCTTCAAAGCCGTCCAATTTCTTTAGATGGAATTTCACTCTCAAAATTTATTGATGATGTTTATATTAGCTTTAATTACATTAATTAACTCTATTGTCAAAAAAATCTTATTTGATTTGCTTATTTTTCATTACAATTAAAATTTTAATATAAATTATATATAAATTTAATAAAAATAAATGTATTTTGACTTCGATTTATTAATATAATAATTTTATATTTTAAGACGATATTGATATTAAAATTACTATGTCTCATTGGAATGGAAGAAACTATAATTATTTGGGGGAAAATTGATTATTTTTTGGCATGATTTATGAAATATGATTTATAAATTAAGATGGTTAAAAAAATATTCAAAGTTATTTATGAATTTTCTGTATCATATTTTTTATTTACTAAAAAAAAAGCCAAGAATAACAAGCTGTCGAAATAATTAAATGTGACTATAAACTTTGAATCACATTTTTTATATGAAAAAAATTGTATGAAATAATTATGCGGCATAGTATTTATATATATATATATTTTTTTTTTATATATATATATTTTATATAATTATATTATTGAAAAAATTTAATAATTTATTATAAAATAAATAATTAATATATTAAAATAAATATTTATCATTTAATTATCATATGTATAATAAATATATAATTATATGACATAATTTAAATAAAAAAATATGCTATGGTATAATTGTTTCCAGCAATCCTTTCTATTTGATTATCAAGTGTGACCTAAGTTTGAGCTCACCACATTTTCTCTTTTATATATATGCAGCAACCCAGCTATATTACAGGCTGTTTTTTCTTCTCTCTTTCTCCCATTAAACCTTTTTTTTTTTTTTTTTTGTATTTATATAGATCTCTCTATACGTTTGCTTTATCCTTTTTGAATGCTTAAGTTGGCAAACTCTTCGTTCGGGCCCCAAAACCTCTACACTAAGTAATTCGTAAGCTGCAGCAGCAACAACACAGTAGAAGAAGAGAAAAAAAAAACCCATTAAAACCAGGAAAAAGAAAGCTTAATGGATCCGTGCCCTTTTGTACGGATCCTGGTGGGTAATTTGGCCCTGAAATTTCCGGTACCAGCAAAGCCCTCACTTTCAAGAATCCACCCTTCTACTTCTCCATGTTTTTGCAAGATTAAACTCAAGAACTTCCCTCACCAAGTGGCTACAATCCCTTTTATCCAATCACAAGAAGACAGCAACAACTCTTTTCAGAAATCGCTCGCTGCATGTTTTAGTCTAAGCAAGTCGCAGATGGATAGTATAATCTCGAGAGGAGGTTCATCATATAAAGTTTCTATCGAGGTTTACGCTGATCCTGATGGCAGTACTTGTGGATTGGCATCTGGAAAGTTGTTGGGGAGGGTTTCAGTGCCTTTGGATCTACGTGGAGCGGAGTCAAGGCCGTCTGTTGTGCACAATGGATGGGTTGATATAGGCCAAAATAGAAGCAACAAGAATGGATCATCTGCGCAGTTGTGTTTAACTGTCAGGACTGAACCTGACCCGAGATTTGTGTTCCAGTTTGGTGGGGAGCCTGAGTGTAGTCCTCAGGTTTTTCAGGTTCAAGGGAGTGTTAAACAGGCAGTTTTTACATGCAAGTTTGGTTTCAGGAACTCGAGCGATCGGAACTTGGGATCAAGGTCAATTTTTAACTAGTACTAGTAAAAGTTTTGACTTTGCGTTTAATTTATTGTTGTTGTCAAAGTGTTTCTAAAATTTTTTATTGTTATATTATTCTGCAGATCATCTTTGTCAGAATCAAGCACTGCAAGAACTTGGCTACCTTCTTTGAAAACAGATAAAGATCAATCCTCCAAAGAACGAAAAGGATGGTCAATTACAATCCACGACCTCTCAGGCTCTCCGGTAGCAATGGCATCAATGGTGACCCCATTTGTCCCCTCTCCTGGAACGGACAGGGTCAGCCGGTCCAACCCAGGTGCATGGCTAATTCTCCGTCCAGGATGTGGAACCTGGAAACCCTGGGGCCGCCTTGAGGCCTGGCGTGAACCTGGTTTCACTGACGCCCTTGGATACCGATTTGACCTCTTCCACGATGATATCGCCGCCACAGACACAACCACCATCGTCGACAGGTCCACCGTCAGCACCAAACATGGCGGAAAATTCACCATGGATAGGACTACTAATATAGCAACACTATCACTAAGCCCACAAGGCAGCTGTGACTTAGGGTCAAAGTCACGTTCCGGGTCAAGAGCAGGATCCGGATCAGGGTCAGATTTCGGGTTTGGGGTTTCCCTTTCCCCGCAGAGTTTGTACAGGGGTGGGTTTGTAATGTCATCGACGGTGGAAGGTGTGGGTAAATGCAGTAAACCGGAAGTAGAAGTAGGGGTACAGCAAGTGACATGCACAGAGGACGCAGCAGTATTCGTGGCATTGGCAGCGGCCATGGATCTAAGCATGGATGCTTGTCGGTCCTTCTCTCAAAAGCTAAGGAAAGAGTTGAGGCGGCAAACTCAGAACTTTGTCGTTTAATGTGGTGGGGTTTTGTCGTTTTAGGTTGTTAGGTGTTTTTGGATTGGGATTCCTTTGTCAGATAACTAACAGCACTTTTTGAGCTGGATGTAACGATTAGTTTTTACAGTGCGGAATGACAAGGCAGGATTTTTTTTCTTCTAAATTTTCTTGTGATCAGTGAATTTTTTCATTGTTTTATTCATATCTTTTGTTCTTTATATTTGTTGTTTATACAGTATATGCTATCATATGCTTTCTTTCGTCTGAGAATCCTATGTTGGAAAGGTGGAAGTATTGATATAAATCCCTTTTTTTTTTTTTTATGCAGAGATTCATGTTCATGGCGATATTCGTATGGATAAGGATAAGAATTTTTAAATATTAATTAAACTAAATTAGATTTTGTCATCTTTTTAAAACAAGATTAAACAAATTATATTCACTGAATGTATGATAGGAGACCATTGTTTTGAGTTACTCTGAAAATCCCATTACAAAACTACAATTTCCATATTGTTCTAAATTTCTAATAGGATGCTGCTGGAAAAAACAATTTTCCAATCTGTGCATATCTATTTCTAGTTTTGAAGTGTTATGTACTACTATTACCTGTACTTTTTTTTATTGGATTTTGTTATTTATATGCTTTAAAAGTTGAAATTGTGTGAAAGCACAACCTTTCTATTGCAATGGAGAAATTTCCTTTCATAATAATGTTGAAGCAGATTGCAGTTTGCCAAGCCATATATCAACTTCAATTTTTAATTCTGTTCTTGTACTTTGTTCCTCCAATGACTTTTTTTCTCTCTCTAATTAATAATGCAACATTTATTAGTTAGGGACCTCATGTTAATTTTGTTTAGCAACTTGGAGCAAGAAATTGAAAATTTTGTTTCCTGCAACTGCAAGCATAGACATCATTGTAACAGAAGTTTTCAGATTTATGAAATGTAGATAAGAATATAGGATAAGACAAACAGTGCAACAAACATTTGTCTTAACAGTTACTGAAGTCCTTGGAAGGGCATTTGGCATCTGGACTCTTCTCATTGGCACATTGTCTGCATTTAACCTTGAGAACAAGGCACTCTACTTGGTTATTTTTCTGTTATTCGTATATGCGCTTGGTCGTTTCTTGACTCAGTACCTAACATATGGTACAATGACCATCAGGAATCTCACAGCTGTTAGCTTCTTCGCGGGTATCAGTTTTGTCATTACATTTATTAGTAAATGGCATAAAAATTAGCAGCACACACCGCTCTCTTTTGAATATCTAGCCCACATATACCTTTGAAATTGAATTTTGCACCTAATACTGTAATAACATTTATACCTCCCTGATCCTACCTGTTAGATCAGGAATCTCTCAGGTGTTACCTAATACTATAATAACTGGAGTAGTTAATTTTCTAGCTATCCATATGTGCTTTACCTCAACCTGATCCTACCTGTTAGATCAGGACATGCAGTTAGGGGTAGTGCAGTTGCTCTGGATAAACATACATATAAAGTCATCTAATCTTCGTTTTTCATAGTCCAGACATGTCTGTGTAATGTCATCATCCTGTCAAGCATTTAAAACGGGATTGAAAGAGCCTTTGTTAATGAGACAGATATTGACATTTCAGCATCTCTTTTTCAAAATTTTAAGCACTTTTTTCATGTTACTACAAAAAATTCGAGGTTTTCTATACTTACATAAAACAGAAGGATGCAATTCAATTTAACAGTGATCATTTGCTTTACATTTCATCAGGAACTATAATGAAGTATGGTGACTGGTGAATAATTTCTGCTTTTTCGTAACTTAAATTTATTCTAGGTTAAGCCGAACCAGAACCAACGAGTCAGGATGGCCGAGTGGTCTAAGGCGCCAGACTCAAGTTCTGGTCTTCGTGAGAAGGCGTGGGTTCAAATCCCACTTCTGACATTCAATTTACTTCAACATGAATTTTTTCACAGTTCAAACTCAGCAGTAAAAATAATTTTGCTTCCTATTATTATTATTGTAATCGGGAGATAAACAAAGTTATTTCAGCAGACCAGGTACCGTTATACATTCTACAACATCAGTCACAGAATCCATCACAAACTACAAAATAAACTGGCATTTCAGAAATTAGATTGCTTTGGCTTCATTGCATTCAAAGACAATACAAAATGTTTGTCAATGGTCAGTATCCAGAGCATTCATCCAATGAGGAGTCACAATTGGCCAAGAAAATCTTAGAATAAATACAAAATTTCACTAAAAAACGAATAAATAGTTAGTAAGCAGAATAATTAAAAATACCAAGAAAAATCATCGTTCGGCTTAGCGGCTCAGAAGATATAGCTGCAAGTTCAGAATGGGCTTAGAAGCTCAACGACTCGGCTTTCCCTCAAGAAACGGCTCGAAGGGTGGCTCACAATTGGCTACTAGAAATCGAGTCAAAAAGAGGCCGCTATTGGGTCGGATTACTGGTGGAGCAGCACGCGGGTTGTCAAAAAGTCTATTCCAAAAATTGGCACGATTTTAAATCATTATAAAGGGTTACAATCCGATCATTCTCTCATTTTTCTCCCTTATTTTCTCTCTCTAATGTGATGCTTGCTCTGTCCTATCTCTTAAACAGTAGCCAAGAACTTGTGTGTCTTCCTCAAACTCCGGCATAGTCCTATTACCGTCCACCGCTGACCTCCATCGGCGGTCACTCATCGGCCAATGTCCGGTCACTTGTTTGCTCCGAAACTTGTCGCAATACTCTTTCTCAATCTCGTCGTCTCAGATTTAGGTGCAGATTCTTCAAAAACTTGCTTGCTTCGCGTGAATCTGCCTTGGAAGGTAACGGATATGAACTCAAGAACCTCTTTCCTTGCTACGCCGATCACCGCCACCCCAAGGTATGTTCTTGCTCTTGTTCTTGGCTTTTTCCTCACCCGATTGGAGACCCAAAACCTTTTGAATAAGCGCAAACAAAGCCCGAAAAAAATTGCTTCCTTGTTTCTGACTTTACTTTATTGTTTTCTTTACCTTGTCAGCGTTTTTTATGGACGGTGAATAATCTTTTGGCAAGAGATGGGTGATGAGGCTGGATTCCTTTTGGGCTTCTGGGTGGCAGTCAGAGTGATGGTCCCTTCTGATTATTTGTTGGAATTGAATTTGGGGCTGTGGTTGGGTGTGCCACGTACCGCCTTGGTTTCAGCATAGTGAATTTGCAGATGGTGAAATGATTTTACCCTACTCTTTGTTTTTGTTTCCTGGAGTCTTCTGAGTAATTGCTGGGTGTTCTAGATTTTCTTTTTTTGCTAGGTGTTTGATGGCTATGTGACTTTTGCTGATAGAATTAGGATTGAATGGAATCAGACAAAAGGGCTTTTCAGTGGGTGGTGTTGTTTAGGGGTTCGATTGTGGATTGACAGTAGACTAGGGTTGGATAACTATGCAAGGGGTATTCTGTTGGCAATAGGTTTTCCAGGAACTTACTGATGTTCCTAGGAATCACTCGATTTTCTTCCTTTTGTAATTGCCCCCCTTTTGCAGTGTAATTGCTGTTGCTTAAATAATAGTGATGAGGGTAGGATCTCAGTTTAAAACTGAGCATCCTATCCTATTCAATCGGGATTTTAATTTCAAAAAGGCAATTGAATTTTAAACCAAATCTTATCACCTGTTTTATCTTTTTTATTTTTTTATCCTTTTATTTACTTTCAGACAGGGTATTTATAGTTGTCTCTCTTAGCATATTTTTTATGAAACAGAGATTATGCAAAGACGTAGACACCGGTCATGGCCTTAGTCAAGAAAAAAATACTTTGTTGTTGATTGAATCGAGTTTAAAAATGAAATGACGTGAAGATGTATTTGACATTGGTTGAAATCCAAAACAATGAGCTGGATGGAACCAAAGTCTAAGATAAATAGCTTGGATTGAATCAAAGAAAGATCTGACATAAGCCAAAATCTAAAACAAAATAACCTGGACTGATTCAAAATCTGAAATAGTTAACTTGGATTGAATCGAAGAAGGATCTGGCATAGGTCAAAATCCAAAACAAAATGACCTGGATGAAATCAAAATCTAATTTTACAACAATTACAAAATTTCAAAACTTTAAAAGTTCATGATTTGAAGCATTCAAAAATTTCATAATCAAAAATTCGCAAGACAAGTTGAAACTCAACGATTCACAATTGAGTTAAAAAAAATCACAAATTTGAAATTCAAAGGTTTGCAATTCAAAGATTCGTGGGAAAAATTTGCAAGAATTTCATATTCGTAAGTTTTGGAGGTTCGCAAGAGATTCATATTCACAAGAATTGAAAATTCGTAAAGAATTGGAGATTCGCAAAGTTTTCAGATTCACAAAAATTAAAGATTCATAAAGTTTTCAGATTCACAAGAATTGAAGATTCGCAAGACTTTCAGATTGAAGATTCATAAAATTTTCGTAATTCGCAAGAATCGAAGATTCGCAAGGCTTTCTGATTTGCAAGAATTGGATATTCGCAAGACTTTCAGATTAGAGATTCACAAAATTTTCGGATTCACATTTGAAAAAACTTCTAGAGATTCACAACTAGAATTTCAAAGGTTCTCATTCAAAAATTTTACAATTTCATCCAAAATTTTCAAGATTCTGATTAAAAAACTCTAAGTATTCACATCAAAAAAATTTTAAAACTCAAATATTCTTATTTGAATTATTAGAGATTATTCTTGGAGGTTTTACAAATCATCCTCATTATTGAAAGGGTTTCTTCAAAAGGTTTCACAACTTTAAAAGTCAGGATGTTTTCCTCAGTCAAAAATCTCATAATGCAAAATTTTTAAAGTTTCGAAGTTTAAAATTTCCCTACCAAAGTCAAAATTTGTATAATAATGATGCGAATGCTTTCTTAATGATGCAAATGTAACAAACCAGTTTCTCACAACAATGCAAATGCGTACTCTAAACCATGATTCGCATGTTCACTATATGATGCAAATGCGTGATTAAACCATGATGCAAATGCAATGTAATGTAATGCAAATGTCCCTAAAACCAGCACCATGACATTCTAATTGATTGTGGTAATAAGGTTCTCAAGACTCCACCATCTCACATTTCCTTTTTAACTTCCAGTAATAACCAATTTCGCTAACTGATCCATGCTATTTCCAGCATTTGATCATAACCCACAAATTATATTGGTTGATCCATCATCATATTCACCATTTGGGTACCACATTTGCCTTTTCAAATCAACTTCTCAGCTTTCTTTCATATTTTTCATTTTTTGTGCCTCTATCATCTTGGATTTCTTTTCAAAGGAATGCATGAATTTTTTATGAATATTGTCATCCATTGGTTATCATTTCAATTCATGACAAGCACAATGCAATCATATATTTGCTTGATTTATTTTGGGGATGCAAAAATAAGTGAGAGTAAGGTGAATTGAGAGAAAAGGAATCAATACAAGAACAAATTTGATACAAAATTATATAGATTAAGGAACAAATTCAAAGCATCGTCACTAGGGTAAGTGTTTGAATGGTATAATAATATCTGAATAATGAATATTCAAATAATTTCTAACATTAATCTAGGATTCTTTTTAAAAACTCATTCCATTGACTTTTTAAATCATTTTGAGCTTTCACATTTGGCCTCAATTTCAAAGGATTTTCAGATAACATTGATCTTCCATATATTGAGCTGTTATTATTGTTTTCAGGTCAGATGTCTTTCTACCCAAATTGCCCTTTTGGATTTTCAATTTGAGTCTTCTTTTTTTCCATTTTCATTTTTTTTTTTTTCTTTTTTTTTCTTTCTATTATTGATATCTCTTCCACATCAATCTCTAGAGTAATGAACACGATTCTGTTGTTCTGTCATGAGCATGCCTTAGTCTAACATATGATCATTCAATTTGAACATTCACATTTGATCCAAATGAACTTTTAAAGGTTGTAATGTAGGTCATGGTGAGGGGTCATAAAAGAAATGGATAAAATAAGTTCAAAACATGTGTTTAAAGAGTTTAAAACCAATGGATCATTTTTCATCATGCGATGCAATTTGACATTTTGCCCCATTTCACATCATTTCACTACTTTTTCCTTCTTTCATCTGATCCCTCTTATTATTTTACCCAAATCATGTGTGACATTCATTTTTCTTTTTTCTCTTTTCTTTGTTTTGCTTTTCTTTCTTTTTTTTTATTTGAGACCCTTTTACGATCTTTTGCCTTCTTTTTTCAAAAATTACCCTAGTATGAGGGTGATCCTTGGTCAAGTTCCTTAGAAAAAAAAATCATAATAGGCTCAAAGGGAGAACAATGAATGATTTTTCAAACAGTAAAAGAAATGTGGCCATTTTTCACCTCAAAGGTGAATGCTTTCCTTGAACATCATTTATTGAACAAAAACAAGCTCATGGATTTTTACACTTCTTTAAGATATATCTATTCCATATGTACTAGCAGCTAGCTTCTTTTGTTCAAATAGTTTCCTCAGATCAATGTTAATGAGTTCTCAAAATTAAATTTAGAATTATTATTATCATTGTCTAAGCATTCATCCTTTGAAATTTGAGAATGGGAATGAAAAGTTATGAAAAGTAACAAAGCATGGAACAATGGTTGAATAAAAGAGAAAATGTAATGAAATGCATTATCCTTGCCTTTTGTTAAAATGATAAAAAATGAAATCTTATTACATAAAAGAAATCTTAGCATTTCTTTAAAAGAAATCCAAACAACTTTTAACCAGTATCAACATCTTTGTTTTTCCCAAGACTATGCTCTTGCGTGATCGATTGAATGATTCTTACTGCCATCTAATTTTTTTGATTCATCGAAGCTTACCAAGTCTTTTCGGATCAAACTTTGCAACTTATGCTTAAAAGCAAGGCAAGTTTTTATAGAATGGCCAACATTTTCATTATGGTTATCGTATGTGGCATTAGCATCATACCATTGGGGATAGGGTGACTTTAATGGTTCTAGAATAACAGGAGATACTAAGTTATTTTTAACCAGTTCTGAAAATAACTCAGTGTAAGTCATGAGGGATAGGGTCAATGTGTGCCCTTTCTTGATTATTTTGAGATTTCTTAAATCACCCGCTTGGTTATTAGGCATCGAATCTAATGTAGTAATAGGACTGGGCCTATACGTGGGTGTTTGAAAAGTTGGTCGAAAGACTGGGTGTGGAACATGATGGTAAGAGATTGGTGTAACATGATTAATGGTCGGATAATATGGAGGATATACTGGCTGTAGGTATGGGGCATAACTTTTGAATTGTTGTCCTTTAAAACTCACAGCATGAGCCTCATTTTTTTTTTGGACATCCCACCATTCTTTGTATTGAAAGTCTCTCCCTCTTCAAGCTTGCCACTCTTAATAGCATTCTCTATCATTTTTTCGGAGATCACTATATCGGTAAAATTTTTGATGGTATTTTCAATCATTTTCTTATAATATGAAGGTTTCAGAGTATTTATAAATAAGATGATTGTTTCTTTTTCAGTGAGAGGTGGTTGAACTTGAGTAGCTATATCTCTCCACCTTTGTGCATATTCTTTAAAGCTTTCAGAAGGTTTCTTTTTCATACTTTATAGAGATAGGCGATCTGGAGCTAAGTCTATAATGTGTCGATATTAGGCGATGAATGCCTTTGCCAAATTATTTCATAACTAGATACGAGTTCGGTCTAATTGAACATACCACCTTGCGACTGAGCCAATGATATTATCTTGAAACACATGCATCGATAGTTTCTCATCATGAGTATGAGCAGTCATTTTACGACAATACATGGTAACATGAGTTACCAGGCATTTTATCCCATCGTATTTTTTAAATTCGGGGACTTTAAATTTTGGTGGGATGACCACATCTAGAACTAAGTATAGTTCAGCTGCATCTACAGAGTCAAAAAATCCATTCCTTCGATGGCTCATAGTCTCTCTTCTAAAAAGGTTCATTTGTTGCATGCTTAAGTCTTCTATCACCTTAGAAGTCTTCATCTTCAATCTCTCGTTCTCTTTAAGATCATTAAAATTAGAGACCTCAATTGGATCACACGCATTTGGCCCAAAGGTAAGGTTAGTGTAGCTATGAAATAGCACTTTCAGGATATGCCCCAGAAAATGGCATCCGTGGGGCTTGTGTATTTTAAAGAGATTGGCCTTGATTTAGGCCAAACTCGAAAAGGTGTAGAGAATCCACAATATCATGTTTCTCATTTAAATTAGGGGTTTCTTTTATTGTTTTGCCTTTATCTAATTTTTGTAACATCTCCATCATCTTTGCTAACTCCGATTTTTATCTCCTATTGAGTGTTTCAATCTTGTCCATATGGGTACTTTGTTCATGTTCCATTTGCCTTGTTCACGATCGAGTATTATACGGGTGATGTGCAGGTTGACTTGAATTTGTCAACGGTCGAGCTATCCTTAAACCTTTGATTACCACAAATTAAGATGCTTGATTACTACATGTTCATGTCATGAAAGAAATACTATAAAAATAATCTTAATATGATTTCAAGCTAACATATGCAAATGAATGCCAAAAATATATGCAGCCCAATGTTATCATGCTTTAAGTGAAAGAAAAATAGATAAAAGAAGAAAAAATCAATTAACATACATCTTATCATGACAATTCATACAACATGACAACAACAGTTAATTTCCACTCAAGAAAAATCAATCATTGCAAAAATGTAACTTAGCTATTGGATTTTTCTACGGAAGGAGAAGGTAAGGCTTTAACCACGGGTTAGGTTCCTCATGCTCACTATATGTGGTTTAAAGTTGATAATTTAAATGTTCTCAAATTTCTCTTTACATCATTATCCATCATAGACTAGTAAGGCACACTAATCCTCATTCATTACAGGCTGCAAGCAGAAATGATTCAATTTAAGTGAGAGTATTTCGCTAGCCACTGCGAAAGCATTAGAACCTCACGAAAGTATAGGTACTTTACTCTCTCTTAGAAAGATAGAGCTCGGGTATAGAGCCCATATTATACATATGCATATGAATGACATAGTTAGCAACATAAATAAATAAAATGAATGGAAAAAAAAATCCTTACAAAGAATTCAATTTTATTTGGCTTTTTGGATAACACGAATTTATTTGTTGGTTGACTCTCGACTTTTCTCAAGTGGAGTCGCTAACATAACGTCTAGATTCATGGACCTATCATCAGACATTGATTTATAAGTCATCACCAATCTTTTTTGTTTAAATGTAATTGATCATCTGATTGAATCTATCTCTTTTTAAAGAAAAATCTTAAGCTTGACTTAGGTATCTTTAAAATGTAGATTCAATGTCTACGAAACCCAAACTAGGTTCGGGAGTACAATTACGTGTGAGAAAGGTTATAGCACCCTCACGACGCCCATCAAAGGATGATACTAACTTGATTTTGTGTTATCCATTAAGCCTTAAAAATCTTGTCGAGTAATTAACTATTAAAAATTATTCTTAATTAACTCCAATACTTTTGGTAGAAAATTAATAAAACTTTCTCACCTCAAGAGTATGTAAGAAAACTACTGTTTCTCCAACAGAGCCTCCGTCATCGAATTATTTTACACTAAAAATTTTCAAAAAAATTGAGACTTTCAATTTTTTCTCAAAATATTTTTTTAAATTTTTTATTTTCAAGAAAAATTGATACTTTAACTTTTCTTTAAAATATTTCTTTAAAATTTTTATTTTCAAGTAAAATTGATACTTTCAACTTTTCTTCAAAAAAATATTTTTTGAAATATTTTGGTATTCTAAGATTATCACCATTCTTTGGAAATATTTTTATTTATTTTTCCTAAAAAAAAATTTTCACTCAAAAATGAATAAATAGTTAATAAGCAAAATAATTAAAAATACAAAAAAAAATCATCGTTCGACTTAACGGCTCGAAAGATATGACTGCAGGTTCAGAATGGGCTTAAAGGCTCAACGACTCGACTTTCCCTCAATAAACGGCTCGAAGAGTGGCTCACAATTAGCTACTAAAAATTAGGTCAAAAAGAAACCGCGATTGGGTCTGATAACCAGTGAAGCAGCACGCGGGTTGTCAAAAAGTGTATTCCAAAAAATGACATGATTTTAGATCATTATAAAAGGTTAAAATTCGATCATTATCTCATTTTTTTCCCTTATTTTCTCTCTCTAATGTAATGTTTGTGTCATAGGTCGAGATTTAAGCTTCAAATTCACGTCATTTCGAAATTTAGACATTTACTCATTCGATCTCTCAGATTAATCTATCTGTCACGATTCATATATTTGTAAGATATTATTTACTCTGATTTTCTGATCTCACAAAAAAAAAATGATGTAAATCTTTATACCCTCAATGACTTTTTTTTTTTATATTCAATATGAGATTTAAAACTTCTCCCGTGTCACTTGCTCTGTCCTATCTTTTAAACAGTAGCCGAGAGCTTGTGTGTCTTCCTCAAACTCCGGCAAAGTCTTACTACCGTCCACTGCTGACCTCCGTCGGCGGCCACTCACCGGCCAACGTCCCTTCCCTTGTTTGCTCTGAAACTTGTCGCGAGACTCTTCTTAATCTCGCCGTCTCGGATCTAGGTACAGATTCTTCAAAAACTTGCCTGCTTCGCGTGAATCTGCCTTGGAAGGTAGCGGATATGAACTCAAGAACCTCCTTCCTTGCTGCGCCGATCACCGCAGCCCCAAGGTATGTTCTTTCGCTTGTTCCTGGCTTTTTCCTCACCCGATTGGAGACCCAAAACCTTCTGAATAAGCGCAAACGAAGCCCGGAAAAAAATTGCTTCCTTGTTTCTGACTTTGCTTTATTGTTTTCTTTACCTTGTCAGCGTTCTTTATCGACGGTGAATGACCTTTTGGCAAGAGATGGGTGATGAGGCTGGATTCCTTTTCGGCTTTTGGGTGGCAGTCAGAGTGATGGTCCCTTCTGATTATTTGTTGGAATTGAATTTGGGGCTGTGGTTGCGTGTGCCGCACACCGCCTTGGTTTCAGCATAGTGAATTTGCAGATGGTGAAATGACTTTGCCCTGCTTTTTGTTTTTGTTTCCCGGAGTCTTCTGAGTAATTGCTGGGTGTTCTAGATTTTCTTTTTTTGCTAGGTGTTTGATGGCCGTGTGACTTTTGCTGATAGAATTAGGATTGAATGGAATCAGACAAAAGGGCTTTTCAGTGGGTAGTGTTGTTCAGTGGTTCGATTGTGGATTGACGGTAGACTAGGGTTGGATAACTATGCAAGGAGTATTCTGCTGGCAATAGGTTTTCCAGGAACTTATTCTGCTGGCAATAGGTTTTCCAGGAACTTACTGATGTTCCTAGGAATCGCTCGATTTTCTTCCTTTTGTAATTGGCCCCCCTTTTGCAGTGTAATTGCTATTCCTTAAATAATGGTGACGAGGATAGGATCTCAGTTTAAAACTGAGCATCCTATCCTATTCAATCGGGATTTTAATTTCAAAAAGGCAATTGAATTTTAAACCAAATCTTGTCACCTGTTTTGTCTTTTCTGTTTTTTTATCCTTTTATTTACTTTCACATAGGGTGTCTACAAGTAGCAGCACTCTAAAAACACCAACTGTTTATGAATCAAAATAGAGTGCAAAGATATCAATTTTAGAGCACTCACAGAAACTGAACAGCCATATAATCGGATTTCTCATTCAGCTGCAGCATCTTCATTGTTGCTCCCTTCTATTGTAATATCTGGCAATGTACTCAAATCTATACGTGCATCTGTCTCTTCTTGGGGGAGGGTATTGTCAGAAGAATCAATGGGATCTTGCTGAACTCTATCCACTGTCTCTATAAACGAGGTAGATTCTGAGCTTTCATCTCTTCCACCTGATTTGTTGTCACCTTTTGATTTGTCATTCTGAGTTGAATCAGTAATCTCCTTATTCATGGAAGACTCAGAACTGTCCCTTCCAGCTGTTGCATTTATCTTGGGGATATCCTCTGACATACCAGACTCAGCATTAGTAGAAGAATTCGAGGATTCTGTTGTGGCTGAATCTACATTTTCAGTTTTACTTGAATCAACAGCTATGGAATCAGTCGGCTTCCGATTAGAATTCATCTCATTGGCTTGCTCTTTATATTTTTCTTCAGTTACCAAACCATCTCCTGTTGCATTTTGAGAAGAAGTCGATTTCAAAATGATAGCTGTTCCATTCTGCAGAGAACAAGGCATTCCTGTATTCACTTCTGCAGGCTTATTGCCTGTTTCTTTTCTCACTACCGTAGAGTTTTTGCTTGCTTGGTTAATTAAGTCAGTTGTGTTTGTTGTACTTGGAAGAGAGATATACTCCAAGTTGGATGATCCATTCTCATAAGCATTTTCATTAGTGTATGTCACATTCAAGGAACTACCACCTTCAGAGTATTTACCTTCATCGACCTTCAAGTCTGACTTGTTTTCATCACCATTAATTTCCTCAGTACTATTGGCTTTGGTCTCCTGCTCCGAAACATTCATTGTTGAATTTTCATTAGAATTTTCCATATTTAATTTATCAGCTTCAGAGTTACTAATTAGGGTGTCATGGGACACTGCACTGGAAGCATCATCTGCCTTGTAATGCTCCTCTCTTGCCTCATGTGCATTCTTGCCACCTTCATTGTGATTCTGATCATTTGCTAAATTGTCAATTTCTTCTTGACCCTCGTTCTCTTCATTTTCTTTATCATCACCCTCTACTTCTCTTTCTTTCTCCTCATCTAGAAATTCTTCTTCATGATCAGCTTCACCATCTGCTCTTTCTTGCTCATTTTCGTCAACCTCATCATCTCCATCTCCTCTTCCCTCACGTTCTGCTTCTTCATCCTTAATATCAGCTTCTTGCTCTTCATCATCATGCATGCTGCCTTCATCTTCCTGCACTTCTTCTTCATGTTTACTTGCTTCTCCTTGCTCCTCTTCTTCACGTTTTCTTGTTCCTTCTTGCTCCTCTTCTTCAAGCCTCTTAGCTTGTTCTTCTTGTTCTTCATCATGCTTATTTTCCTCCTCAACTCCATTTTCTTCTTCCTCTTCTTCCTCATGCTTGTAGTTCTTAGATACTTCCTGCACATGGGGGAGCTCTTTCCTCCCAAATTGTAGAATCACATCATCACGTTGCACTTTCACAGAGGCTTTAGCATCTCTCTCTTCAAATTCTTTTCTCTTATCATGGGAGCGCTTGACTTGGTATATCAACCAGAAGCAAACCCCGAGTAACAGACAAATCTGAAGGACATGCTTCATCTTGATACCTTTGGATCTTTGGTTTCTACTAGCTGACTTCTTAAACATGATGAAAATACCGACACCAATTTCCTTTCTCTGAAGGAACTGCCTGAATCCTTTCTAAGATATAAACATATAATACTGAATGATTAACAAAGAGTAATAAACCATTTAAAAGATCAAATTGCATGTTCTTTACCATATTTCCTTCTGCTTGTCCAAATATTTTCAATATCATTACCAAATAGGTTTTCAAGTTATTTCATAGTTTTTTGACCAACCAAACTAATGGTGGTTATTTTTTCTTCACTCTTCTCTTAATCTTGGCACCATGCATGACATTGACTGAACAGAGACCAACTCCCATAAAATAAAAAGGGAGGGAATATAAAATTCTTTTAGTTTCTCATATAATGCAGAGAATGTTTTAGCATATGAAGGAAGCTCAGAAATGGATAAATAGTTTGGTTACATAAAACAAATCAGGGGCAATAACAATTCCTGACCAAATGGAGCAAACAATGTACTTATTTTTTTTTATTAAAAAAGGCCCTAAACCCAGAGGAGGAAACCCCATGGAAGAAGCCCTAACTAAGAGGAAGATAACACATTGAAGCAATACCCATCAAACTTGAATGAAAAATCTCAAAATTTGAGATTTACAAACAAAACCCATTTCCCAAAATAGCTGGTAACATGAAACAAAGAAACAAAAGACAAAATTCATGCAGTAGCTAAAAATGAGAAAGTTGCTTAAGCTGAATAAAGTATAAGATTCAAACAAAACTTATCATACTTAAGCCTTGAAAAAAGAAGGTAGATAAAGCAAGGAGATACCTGGAGAAAAAAGAGACTCAGACAAAAGATACAGCAGTTAAAGTTGTCAAGACAAGATGGTTTTAAGACAGAGATAATGGTAAAGAAAGTCTTTCACAGTTCTCACTGCCTTCTTCCGGATCCAACACAAAAGGGATGAATGGCCTTCCACCATTTCTATTCTTCTAGCCCCCAGATTTTACCTTTCGGTCGCTCACCCAAAAATGATTTGACCATTAGCTTATTGCACATATTTTTTAAGACAAAAATGTCATCCTATGTCTTAAGAAAATATCTGATGTCCTTTTTTTTTGGTTGTCTTGGGAATTATTTCTCAGGGAAACAGCTTTGAATATTGATAAGATTTGGAACGTTATAAAACGATTGATAGGACGAGGGTTCCACTTGTAAGAGACCCACATCGCCATGGTTACATGGTACATGTTTCCCTATGCTAAAACAAATGTGACAATAAGAGTAAGTTTTTATAAAACCTCAAAATTGATTTATTTTTTGGTCCCTTAGGACAGGACCATGGATCCACCTTTGCAAAATTTACCACTCTAAGTTTTGTGCTCATAGTAACAAAGGGCCAAAGGCCTACCATCACATCGATCAATTATTTTTTAGGGAAAGCTTGTGGATGAGAAGAGCCCAGATCTGATGAACTCAATGCCACTCTATTTTTGCGACGCTTTGGACGGATTCTGCCGATGTCATGTCACCAGAAAACACAGACAGCTATATCTATCTCACCTAGACAGACAATAGCCATCCAACTATCAGTAATTCATTGCGATAGAAAGGCAACAATTGTGGAAAAGTATGAGCTGCAAGATTCATGTTAAATCCATATATTTCATGGGCCACACAATGGGCTCAACTTCTCCCAACTGCTATATCAGTTTCCTTCTGCTACTTTTTAATCAAGAGAAACAAAAAATCTTTATGTGAGGCCAAAAATCTCGTATTCATGTAGTTTCATAGGTCATTAACAGTGCAAGAAAATCAGTTCCTTAATTTGAATTCTTCTAGCACTTCGACACTCGAAAGCTGAAAAAAATGGATTTATCATATGTATGTCACGGGTCGAGATTTAAATTTCGAATTTGTGCAGTTTCGATATTCGGGTATGTACTTATTCGACATCCCAGATCAATCTTCATATCACGGTTTATACCCTTGTGAGTTATTATTCGCTCTGATCCCCTTACCTCACGATTTTATCTTACAAAAAGTGCCTTACAAAAAAAATATGGTATGAACCTTTTTATACTCTAGTGACCTTTCTACTGTTCATGGATTAACAAAAATGTGCAAAAGCTCTATTTGCCTCTGCCATTCTATGAGTCTCTTCTTTTTTGCGTATGGCATCACCACGTCTTTTGGCAACATCCACTAATTCGAAACGAATGGTAAGTAACTCTTTTTTAGGTTCGTAATATTCTCCCCCACTCAATTTCAATCTCGTGACACTCAGACTGGTTACCCTGCAATATCCTGCATACCTCCCTCCCTGCATACCTCCTTCGAGGCCTCCTTCGAGGCGCTTAACGACAGGTCGAGACTTAAGCTCTGAACTCGCATGGCTTCGAGATTTGGGCATGCACTCATTCGACGTCTCACAAGGAAGATGTGGTGTGAATTTTTTTATACCTTAATGATCCTCTTATTATGTTCGATGTGGGATTCAAGATTCTTATTTAAATCCGTGACATGTACATGATATTCAACCGCCATGGGAAACAAAAAGAGCCCAACCATCTTCTTCTTGTGAAAGTGTTTGTGGTAATTGAATTCTTCTGCTTTTTACTCCTACCACACACAAGTTAAATCATACACATAAGGAGCTGTATAGGAACAATTTACAAAGAGTTTTATTCATTTTTTAATTAAAAATTAAATGTAAAACAGCCAAACCAGTAATTCATTAGCATGATCTATATTAATTTACTGTGAATTTTTATTTTAATCACACTTTTACATTATGTGTGTGTTATGGCTTTTTCATAGAAGCCATAGCTTTTAGTATTTGCCTTTTCTCAAACCACCACTTCCACGAAGCTGTCACCTGAGCAACTGAACTCAACATCAAACAGTTTAACCAACATCTTATGTCCAAATAATGATTTGGAAGCTGAACATGTATCAAGTATGTTACCAACAGGATAAGAGGGTGAAGAAAAGCAGAACTATGGTGCTTAATTAATAAGGGCGTTGACCCTTGATGTTGCCAACAGGATCATAGCTGCAAATAACAAAAACCCACCCATTCTTACACTTGGCTCTGCCGCACCCAAGGTGAACCGACTTGCGCCAAACAACCTGAGTATAGTGGAGGCACCCATCGTCACCACTAAAGCACGCGTTGGAGGCGTAGTTATAGTCAGGCTTCTCACTGGCCCACATTTTCACAGCGTCGACGCCGTTAAGGTTGCCATAGCCTTCAGCAAGATTCTCACCATAGGGTCCTTGGGAATGCTCCAACTTGCAGTCCCTAATCCTTTTGTTGGCGTATTTTTGGGCGTAGGCAGCCACGGTGCGGTTCCAAACCAGCGGACCGACCCCGACCTTGGCACGAACCGCATTGTGTGCTTTCACATAGTCTTTAGGGGAATTTTGGGCTAGGGAGAAGTGAGCTAGCGTTAGGGTCATGAAGCATATGGCTAAGACAAGCTTGGTGAACCACATTTTGTCACTAGTATGCAAGGCAAAGAAAAAGAACAAAGCTTTTTATGTTTTGTGATACAATGAATGGTGGTTTAGGGTATTTATAGGCAATACCCAGCTAGGGAAGACATGAATGTGTGGAGACAAACATTGAATGTGCTCAATAAATCTTGTCAAGATTAGAGCAATAAAATATAATTAGGAAGAGAGAAGAAGAAGCAAACAGGGTTTTGAAAGATTAAAATATGAATCAGTATTTCACATGCATTGTATAAGAACAATTAGCATTTTGTCCACTTTGTGTTGTATTGCTTCACTCCAAATTAACTGAAAAAATCTATTTTTATGCTTCCTTTGAATTTATATATCAATTAGTAGTCTTAAAAATTTAATTGACAAATGTTGATGCAACTTCTGGTCAAGTGAAAGAAGAGCTTGTCACAAAGAAAAAAGTTAAGAAGGTGCAAGAGATTTTATTTTAAAACGTGTTTTAACACTCAAATCAATAAAATATTATATAAAAAAGGAAATAAGGGAGAGCAAGAGAACAAAAAAGACAGAGGGTTTGATGGTGGATGTGTTACCTGTTTGGTCTGACTCTATCTTTTATACTTTGTAGATGATGACGGGACTGATTGAATAGCCAAATGTTAAGCATACTAGGACGCCAGCCAGCGTTGTGGCTGAGGTTCCTGTTATGGTATAGCAACAAGATCTGTCTTAGCAGAACTTTAATGGCCGAAATCCAATCTCTGGTAGCTAGGATTTGGATTAATTAAGTTTCCTATCAATGCGGCTAGAATACATTGCTAAAGTTCAGTAGAGTTCTGACCCCATACTTTTCATTCCTTACTCAGAACTAGGCCAATCTCAGGCCTTCAAAATTCCTTTGTCGAAAATCTTGAAGTGACCATAAATTAACATTTTAAAGGGAAATAGCTCAAGAAGAAGAAAAGAGAATGCAGGTTAAAACTCCCTGGCTTGTCAGCCTAATTAAAAGTATAGAAATTGAAGGAAAGCTATCAAATAATTAATAAAGTTCGTTATCAGGAACTCTAGTGTTTCGTAGCATATTGAACAAGCAAGTCATGACAGATCACAAATACATGATGATTTATGGCAGATTTTTTGGTAGATGATGACTTTCTCTACATATGCATATATGATATGAACATGTTTTTCCAATTCGAAAAGATTTATCTGCAACTATGGGATTGTTTATGTGAAACCTTTTCAAGTCTTACTGACCGTTGGCAATTGATATAGCAGTAAGCTCCTTTGGCAGGCTGATGGGAGTCAAAGGAGCCTTTAATGAATTACATAAGCAAGTATTGACATGTTATTGCGGAATTTGCGACTATAATTAGATGGAGATGGCTGGCTTTCTGATTTCTTTTTACTTCAATTCCTCCCCTTTAAAAGGAAACTAAACAAAAAAACAAAAGCTTGGGATGATTCAGTAATGTTTACTTCTTGACTAGATGATAAATATAGAACTTCTCATGTGATGCCGCAGTTAGATGCATGAAATCAGGATGCGTCCTTTTGCAAGCAAATATTTTCATTTTCCCTTTGTTTTTTTAGAGTGTCAACTTATCGCAAGCCGTAGCCTAAATGACGATGTGTTGACGTGAGACATTCAACACGTTAAACTCGGGCTTTGTCAAAGAAGATTGGGCTTCTAAAAGATTGAAATGCTCCAAAATTATGGACGTTGAATGGTTGGAGTGATAGTTACAGGCTACGGGTGGTACACCACGGCCCACACAACCAAGTTTGGGTCAGTTTCTTGCTTTTTAACTTCCCTTTTTTTTCTTAAATTTTTGTCCTACAAATTACTCTGCTCTAATGCCCATTTCTTGAGTTCACGGTGCAACTACCTTTTCCAATTAGAAAAACATTAAATCCAATTCTTGCACTGATTTTCATTTATATACAAATCATAAAGAAGTATTCAGTCTCTTAATTAGAAGAGTTATCATGGATTTTTTCTTTCACTTGATACGATTTTGAGAAGTTGCTTTGTTGATTTTTGCATTAGGTTGAGGAGCACAATATATATCCCAGTGGAGGATCTGATTAATGCTGATGAAGTGTTTTGCCATGGAACAACGGTGATTGTTACTCCTGTTGGTAGTATAACGTACCAAGATACGAGATACTACATATAATAGATATCATGCAATCTAGAGCAGCTATATATTAAGCTGGCAATGCTGTTTTGGCAATGGTGTTTTTTGAACTTTTCACCGTCCTCTTAACCTATCCCTAAATCTTTTTTTTCTTTTTTTATCTGGGTCTTTTGGCTACATTTGATTGTGTGACTGCAGGGCTGGATAAGCATGGGTCTAAGCAATGCATAGAGGGATTCAAATGGGTGTTATCGAGGACAAGAAGAGATGGACCGTTGCACTGCAGATAACTTCTCCTGCTTCTTAAAGCTCTTGGATTTCTTAAATCCGATTGATCGAGCATTAATTCCCACCAAGGCACCAACCTAATTTCGTTGGCTGCCAAGACAGACGTACATTATTGTGGTAGGTGATGGACTATGTCAAGACAGGCAGACATGCATGTGGTAGGTGATGGGCTTACTGCCAGGGTTAACCAAGACTGCAAATGGAGCTAATACTATAACAACAAACAAGTTGTTTAACTTTTTGCAGTAAGATCAGCGTACATTGGTACCACCACTGTCCCCATGACCCCCTCGATTAGGTGTTCTATTATACGCTGGTAATTTAAAATGTGATATATTTTATATTAGATAAAAATTTTAATTATTAATAAATAAAATTAATTTTATTTATATTTTAAATAATTATATTTAAATAAAAATAATTATCATATGATAAATAATTATAATTATTTGAATATAAATTTATTATTATTCATAAAAATCATGATTATATAAAAAATTATAATCATTTGAATTAAAATTTATGTCTATTTATTTACTATAAATAAATTTTTTAGTATAATTATTTTTATTATTTTTAATTAAAAGATTTGAACTTTATTATATTTTAAAAGCATAATTATTTTTTTTTAAAATTTTCGAGTTAAATTTTTTTTATTTATTTTTTCTAACAATTTACGTATATAGTAGTACAGTCATGTGACAATAAGAAGTGAAAGCAAAGACGAAAAATATAAATTGGGCTAAAAGAAATGGCAGAATCCGAAACTTTTATTTCTCGAATTTGGGGTTGAAGAACCCTACAAAGTTTATAAACCACAAGTTTTGCATGCATATAAATCTCATCTCCTGTGTTGGAAACTTCCTACCTCATTTCCATAGCTCAATGTATATACATATTTTTTGGGCAGGCCAAGTCATGTTCCATCTGAGCATGTGTGCTACAAAGTTAGAATCAATTTTCAAGATTTGAAGCCCTCTTCTTAAAGCCAAAGGTGTGTAAATGTCTTCCCCATTAGAGCTGAGTTTTGTTAAGTTCCTTCCCATTACAGTTTTTTTTATATAGGTATATCTAAATCATGATCCTATGAATTTTTGAAGCCTTAATTTTGCTTATATTCTTCTATTTAATTTGCAGTTAAGATGTTACGCTAGACCTGTCACAGGTGTCCTGGAAACTTGTGAGTCCAGAATTTACAGGTAATGCCATGAAACATGGATTTCTTTTTTCACTTTTAAGATTTATCTTAATTGCATTTTCCATTGAGTGGTTTTAAATTTCATGAAAATCAAATCGGAACAAATAAAATGGAACCAAAAGAGCATTTGATTGTCGAAAAAGGAAGGCTTAAAGATTTCATGCATAGTTATTAAAATCAGTTCGAATATTAAATCGTTCAAAATTTTAAATCATTAGATTAATAGTTCAATCATCAGATCAATCAAATCAATTGTCAATTTAATAAAAAATATTATAAAAAATATAAATATTTTAAATTTTCAAATTTTAAATTTTAACTCAAGTTATAATTTAACAATTTAGCTATAAAACTATAAATTTTAAGGTATATCATAAACTACAAATTTTAAAATATAAAATTCATAAAAAATTAATTAATACTTAAAAATGAAATTACTTAATATTTTATTAAAATCATATTTTATATTTTAATAGTTAGAAATAATATTTATATTTTAATAAATATAAAAAATAATAACTAATAAATAATTATAAATAATAATAATTATTATTTATATTTATTAAAATACAAATATTATTTATTAATACATAATAATTAATCTTTATGTAATAAAAAGAAATATCTATGAATAAAATTAATAAAAAGGAAATATATATATATATTTATATGAAAATTAGTAAAAAAGAAATTAAAATCATTTTTATATTTTTTATATGAATGTAGATTTTTTTATTAATTTTACATATATACATTTTCTTTTATTAATTATTTTTTATCATGGTCAAATAATTAATCATTTTTATTAACATTTTATTTTTTATTAATTTTATATATAATTATTTTTAATTATAGTATCAATTAATAAATTTTTTTGTTAGATTATCTTTTTTTGAAAATTACTTATTTTTACACATATATAAGTTTTTTTACAATGTCATTATTTACAAGTCTTAAAATATACTAATATATCATTAATATAAGGATATAAGGGCTTTAATAATAGAAAATAAGAGTTAAGAGTCTTATTTAAATGAAATAGTAATATAAGAACTTAATTAGATTATTTTGAATACTTGAAGGGTTTTTTTTTATATTTTATCTAAATTTATTAGTTAATATTAAATCAGTTCGATTGAAAAAAAAATTATCCGATTTACTAATTTATTATGTAAACTACTGATTCATAATAATTTAAAACGATTTAATTATAAAACTAATTTAATTACAAAATCAAATCGATTTTAACATTGATTCACTAATTCGATCGATCAAATCAATGATTCAATCCGATTATAACAACTATAACCTCATGCATTAAGCTTCAATTAACTAGTCTTGTTTATCTTAATTTTAACGAAAATAAATGCAAATTTGCTTTTGGATATTTTTTTAAATTTTCATATTGAGCATAATAAATAAAAAAAAATTAATTATTGCCTATAACGAGAGTCAAAGGAAATAAGGAATCACCCTTAATTAGGCATTAAACCGCAACCGTCCCTTTTTGACTTTTTTATTTTCTCTTTTTTGGAAACGAATCCATCCGAATCCTAATTTTCACTGACAAATGTATATTTTTCATTTTACACGTTTCTTCTATGTAAAGCCTTCAAGCTCTCTTGCACATTAACAATACAAAACCCAATTTGATTTCTCCTTCCTTTCTTTTCATTTCTTCATGAAAATTTAAGATCTCAAATGGGTTCTATAGAACAGCAGGTGGAATGGTAAGTTCCTAGTAAACATTTCCAATCTTTAAGTCTAATTAAATGTGTTTAACATATTGTTTTTGTATGATAGATTTGAAAGCTGACCAAGTCATTTTCTGTGGTTGATTCTCATTGTCACAGCAGGGAGAAGGCAGAATATGCCAATGTGAATTGGGATGAACTTGGATTTGCTCTGACTAAAACTGATTACATGTATGTGATGAATTTCTCTGGAGATGAAGACGACTTTTCCCAAGGAATCTTAACTCGCTTTGGAAACATTGAGCTGTGTCCTTCGTCTGGAATATTGAACTATGGCCAGGTGAGAACTGATCAAGTTTAGAATGAAAAAAAAATCATATAGAAACCAATGTTTAGGAACCCAGCTTTTCCACTATCAATGCTTCCTCACGAATTTGGTGATAGGCCAAGCAATTTCCCCAAGTTTCATGTATCCTTTACGTCCTCCAGGAATAAAATTATGTGAAAAAAATGGTTGCCATCAGGGGTTATTCGAGGGACTAAAGGCGTATAGGAAGGAAGATGAGGGAATTCTGCTCTTCCGGCCAGTGGAGAACGCCCTGAGGATGAGGATGGGCGCTGATAGAATGTGCATGCCATCGCCAACCATTGAGCAATTTATAGATGCCGTCAAGAAGACTGTCCTGGCCAACAAGCGCTGGGTATTAAACTTGAGACTCGACACCCTAGCATAAATTCATTTCTTGTTCATGCCAAAGAAACTTTGTGTGGTAAAAATTTGGGAATATATATATATGTACAGGTACCACCCCATGGGAGAGGAGCACTATATATCAGGCCTCTGCTCATGGGAACTAGCCCAAATCTGGGGGTGAAACCAGCATCCGAGTACACATTCTTAATATATGCGTCCCCTGTGGGCAATTATCATAAGGTATGCAGTATGATGCTGTCAGATAATTCATCAACAGTCAAAAACAAGCTTGGGAATTTGCTTTATCATTTTACTTCTCTTTCTTTTGTATGCAAAAAATGAAAAGATTTGATGTTAAGTAAATAAATTTTTTATTTTTAAGGGTGATATGAACTTGTTCGTTGAAGACAAGGTCTACCGAGCTGCTCCTGGTGGAACAGGAGGCGTCAAATCTGTCACCAATTATTCACCTGTAAGAGCTCGTTTTTCTGAATGATCTCTTTTTTTGCATAATTGAATTGTATTAGAGTCTTTCTTTAACAGGGAATGGCTACTGTAAATTTTTATGTAAATTGGGATTTTCAAAGTTGTCATGGGGATATCTTGAGTTCATGACTACACTAATTGATTGCACATGCAGATTTACAAGGCATTAACTCAAGCAAAGGCCAAAGGATTCTCGGACGTCTTATTCCTTGATGCATTGACTGGAAAAAACATTGAGGAAGGTTCTGCATTCAATATCTTCATTCTCAAGGTGAGACTGAGAGGGTATTGGAGTAATTTATTCAGTGAATATATAAACAGATGAGATTTTTTTCCTCAAAAAGAAGCAAATTCTTAGTCTTATGATAATTCAAAATATTCATTACATTTTCTTATCCAGGGAAATGTTATCTCAACCCCAACAGCCTATGGGACTATTCTCCCAGGAATCACAAGAAAAAGCGTCATTGAAATTGCTTTAACATTAGGTTACCAGGTAACTGATCAGAAATTAGTATTGACAATTGCTCCAATTCGACTTCATAAAATGCTGTTTCATATACATTGACATGCCTAGAAACTCTGGCGATCAGGTTGAGGAACGAACTGTTCCAATTGAGGAGGTGTTTGATGCTGAAGAAGTCTTTTGCTCAGGAACAGCTATGGTTATCAAGTCAGTTGCAAGTATTACCTACCAGGGTAAAAGGTTGGGAAAAATCTAAGAACCATTGCTCAATCTGTCATTCATGATTGGTTGCAACTGTTTTAATTAAACATTCGCAGCATCTGCAATTATGATTCAATTTCATGTGACTGCAATCATCAGGCTCATGTTGCTACTTGGATTTAAAATTTGCTTATTGATCGTATTCATTATTGCAGGATTGAATACAAGGTGGGAACAGAAACGGTGGCTCAGAAATTGTATGCAACACTGACAAGAATTCAAACTGGTCTTATCGAGGACAAGATGGGATGGACCATAGAGATTGATTAGCCTCTTTTTTTTTATATAGCAACAGCTTGACGTGATAGTACCTATGAAATTTAGCAGACCTTTTCCAATTTTTTTTGGTTCTCTTTAATTTGAATGAAAGGAATGTGCTTTAGCCTAAAATTCATCAATTAATAAAATTTAACAATTTGCATTATGGTAAAAAAAACAAAACTATAAGATCACTTGGATATTTAAACTTAATAATAATTGCACGTTTTCCCTGCTTAAAAATTGCAATAAACTCCCCATTTTATGTATGTAAAAAAAAGAACAATAATAATATTGCATTTTCTTTCACTCTTTCATACAATCCAATTGGAAAGCTAAATCTTAAAGCTTCAGCCCATCAGAGGTCTTCATACAATCCCATTAGCCATTTGAGGCAAAATCTTGAAGCTTCAATGCTCAAGTAAAAATATACCAGGGAGAAAGAGAATCGAAGAAAATGAAATCAATAGTTGAAAGAGAGTGTAACATAAGTTGAAATTGTAACTCCAACAAAGCCCAGGTTAACTCTAGGCCCATCACCATAAATGAATAAAAATTAACAAATTGTTTCAAAAACAAATAAGGAATACGATTTTCCAGTCAATTAGGAACATCAAAACACTATTTAAATAAAAAGATGTTTGTAATAACACATCAGTTTCTAATTTTTAGACTGTTTAGATGGGTTACAAACAGGTCATTCCATGTATCCGTAATTCCCGGTAAGCACCAATGCATGCAGTCATCATGTTTCTTTCCTCCAGCTGTGGAAGGGTGGGCATCTGCTCTGAACTCACTCATATGGGTAATATCAAAGATGTGGAAATTAGACCACTTGATGGCCTTGTATAGGTGTTTATTCACAAGGCGTGCCTCCACATTCGTCCCATTATTCTTCAATGAGAAGAGTTCTTCCACCTAAAAAAAGGATATAACCAATCAAACCCTTTTAACCTTGCTCCAGAGAGGAAACAAACCAACAGTCGAGCGTTTTTTTTTTCCTCATAAAAGGATGGAAGTAGTTCAGCAAAAAATAATTAGCAAGTTTATTTGAAAGGTAATAATAAGATGTAAGCCACATTTAGATTAACCAGTTATAGTGTTCAATATAACTAGTAAATAGTACTAATAACTGAAAGAGACTCACTTGTTCTGGTAACAAAGGTTGCAACCGCTGACATGAACCACCTTGGTCCCAGTCGCCTCCTTCAAAATGCCTGGGTGATTGTGTGCGAAATAATATAATAGCATCTGGTTGCATGGTTTTCTTCACAAATCGTATCTGCAGATTAACAATAAAAAAAATTAGGAAGTGGAAACACACGTTCAAACAAAAGTAAACAAAACCAATAATGGTGATGTTCACAATAAAGTAGTATGTTGTTATTTCCAAAGTACTAAGAAATGATGATTAGAACAAAAAGAAAAATAGTAGCTATAATCCTGCCAAAGCTGAATGTTCTCTACACAAAAATTGCTTGCCTCTAAGAGAACCCGACAAGGTAAAGGAGCATTTAGCCAGTTGAAGCTCTATTTCAGTCTGTGCAGGCAGCAGCCACCAAAGAAGGTTTCTTGTGTAAAGCACTCTATTTTGTATCTTATTAAAAATTCCATTAAACACCATGTGCAATAACATACCATGTGTTTTAAAACCTTATCCAAACCAACATCAGGAGGTATGGGAGGGATCATGGGCAGACCCTTTTCAAAGAAAAGCATGGGTGACTTGACTGGGTCAAATTTTGAAGGAGCCCACCACCTATTAAAGAATCAAAATGGTAAATCTAAGTCTGAAAACTAAATGGAAACATAAGAATTATAAATTTAGAATAACAAGAAATTGTGAACCAACATGAAAAAAATAGCACATTCATAAATTACACAGCTAATACCAAAATGCTTTAATGAGTGCATATAACTCGACAAAACCAATATAACTATGGCATTTAACAAATTATTAGGACCCGCTTTTGGTCATTTTCATTTAACATGAAAAATAGGATCCCAATGCTGAAATAACTTAGGACCGACAAACAAGCACAGACACATATGCTACCACATCAAGCAAAGAAAAAATTCAGCATCAAAATCTCAACAGGTCATCGAAAGGCTACAACATATTAAAATGGAAAATGAAAACTACCAGTGCCCTGTGCTAAAGATCAGTATGTCATGGAAGCTCGGAGCCTTCTCCCATGTGCCTTCTGGAATATCAACATCAACTCTATAACCCTCTTTATATCCAAGAGCTTCCAACTTACCACCATTACCATTAGCCGACCACCTGCATTAAACAAGCCAGAGAAAACAACTTTAAACGCAACCAGGATTAATACAGTCCACACCGTGGAATAAAAATGCAAGCCAAAGACTTAAAACAGCTTACCTACCATAGCGTGCCAGAAGATTAGTTCGATGATATGCAATGGTAAGATTATAGCGAAGAAACGTAAAGCCACGATCAGCTTCAGCCGGACGCCATTTCTTCACATCACCGGACACACGTCTCAGAGTGCAAAACAATGAAACAAACATGTTTCTGTTTAAGGAATCGCCAACAAACCCTGCACCGTTGAATATTGGTTAAGGCCTAATAATATCTCAACATAAAATAACCCTTTTTTTTTTAATATAACAGAACCCTGACTGCTTCAATTAACTTCAAAAATGTACTAAAAAGCAACTGAATTTCGGTCGTAATTTCCCTAATATCAAAATCTCGCGAGAGAGAGAGAAGAGAGTACCAACGTTAGTATCTCTGAAAGTGTGAAGAAACTTGAGCGGATCGAACGGCGGGAGATGACAGTTACGAGGCTTCCATAGCCAGTGAAGGATAGCTCGACCGTTAGATTTGTTGTTCAAAATGCAATTCCATCCTTTGAATATTTCCTTGCAGCTACTGTCATACCTATCGAATCTCGCATCCCGGTCGTAGATCCACGACCCGTCGGAGTAATCGCATGAAGACCAGCCTGAAGCATAGCTTGTGGTGGCATTGGCGCCGATGTTATTGGTGGCGATGACGGATTTATATTGGAGGAATTGGGGATAAGTTGGAGAAGAGGAAATGGAGGCTTTTCTGGAAAGAGAGAGAAGGATAAAGACTGAGAAGAAGCAGATGAGAGAGAACAAAGGGAAAAGAGATGAGAGTTTCTTTGTTGCCGCCATGGCCCATCGCCTTTCTCGTTAACCATTTTTCACTTCTTAAATTAAGCAAAGTCTTAGCTTTTTTTGTTAAATTATCCTCTTCATTTTGCCTTTTTTGGGCCAAGGCCCAAGGGCAAAAACAGCCCATTGGGCCAAGAAAATTGGGCCTCATTTTTCGACGTTCTCATTTAATTTTACTCGTTCATGAATTTTTTCAAGAACATTTTGATTTTAGTATATTATATTAATATTTAATTTTTTATGCGACATGATTTTTAATGTAAAAAAATTCTTTAAAAAATTAAGTATTCACAAATGAAAAAAAAAGGGATATTTTTAAAACATATAAAAACATCTAGGAAAAAAAAATGAACAACATCGGTACATCGTTGGGCAAACAAACAAATTAAAAAAAAAGCCTGAGACTAAAAATGATACATGATTGCGGAAGCCAATTCAGGTGAACTCACTCCCCCATTAAGTACTTCAAGTGAAAGATCTATGGCTTGATGATTGATACACAAAATTAACAATCAAGGGTTCGTTAATCGCAACACTATTTACCCTTGTGGTAAAAAGAGGATGCTGCTGTTGGAATGATCATCGTCGATAAGCTTGACTTGATCAGTGAACATATGATGCTGAGATTCTCAATGGTACGACTTTAAGTGGAAAACTTGACAAGCTGGCTTATATGACCTCTTGGTTGAAGCTTGTTCAAATTTCTTTGCAGCAGCTTCATTCTCTTCTAGTTTAGTCTGAAAAAAATATCTTATCCACCAAGTTGAACTTCGAAATTTGGCCTTCACAAAACAAAAAAAAAAAAAAATTGCATTTCAGAGTATCAGACCCTCGAATCAGTTCACGTGAAATTATGTTTTGTGTCAAACAAATGCTGCTGTAAGCCATATGCATGATAGCAGAGAAATTTTTCTGAAGCCACAACAAATCTTACTTTCCTAACGAACCAAAAGCAAACTGATTAAGCTTGTAACTACTAAATACAGAAGAAAACAAAAAAATCCAAATGTGATAAAGATAGCCTTCAGGTGATATATGAAAAATCAGTCACTTACAGGCCGACCAAATTTTGATAGCTCTGCAACTTTAGCTCTCTGCTGACCTGGATAACCTGCTCATGAAATCATATCAGAAGGAAACCACTGAACCTGAATTATGTTCCATGAAACAGAAAATTTGCCGGCAAGACTACATATATAAAGAATTCCAATAAGTCGGGCATCATTAACTTTGTGATATTGATTAATGTAGAAATTAGCAAAAAGAATGCTGAACTCAATGTACCCAGTTAGTGTTTCATCAAACAAAGCAACTAAAGAAGGGTCCATCCCCTAGTCAAATCAGGTTTAGGTTTCAGTTTTCTTTGAATACGTACTGCACATATACAAAGGAACATACTATTTTATTTCAAACACATAAAACAAAATGAGGAATTTACCAGAAAATATAATAACACCATCAGCTGATACCCTTGCCAGTTCTGGAAGAGTTTTGTTAAGGTACCTAGGAGACAAGTAATCCAAGGCATCTGACACAATGACAAGGGAAAATGATTTTGCACGGTATGGAAGAGGAAACTTGATATCTGCCACACGCACAATGCCTTTCCGCACAAGACTTTTGCAACTGGCATCAGCATCATCTAAGTCATATGGCTCCACGCCCCAGGCCTGAGTATCCTCTTCTTTTAGTAATTTGGACACCACTGAACAAGTATCGGGGCCTACATGCAACACTTTATGCATGCTGTCACCATAAGCCTTCTTTAGAACAAGTAGTGCCCTCTGAACTTCTAAATTGCATGGAGAACCACCTGGATACATCAAAGTATTCTACTGCATCAAAATCCACAATATGAACTCCCCAGCCTTTCTTTCATTTCTGAGAGTGGACACCCCAGCCCTTAGGAAAGGCAGACAATCAATTGAACAGTTGCAACCTTGACTCGGGTAAATTACAATTTCCTCATACCATTTACACAAGTGCCAATGAAAGAAACAGCCAGACAGGTATGTAACAGCAAATTACTTTAAAGAGTGATTGAGCTGCAGATCATTGATAAATTCCCAAATTTTAGGAAATACATTTAGGCAGGCGTTATGAGTTTCACAATCTCATTTTCAAATCATTTTGTAATATAAAACTAGCAGAAGATCAAACGGGAAATATTTGGAAAATTCATCTTAAAAGCTACTCTTACATAACCTCCTCATAGACTGCAGCATCATAGACCAACCACCCATCACATTCGATACACAAATTATTCAGAAGCTTGGAAACTAAAATAACAAGAGATTGTAAGCATTTACCTTCAATTTTACTTAGTGCCTCTTTTTCACTGATGGATCCACCTGTAACGAAAAAGTTAATAAATTGAAAATAACAAAAGAAAGCATGTAACTATGAGTAAAGTAGGAAAAGACAACAGCTAGTGTTTTTCAATCTCAGCTAGTTCAGTTAGCATGACATTGAGATTACTGCATGAACCTTTGCTAACTCAGCTACTGCATCTGAGAAAGAAAAGTTTAAAGAGGACAGAAGAAACAGAAACCTGAACCAATATGCAAATAGCCAATCAGAAGAATTGCACCCTGAAATTTTCAAGAAGCAATTTAATCATTATTCTTGCATTAAGCACACTTTATAGTAATAAATAACAATGCTCTGTGCAGAAAGCTAACATAGATGGAGAATAATCCATAAATTTTGGCAGCAATTGCATGCTTTCTAATGCAAAGAATACCATATTGAACAGAATAACTCTAACACAAAGTGACATAAATGACAAGATGGAATTTGAAGTTACCACAACCAAAAGTCCAATAGATAATAATGGTGATGAGCGTGTCTTAGACTGAACTGAGCCCACAAATGGGATGCTTCTACCATCATCAAAGCGTCGAGCAGGATTTACAGGCCTCCTTGACATGGTTATATAATAGAGATAAGACTGCAAAGCGTAGTGACTTTTGTTAATGACATAAAGAACTAATAAAAAAAATCTTTATAAATCTTCATAAAAGGAAAAGGAAACATTTTAAAATTTTTTAATTTTCAAGTTGATACCATTTTCTTATTAAGTATGACAGACCACTATAGTAGCACCTGTCATAGTCTTTGAAAGCATAATATGTGATTGAAATCTTTTCAATTATTTCATTTCTTCCATACTACCTATCAATGGAGATTCACAAACTCTTTTCATACTTGTAAGAACTTTTCAAGGAGCAATTTATATATCAAAACCATTCATACTGACCTTCTCCTCATATAAAAAAATCACAATTAATACTTTCTTTCACCTAAAATTTATAGAAAACAGAGGTGATAGCATATATATTTGATTATCTTTTGAACAACAGACAGTCCTATACCCATCAATATTTACAAGCATATTCTTTGTTTGTCAAACCAAATCAGACTAGAACCCATGGCATTTACTTGGATTCTTTAGATTGCAAAGAACATAAGAACTTGGTCAGGTTATTATAATCTGCACAACAAATTATCATCATCAACCATTCCACTGTATAATTCACTTCACCAACGAAATAATAAAATCCTCAACCCAATGTAACTGCATTGGCTACACCACTGTTCTTAAAGCTGCTTAAGCATAACCACAATTTCCACTTCGAATTAGCAATCCATTGACGACCAACCCCAATCAAATTCAATATTTTCTCATAATCCACCACACCCAATTCTACTTTCTCAATTAAAAGCCATGCACAGCTAAATTTTATAGCAGCCGCTGTTTAGAGGTAGCGCACCTTCCGCCACTGTTACTCACCGCCATGGAGGTGTGAGTCCTTATTCACACAAATAGCGGTGTATAACGTCGGCAAATAGCAGTATAACGGAAAATTACGGTCATAACGAGACACTAAAACTGTTATTTGTGATTTTCTTTAATAGATCTATACATTTTATAGTATATTGATTCTGAGTTATAACTAAAATACAGTGAAAAAATAATTTTAGCCTATAGATGTAGGATTAAAATATCATAAATTACTTTAAATATTATTATACCAAAAAGAAAGGGAAAGGACAAAGATAATGCGAAGAATTAAAGCAAAAAATGATAATACTGTTGTATTCAAATTCACGTAAAGTAAGGTTTAAGCAAAGTGAAGGAATTAATTTAAAAGGTTACCTGAAGCAAAAAGAGATTTGAAGAAGCGGAGTGTTTTTTTTATGGGCTTTTTTTCTTAGGGCATGATCCAGATCTGTATCTGTTCTTCGATCTTACAGTCTATATTTATCGATCCATTTGGCGTTTGAAGGGAAAATGAAGATTCCTTCGCCGGGACTCCGACATGGCCAGCGGGTTTTATGGGGAGCGCATTTATGCCTTTTAATATAGAAAAAAACACGCAATTGTGATTATTAAAAACAATAGGATAAAAATCAAATTTCCATGTTTTATAGGATATAAAAAATAAATTAATATTAACAAATTATTCGAATTTAATTTAAATAAAATTTAAAATTAATTATTTTTAAGTGAAGTACTAACAATTCGACTAAACAAACGAGTTAAATGTAAATATTTTAATATTAAATTTAAATAATTTATGAATTTAATTAAAATTTTAAATTTTAATTAAAAATTATTATTTATATATAAAAATTAATTCAAATTCAAACACATAACTGAGTTTAAAATTAAATATAAAAATTAAATTTATTTTCATTAAACTAATATAATTAAATAAATTTAAATAATTTAATTTTTATTTTTAATTGAACTCAGATTTAAAAATTAAAACTTTACTACATTCAAATAAAATTTCAAACAACGTAATCCCATGCCGAATTGGAGGTTGCGCTTCTACTATATTAATTCCACTAAGCTTAATTGCATCTCCACCTTTTTTTATCGTCTTAATTTAAATGTACCTACAAACCGGACTCACCTTGGGCTCAGGTCGGGTCTTATTTAGATCCAGATTTTGGAGATCAATTGACAAAATAGTATGTTCCTCGATTCGAATTTAATGTAAAATTATTTAAAAATATTTTATAAATTCGTTAAATTTTATATAAATAATTTTTTAATTAATAAAAAAATATATTAAATGAAATTTAAAAAAGTTTAATTGTTAAAAAACTACATAAAAATCTTTTATTAGTATAATATATGCTTTTAGCTTAGTTAGTGCAAAATACCTATCATTGAATTGATGGTACCTAATACTAATTCGGTCATCAATGTTTTTTTATAAAAAAATTGTAATTTAGTAATAAAAAAATTATAAGTATTAAAATTTAAAATTTAAATTTGTTATATGTCAATTTTTTGAAAAATAATTAAAAAGTGATAGGAAAATGATTTATAAGTATTAAAATTTAAATTATAAACTTGTTATATGTTATTTTTTAAAAGTGATTTCATAAACTTTTTATTTTATCAACTATTATAGCTTATGTTATATTTGAAAATTTGTACATTTGTATCATATAAATTATTAAAATTTATATATTTATATCATATTTTATAATAAAATTGTATATCATAATTTATGTCGATACAAAAACGTAAAAATATATTTTTTTTATTTTTTTAAATGTATAATAATTATTAAAATTTTAAATAGTATCATTTTTATATCTTTTTATATCATATTTATATCGTATTATTGTATTATATTTTAAATTATTAAATCTACTTATGTTTAACAAAAATTTCACTTATATCCCACTTTTATTGCATCGATATTAGGAATGTAAGATAAACCATTTTCATAAGTTAAAATCTATAATGGAGACTAATTGATATTTATTAAAGTTAAAAACTATCAAATAATTACGTATATAAATTCAATCAATCAAATAAAACATAGCAAGAATATCTATAAAATATTAATGACTGTTTAATTTGTGAAATTTTAAATTTCGATAGAAAAAAATTTTGAAAAAAAATAATATTAAAACAAAATGTGTATTTTTTAATTTTATTGACTTTAAAAAACATAAAATTTTTATGTTTGATCAAAGAAATATAAAATTATTTAGTAAAGTTTTTTATTATATTATTTTTAATATTATGTGAATAACATATTACATTTATAATATGAAATATGTAAATAAATAAATTAATTTATTTAATATGTAAATTATTTATTTAATATTTTTGTTAAATTTGTTAGCTTTATAGGTGAGATGGTGATCCAAAAGGGGGGTGAATTGGATTTCTTCAAATTCTTCCCAAGCAAATAATTTTAATATAATTGAATGAAAATTAAAACAATATGCACTTTTGATGAAAATATAATGCAAACAATAACAATTAATGAACTTAAAATCAAATATAAACAAAAATAAATTGTAAGGAGATAGGGATAGATAAATCAAACACAATGATTTTTAGAGGTTCGGTCATTCTCCACAAGGCACCTACGTCCTTTCTCTTGGTTGTCCACACCAAGGCTTCAATCCACTAATAGAAGAAAAATTCTTACAAGATACAAACCTATCTTGTACTAAATCTCTATCTTTTTTCTCAAGACTTATATAGCAACCTCTACCCTTACAATATCCAGAGGATACCTTACCTCTTATTCTCTTCCACTCTTGTATATCAAAGGTAATTTTACAAACAATAGAACAACCTCTCTAAGGCTAAGTGTTTGCTAAGTTTAAGTACAAGAAAATAATAAATGAACAATAAATATAATTTGGATACAATAAATACAAAGATATGGACTTTGAAGCTCTAAAAACTCTTGATTATTTGAGAGAATGAAAATATGGCTTGTTGGCTCTTACTCTCTTGATGCATCAATCTACTTGAAGTGTTGGAGTACCCAATTTATAAAGAAATTGAAGAAGTAGTCGTTGGAGAAGCTTGGAAAGTGAAAGTAGCCGTTGAATTTTTGATAAAATAGCCATTGGAGATGTCTATGCCCAAACCCAATCGATCCCTTCCATGAGGGGATCGATTGGTTCATGTTTTGAACCAATTTACGCTTGAAAATAGCCTAATCGATCGATCCATTTTGTAAAAGGATCAATTAGTTAAGGGGGTGATCGAACCCTTCTGGCTTTTTCAACACAAAGTTGCTTTATGGGTAAGAAAGCAATCGATCCCTTTTAGAGGGGATCGATCTTATTTGCGTTAGGTGATAGTTTCCTATTTTGCACTATACTCACTAATTTGATTATAACTTGAGTTATACAAATCCAAATTACAAACCATTTGAAGATTTAAAAACTAAACTTAAAAATCTTTCTATCCATATAAAGTTCATCACCTAATCCACTGTGTACGAATTATAGTGAATTTTCAAAGTTAACCCATGTGCAGTTTTTAGACAACTGTAGAGTGTCTAGTAAAAATTCAAAATCTTTTCTTAGAAAATTGGATTTTGATTTTGTTTGATCCATTAGAAAGTAGACTCAAAGAACTTTCCAACCATATAAAATTTAAATATTAAAACTTTGTGAATTAATACAAAAAAATAAAACAAGTTCAATGTTGAAAAACTTTGTTCTTGTAAAACAACTTTCTTAAGTTAATTTATTTCTCAAAATCAATATTATTAAAATTGTGTTAAGTTCAAAATGAATAAGTTCACTTTAAAACAACAATTAGACTTTCATTTAAGTTCAAATAAATAATCTTTAAAGATATATTTGGTTTGAGAAATATGAAAACAAAGAAAGGTTTGTTTAAGCTTTGAAAATCATAATATTTATTTAATACCAAAATATAAAACTTAAGAACATGTACTAAATAAATCTTTTTTAAAATCTTAATCAAGTTTATTTAGTTTTAATGTTTTGTCATTTCAAAATAAGGATCAATTCAAGGTTAAGAATCTCTCATTTTTTGACATGAAAAAATTTAAAGATAAATTTGCTTGATAAAAAACTTTATTTGAAACATTTAAGATTTTGAAAGACATTTTGGAAAAATCCATCTTAAAACAATGCATGGCAAAACTCTCCCTTAATTTATGCATCATAATCCAATACAACTCACCAAACATATGTTAGAGCATATTTATCAAATAAGCACAATTAAACATATGCATGTCAAGCACAAATAAATTTGTTCATATGATATTTCTCCCCTTTTTTGTCATAGCAAAAAGGCATGAGCAAATTAATGAGCAAATAAACACAAAGAGACATCATTAACAAATATATTCATGAAACATTTCTCTTCATTTTTGTTTATGCTTTTTATACCAAATGTTTAAGCTCTTATATCAATTGCTATAAGCATACAAGAAGAAAATATATCTAAACTTTCTTATCATTTTTGTCATTTCAAAAGAAAAAAAGATCAATTCAAGGCATGGGACAAAGTGCTTGATACCAATAATATCAAGAGTATTTTGAATGCATGTAATCAAGTGTAATATGCATAATTAAATTCAAATACATGTATTGAAGCACAAAAGCATAAGTGTATCCAATTTTAGCATTTTAGTATAAGTCATCAAATTTACTACATGAAATTTATGAGCAAAAGATAATGAATGATATGCAATCTACTCATAAATCATGTTATCATAAGATGTGCTTATAACTTAAGAGATCAATAGGAATTAAGCATAAATTCAAGCATATGCATACAAGTTGTTATGGATACCAATTGTTAAAGATATGTCATCGAGAAGCATACCAATTGTTATCACAAAATAAATCAAACAAAATTGTATTATAAGATTTTTCTTCATTTTCAAAATAAAGATTAATCAATTTAAGGCACACATAATTTTGCATGAAAGGTATAAGCTATATCAAGGATAGGTACATAAATAAATATCTATGAAAGTTAAAAAATTTTTAGCAATTTTGATATCAATTGTTACCAATTGTTAGTCATTTTATTCAACAACTTTCGTAGAGCACACATACTTCAAGTATATGAAAGATTCATTCAATATATGCATAAATGATAATAAAAATCTTTCATAAGCTATCCTATCCAAACAAAAACTCAAAAACTCATATGAATTTAATAAAGCATGAATACTAATGAGCAATAAGGTTCAATTATCATCATGTCATAACAAAGATTATTCAAGCATTTTTCAAACATGATGAACACATAAACTATAGCAAAAAATAATAAAAGTATAATTATTCAAATATATTTCAAATTATTTCAATGCATAACAAAGTACTAAACTCAAACATATGCAAGTATTTAATCATATATTTCAATCAAAATCATACAAGCATATGCAAAATGCATAAACAATATACCTAATTAAAAAAATATGCAAGCATTTAGGCACACTTTGGTACATGCTATCTAAATAGGCTTAATCAATGAACATGTATATAAATTTCAAATTTATAATTCATAATATATGAGTCAAATCAATTTAAAGATCAAGAAATCAACATATCCAACTCATAA